TGGCAAACAATATCCCATAGAAGTCATCTTAATAACACACAAGTACCTTAAAAAATTTCTGAAAGACGCTTAGAAATAAAAAAAAGGCGATCATTTTAGATACCATATCAGGCTATCTTTTTATATCAGGCTATCATATTTCTTTCTATACCTTACTTTTTCTCATTTCCTTAATCTCGTTTTTTCTTCTTTATCCTCTCTCTCTTTCTTTCTCTCTTTTTCACCCTCTCTCTCTCTCTCTCTCTCTCGCTCGGTCATTTCATTTCATTTTGACTTTGTTTCATAACCAAATGTTTTGACAAAACTTTGACAAATGTTGCTAATATATTTGGAGATTTTTTTTCAAATTCTATTCCAGCCCTGACAAAGCTCCCTACACTCAAAGGCTGAATCCTCGTGTATTAAAAAATAAACTGGGAAATTCCAAAAAATGTTTTACTGGTACACTGAGTTGACCATCACCGTGTGAAATGAAATAAAAGAAAGTCACATATGTATGTCAATTTTTTGTAAATATAAAATATATATATAGATAATATATGTTGATATATTCTGTAATATATGTGAATATATGTTTTGCGAGTAGTAGTAGTAGTAGTAGTAGCAGTAGTAGTAGTAGTAATAGTAGTAGTAGTAGTAGTAGTAGTAGTAGTAGTAGTAGTAGTAGTAGTAGTAGTAGTAGTAGTAGTAGTAGTAGTAGTAGTAGTAGTAATAGTAGTAGTAGTAGTAGTAGTAGTAGTAGTAGTAGTAGTAGTAGTAGTAGTAGTAGTAGTAGTAGTAGTAGTAGTAGTAATGGTAGTAGTATCATCAGCTGTAGTAGAAGTTTTTTTTTTTATTATTCTTTAAAAATCAGGATCTGACAGACGCAGAAACTGTAACTAAGTTGTGTGTATGTAAGTTGTGTCTGCTTCATATTTGTACATCTGTGTGTTTGTGTGTCTATATGTTTGTGTGTGTGATTGTTTTAAATAATAAAAGCAAAAAAACAAAAATAAATAGTTTTATCTTTAAAAATTTCACAGTTCAATCAAATCAAAGCTATTGATATAACAATATTGTTCTCAAAAATACGGTATCAGACTAAACACATACTCAATTTCTCTCTCTCTCTCTCTCTCTCTCTCTCTCTCTCTCTCTCTCTCTCGTTCTCGCTTTCTCTCTCTCCTTTATCTTTTTTAGACTTTTTCTCTCGTTCTACTCTCTTCTTTTTCTCTCTCCCTCTCTCTCTCTCTCTCTCTCTCCCTCCCTCTCACTTCTTTTTCACTTTTTCACTCATTCTTTGTTACTTCTTTTTCACTCGTTTTTCTCTGTTTAGTTAATTCTTTCTATCTCTCATTTTTACTGTTTCTTCTCTCTCTCTCTCTCTCTCTCACTGTCTCTCTTTCTCTCTCTCTCTTTCTCTCTCTTTCTTGCCTATTCCATTCTTTTTTGGAATTTTTTAATTTTCATAGTAATTTCATTCATCATATCTTCAACCTAGACAATCGACGAACATTTTTTCAAAAGAAGTCAACAATTTGTAGAGTATTTTTATTTAATGCTATTTATGATGTTTATGTGTGTGTCCGTGTGTCTGTCTGTTTGTTTGTGTGTGTGTCTGTCTGTTTGTTTGTGTGTGTGTGAGTGTCTGTCTGCTTGTTTGTGTGTATGTAAGTGTCTGTCTGCTTGTGTTTGTGTTTGTGTTCATATTATTGTCTGCGTTTGTTGTTGTCATCATTTTCACTGTTGCGATCATTAATGTCGTCAGGTGCAGTTTATTTGATGATTTTTTTTATTTTATCGTGTTTTAATGTTTTTTATCCTTTGTTATTTATAACGTTTTACTGGTTTTATTGGTTTTTATTATAAATATTAATAATTAATAAAAAAAAACTTTTGTTAATTTTAAATTAATGGTAATTATTGCTATCATTATAATCGTCATTAACATCATCATATTAATCATTGTTGTAATCATCTCATTATAGTTTAAAAAATCCATTTAGAATAAAAAATATTCCACCTACATGCTTGAAGTCATTTCCAATAAAAGCAATTGAAATGTTTGCAAGAAAACTAATTTTTAAACCGTTACTTCTTTGTATGTCTTTCTGTGCTTTCATTGAAAATTCGTTATCATTAAATTTTGTATAGAAACACACACACACACACAAACAAACACAAACAGCGCACGCATACGCACATATACACATAAATACAAATACGTACGTAAGTACACACAAATACGCAAACACAAAATACCCAAAAAAAACCATACAAAGTACATACAATACACTTGTCACATACATACACACACACACGCTCACTAACACACACACACGCGCGCACGCGTACACTAACACACACGCACATACCGACACACACACACACAAACACACACAGGTAAAAACGTACACACAGTTAACCTGGCATAAAGTAATTTTAATTGAAAGCGATGTTTCTTAAAAGAGATAAGAATTACCAGAAATGACAAATCGATAAAATAACAGCCTGATTTTACAAGAATTTCAATCTCCATCCTCGATTAACCAATTCAGTATTTTTAAAAACTATTTCTTAATTTTAAAGTTTCTAACCACAAGACTATGAAAAAACAATTAAATTAAGTTACCTAAATTAAATAATCTACCTAATTTATCTAAATAGTTTAAAGTTGAAATCAAACCAGCACAAGTGAACCTTCAGTCGGATGTAGCGATTCAATCAGTATGACTAAGAAATCTACATTCATATAACAGAAAAACGTTCGATGAACGAACAAAATGCGTACAAGTGTGGCTATGATTATTTTCACGAAGATATTTGTATAAAAAAAATTGTTGCATTCTTTCACATCTACACACACACACCTCAAATATTTCAATTTTTTTTTGTTGTAATCCATTTTTCGCAACATCAACAAAAAATTCTCCAGCCACATTACCCCCAGCAATTTAACCCCGCCTTTTCAACTTTTTTTCTAATTTAGCGCACTAGATAACCAACCACTACACCAGAACAAAGTATCTCGAACCAAGAAGCTAAAGGATGATTTATTTACTTAGCTATTTTTGCCCATTCAGTGTAGTACTAAGAAATGTTTTAAAAATAACATTAATCGGCGTGTGTGTGTGTTTTGTATGTGTGTATATATGTGAATGTGTGTGTGTAAATGTGTGAATGTTGGTGTACGTGTGTACATGTGTGAAAATGTGTATACGTGAGTTATTCTATATGTATTTGTATGATTGTCATGTTTTATCCGTGAATATGTGAATTATTTGTATACATTTAATTGCACATATTGCGTTTTTTGTATTTTTACGGATATCATTGTACGAAACGTACAATAAAAAGTAGTTGTACAACGCTTTTTTGTACACGCCGAGATCCATTTAATGGTTGATGTACATGAATGTACATGAATACACACACACGTCTGTATGTACATCAATCGTTATTAAATGAAAAGATGTATGTAATACTTTTTGAATTCGATGAAATGAAGACTAATTTATTAACTAATTAACAAAAGTTTATATATTTAATGGAAGATTAGCTACTTGATTTCGCAGTTTCGACGAACAAAAGTAACAAAAACCCACTTATCAGATATCTATAGATATATTAATCAAACCTAAACGTCCCGGTTTAATATCGTCTACTCGTCCTCACTCCTTCTTAACTCCTATTAAAGACTAGACACTGTTATGCTAAACTGCGTTCGCTTTTTCTGGCCCTTTTTTGAAAATGTCTGCCTCCTTCTTTGACCATCTCTAACGATCTAAAGACCCATCTGTTTGGCAAGTTCATTGCGGAAGACTGTTGAACATGAATGCTGAAATGACGCTTTAAAATTTAATTGATTGATTGATAAAAAATTAAATTAAAAAAACACTTATGCGTGAATGTGTGTGTGTGTGTGTGTGTAAGACAGACACATATACACACATTCACACGCGCACACCAAACACACATACACTATTAACGGACACACAGGACAAACAAAAGAAAACTAGGCACTGATGGTATATTTACATTTCTTTCTTTCGCTTGCATTTGAAAAATCAATCGTACGAAACTCAAACAAACACAGACCGAAATTCACACACACACACACACACACACACACACACACGCACGCACGCGCATGCATACTCCTATACACTCACATACACAGACTCACAAAACTGTATATTCATACCTATATCACAGAACGTAGTTCACACAAAAAGGTAGGTAATGAATGTTTAACGAATAAACAAGAGATTGAACGTGATTAATAACTGAACCAGTTAGCTGAATTAAGCTAATAATATGCTGTAAACTACCTACCAATAGCGGCACATCAGTTGATATGAGACAAAACTAATATTTGCAAGACTATCGAAGTAGAAAGACAAGTCGATAGTGATTGCAACGTAAGACACCTCATCAGAGTTATCTTCCACCGTTGAAGATGGATTAAAAAAGGAAAAAGATTGTCGAATTCCAAAATATATGAAGGCTACTTGAAGGCTCCATCAAGTAGCCTTCATATATTAGCAGGAGAGATGCCACTATGTCTTAGACACCAAAAACTATCAATAAATTACTACCTCAAAATAAGAACTCAAATAGATAATCCTGCTTATAAATACATAATGAGTAAAAATCGACCAACAAAAATTAAATCCATCCCCACAATTGCAATAAGATTAAAAGAATATATCAAAGAAATAGATAAAACAAAGATTTTAGAGGAGATAACCCACAAAACCCCTCCATGGCTAATGTCTTACCCCGAAATTGACACATCCATAACAAGTGCAAACAAAGACCAAGAGCTGGCAAAAACTATGTATAAAGAAAAACTAAGCAATAATGAAAATAATATTAAAATATATACAGATGGCTCGAAGAAAGAAAATTCAACAACAGCAGCAATCATCTTCCAGCAGCAATATCAATTTACCAACAGTCGTACTCAGCATCTTCCAAACTACACCTCAATATACACAGCGGAAATAACAGCGATAGACATGGCATTATCCTCCATATACAATTCAACAGGAAAAAACTATCAGATATTCACAGATTCGTTGTCAACTCTCCTAGCATTGAAACAGTACTATCCCCGCCATCAATTAATTCTTCAGATCCAAAACAAAATACACGATATAATAAGCAATAAAAATCATATTTCATTAATCTGGATTCCTAGCCACATTGGTATTGAAGGAAATGAAAGGGTAGATCAATTGGCAGCACAAGCGCACTTGGATCCCCCATCAAACATTCCAATTCCACATTACGACATAAGAGTGATGACAAACGACCTCATATGTTCCAAATGGCAAAAAGAATGGGATAAAATAACTAACTTCCTCAAAATAGTTATGCCAGAACTAAATAGTTCACAAAACACCAAAATCAACGAACTTAGTAGAAACAATTTAAACATCATAAATAGATTAAAACTCGGTCATTCTAAAATAACTCATTCATGGATTCTCAACAAAACAAACCCTCCAATTTGCGAGAACTGTGATACAAAATTAACAATCCAACATATATTGATAGAATGTCAAAATTACAATGAAATCAGGAAAAAACATCAAATACCAAATGATATCCGATCAATTTTCAAAGATGAAAAATTACAAAACCTGTTATCATTCATTAAAGAAATAAACATGTTCAACAACATTTAATTGCCTCACGGGTCAATGAAGATCCACAAAAGAAAATAGAATCAACAAAGACCAAGGGCGTAAAGATAGCCTATCAGAGCTAAAACGCCGTAAAACTGCAGAAGAAGAAGAAGAAGAATTCCAAAATATTACTGACCGGAGATACAGATCAAACGTGGAGTCAATACGAACAGAGCCGGTTCAAAAACCGTCTAGCTCAGAATCAAAAATCATTAAATGTCCGTTACGTACAAGTGAATTGGCGATTGAGGGGAGAGTTATTCTCAGGCACGAAATTATTTTTTATCCAAATCTCAGAGGCAGCGAGAACAGAGCGCACATATCTTTTTGGATTGGAAGCCAGCAAAATACAACAGCAGAACCAAGCCCCACAGCCACTACAACAGCTCGCAATGCACAACAACCTGATAAACATATTTACATTTATATCTTGAGTAAGAAAATATAGGAAATTCATTGAAATTAAATAAATATAAACGTTTTTTGGTCAGTGCAATGTAAATGAACATAAGTTTAGATCATCATTATTTCCATATTAATGTTATTGTTGCCGATGAGTTATGATTAACGATAATTGTTTTCATAACCATATGAAGCATCGTCTAAAAACATCAGAACGTAATTACATTAAAACTATTTACAACATTATCTTTGTTACTATTATTACCAATAATTATATTAAAACTATTTATAATAATTAATATTATTATACCAGCAATATATAAGCCAGCAATTCCAACTATTAATTACGTATTAAATTAATTAATTAAGCTAACAAGGAAAAAGTTATGATAAGCGGAGTCGAACCCATAAAATATACCGAACCATTAATTAATGATTATTATATATACTTACACATACATTCGCACGTACATAAACATATTTATATATGAAGAGAGAGAGAGAGAGAAAGATTAAGAAAAAGACAAAGAGAATGACAAAGATAATGTACACCTTGGTCCTCTAACATTCCTCATAAGTACACATACACGTATGTATATACCAAATACACACACGTTGTACTGTACACAGACGACGTACATACGAATACATACATTCGTATTCGTACACTTCAAGTTTTACGACAATTAACGCCTTCTCAAATTAACGAACGGTGCTCGTTCTTCAAGAAACGCGAGTTACATTCCACTGTGTACTTGGCGGTGAAAAATTTGTCCAGATCAAACGATGTGTTAAGTTAAATCTCTCTCTCTCTCTCTCTCTCACACACACACGAAAACACACACACACATACACACACACACACACACACACACACATACATCGAACTTGCTATTGCTATCTACATACCAACGAATATATATATATACATATGCAATCAATACATCAATTTATTTTTCAGTTACTACAAGCAAGCAACCAAACAAGACGGTAACAACGGTTTGATAATATTGTTAAATAAATTTGATAATATAACATAATTAGTGCAGACAGACAGAGAGAAAAAAAGAGAAAAAGTTAGGTAAAGAATGAATGGTGTAGCGCTTCATTCAGTGTTATCCTATCCTTGGGATCGTAAACTAGCATCTTGCGGATAAGATCAAACAGTTGGTAGTGTAGTTCGGAACTTGACCTCATGTAGCGCTAGATTTTTTTAAGAAAAAAAGCAATTTAATAAATAACATTTTCATAGTGACAATTCATATTTTGGAATTCAAAGAACCACTTTCATCATCGTCGTCGTCATCACTGTGATCATCATCATCGTAATCACTATGATCATCACTATCATCATCATCATCGTCATCATCCAAATTATGGCATCATCACTATCATGAAAGGATGAAGAACCACTCAGAACAAGCACCACAGAGTATATAAATACATCCAAAAATATAAAAAAACATCAACAACAACAACAACAACAATGGTAATAATAACAACGATGATAATCCTAAAATTAGTACCTTAAGAGGTTTGCATTGTTGCCTGACAGCCAGGCCATCTTCACTGTCTGGGTCCCAGGCAAGTTCGCCATTGCGAAAATATTTTGACTTCCTATAATAATAAACGTGACATCACGAGCGGAGCTCTAATAAGTTTACTTTTAATCATTTCGTCATCACAATCACGATCATCTTCTCCACCAATCATCAACTATCATCACCACCATCATTATTTATTTATGTAAATTGGTGATAAATCAACATGAAAAACCTGATACAACAACTACTACAATTACCACTACTACTACGACTACTACTACTACTACTACTACTAACGGGGAGCGTTTGATCATGGAAGAAGGTATGGGGCCTAAGATTCTTTCCATCATAGCCAGATGCTCCAGGTTGTCGTGGGTCTGAATTCATTAACATAATTGATGAGAAAATTAACATAATTTATGAGAAAATTAACATAATTTATGAGAAAATTAACATAATTTATGAGAAAATTAACGCAATTAATCAATACCACTACTACAAATAATAATAATCATAGATCATAATCATAGTAATAATAATAATAAAAAAAGAGAAATAATAACCTGAAACATGGTGTGTCCAGTATATAGCTCGAAGAGGATGCAACCAATGCTCCAAACATCACAAGGATGAGACCAGCCTAGTTCTGCAAATAATAATAATAATTATTATTATTATAACTAATATTATAGTTACTATCATAAATTATTACACATACACGTCCAAACGAACACAGATACACACACACACACACACACACACACAAGCATACACAAACATTCGTCAATTATGATAAAAAATATTAATATAGATAGAAATTATTATTATTATTATTATGACCAACCGAGGACGACTTCCGGGGCCCTGTAGTGCCTGGTAGAGACGATCTTACTGTGGTGTTCGTCGTCATTCGTAGCTGACCCGAAGTCAATGATCTGAATGTCGGTGCAGAGAACCCGCCTGATCTCCCGGTCCTGATTACAGTCATCATCATTATCATCATCATCCTCATCGTCATCAACATCATCAACGTTAACATCATTTCCATATCAACATTCATTGTTTCAAATTCATTAAAATTCTATCTTCAGTACCCTTCAGTTACCTTTCACAATGAACACAAACACAGTGCATGTAAACACAAGTTAATCATTACACCACCACCACACACACATTGCACGACATAGACAAGAATCTGTTTGCACACTAACCCAGTAACTGCAGCATCAAAGACAGATGTCGTAACCATTACACCACATAAAAAACAAACAAAACAAAATCAAGACAAAAACAAGCCTTTTTCCTAATGGTTCTACTCTTGTAGTGTTCACTAGTCGAGTCGACGAACAGTATGTTCTCCGGCTTCAAATCGGTATGCGCCAAGTTATGATCATGCAGAACTGTGATAACAAATTGAAACGATATTTTTAAAAATTTCTTCATTTAAAAATCCCCCCAAAATAAAAAAACACTAACACTTCACTCCTCTATTCAGTTGATAAGCAATTTGCTGCACGTGCTCGATTGGATATGGGTAATAGTGGTTCTTCTTCTGCATTTGGGATTTTTACGACATACTTAATAAGTGTAGTACAAGCAAAGCAGTACTGGTTTTAGTAACAATGGACAACGATACTTAAGAGGTTAGTGTTAATAGTACAAAGATAATCTAAACACAATTGTAATGTAGGAATTAATGAAACAAATAAAAAAACAAAAAAATAAATCACCAGAAAATCAAAGACACTCTGCCCAAGGAGTTCGAAGACGATGCACATGTGGCCATAGTAATCAAACCAATCCAACATCCTAACACATAGCCTGTGGGATGAATGATGAAAATTATGATTATGGAAATAATTAATGGATAATAAATTGAAAACTATAATATAAACTCTGTAGGGATTGGATTATGTTTGAATAATGTTTGAGTGACAGATTGATCTTGCCATGGTTGGTGAATTGATGGCTGAGGCAAAGAGATTCCAGTCTATCAAATGTGTGTGTGTGTGAAATGCTTTGTGTGTGTATGTGTGTGCGCGCGCGTGTGTACTGTGTGTGTGTGTGATGCTTGAACTCTCACGCGTGTGTCTGTGTGTGTGTCGCAGAGAATTAATAAAAAATAAAATGTAACAACAACAACAAAATAGTAGTAACAATAACAATAACAACAACAATAATAATAATAATAATAAACATACAATCTTCCATGTGATGTGGTCCTGTGTATGTGATCCAGTATCTCGATCTCTGTTTTAGCTGCCTCCTTATATTTGGCTATATTCCTTATAACTTTTACCGCGACTTTCGTGTCTCTGAAATAATTTTGTAAATAATAATTTTAATTACTTATATTAATATCATCCTTACTATATTACTATTATAATATAATAATTATGTTAGTATTATTATATTATTATTATTATTATATTATGGTCAAAATATAAGAATATTTTTTTTTATTATTCTTATTATTACCTTTTGAGGTCTTTACATTTGACAACCTGCCCAAAAGTGCCCTGTCCTAGCGTTTCGATCATTTTATCTATAAATGAAAAAAAAATTATCTTTCATTTTTTTTTTAAAGAATAACTTGTAAAATGTTTAAATAAAAATAAATATAGGATTTTAAATAGATGGATATATGGGTATATAAATCACCCTAATACCTAATAAAATCATTCAAAAAATATGAATAAATATATAGATATACATAAAATTGTTTTCAAGTAAAATCTAATTATACTTACAAATAGTTTTAAATTAAAACTAGCACATACTTCATTCACTAAGTATATAATTTGTTATTAAATAAATAATTAATCAATGTAATTGAATTAAAATTCTATGCAAATTGCGCTAAGAAGAATTAGATTGAAAGTTAGATTTATCCTATTTACAATAAATAGAAAGATAGTATTTTTTTACTATGATACATAGATACATAATATATATATATATATATATATATATATATATATATATATCATCAACTTTATACATTTTATTTAGAGATATATATTGATGGATTGTAATTGGATGTGTTTTTATGGTAGATGTTATTTGATGTTATGTAAAATTTAATAAAAAATGTTAACTCTGCCATGCCAATACAATATTACAGATCCATATATACATATATAGAATATATATTTATACTATTTATTGATTTAGATATTTAATTATTTTTAATTTAACTATTTGACTATTATCTAATTAGTTATGTGATTAATTAATTAATTATTTAGCTATCTTAGAAATAATCTACATCGATTGTTCAGCAGCTCTCCCTCTTTGTAAACCAAATGGCCTTCCTCGTCGTTCTTTATGACCTTCCTCTTCTGATGGCTATGTCTGTGCTTCTATGATATCAAAACCCCGCCCCATTGTCATCGTGGATGGTGGTAAGCAGCAGCAGTTGTCGGTGGATTTGGTGGTGGTGTCATCGTGATCAGTATGGTGGTTAGTGTAGCAGTTGATGTCATCAGCATGATGTCGTCATCGTCGTCAAATGAATCATCGAAGAGTGGATGAGTTGATGTTCATGGAAGCAATCGTTGTCAATGATGTCGCAAGGATGGATGTAAATTGGCAGACCCAAAAGGAAGGTGGTCAAGAATGACCGTGATTATCATCATCATCATCAACATCATCATTTAATACAATAATAAATTACTTTAAATGATCAACTTCACTCTATAATTGAATTAGAGACTTACCTGTGTCACAGACTAAAAACATCATGAAAAAAATAACTCACCCATGTCGAGTTAGTCCTTGAACTTCTTGACGTGTGTCTCGAGTGTCGTCTGCTTCTGCACTTTCGATGGCGCTTCCTGTCCTTTTCGGTATATTCCCTAGACCTGCATCTTGAATCTGATGATATTGGAGAGGCTGATGATGCGGAGGATGGGGAGGCAGAGGAATGTCGTCTGTAATCGCCTAACCCGCTGCAAAAAATGACAACTGCTTTTAAATTTAACCATCTATTTTAATATCTTTTGAAATTCCAACTTATGAAATGACTTTTTGGAAATAAATTTATTTATAATTTATATAATATATATATTTTATATTATATCTGGTTAAGAAATTTTGACAAAATTATATTTTTTAAACATTATTAATCAAGATAACTTAGGCCAATCATAAACTTTAAGTTAAATCTAGTCTGTGTAACTATAAAATGATTAAAACGTGTACCAGTTTTTAGAACTTTTCCATTAGATGGCATGCATGTAGATATAATATAATACTCTAGTTCTATGACTTATTAATTTATATATATATAGTTATAATACAATACATTATTTTATGTACCTCACTACTGCCTAAGTATGGAACTTTAATTTTTGGCTGGCAGCAATGTTGTTTGCAAATGTTTAGAGCTAAAAAACTTTAAACAAATTTTATAAAATAAAATGCAAAGCTCCAGATACTTGTATCCATTATTGTGAGCGACATCTCTACGGGAAGTTTTACTACATTTAGCTTTATTCTCGTGGTAATGGTAATCATCCTCTGTCTGCCTCTCTCCATCGTCATACGAATATTTCCTTTTACCCTGTTGTTTATTTAGTATTTATGTTTACGGTGAATGTATCGTGACACATGACGGAATTACCGATTACTTTTGGATTAGAAGAATCTATTCTATTGGATTAGTAGTGTTTGTTGATTGTGATTGATTATCAGTGCCACGTTCTTTTATTTAAAAATTTTAAACAATTTTAAAAAAAGAAAAATAAATACAAACTCGATAATGATTCGAATAATCTCCCATTTCAAGTACGTAAAATAACTATCTATTAATTTGATATTAATCACAACAATTTAGAAAATAACAAGGATTCTTACGAACTCGCCATACTCTGGTCTAACTAACCGACAAAGGGACGCGTACAATAAACTTGTACCATATACTTATAGGGTTAGAATTACCACATACTTAGACATACACAGAAATATATATATACATATATAGGCAATAAATGTATGTATGTGTGTGTGTGTGTTTGTGTGTGTGTGTGTGTGTGTGTGTGGCGTGTGTTTTAAGTAAAGCGGCTTATTTATCTTAGTATTTGACAGACAAGTTCTTGAAGAAATTTATAATTACACTACCTTAGTTGGCTAGAAGTAACTGTCGAAATATTTGATCATTAATTGAAACAATCTTAAATTTATGACATAAAAATCAAATCCCGTGTAACGTAGCATGTAGATAATGAATACAAACAAACAGATTTATAAACAAATTAAATCTTTTTTCATGGCTGAATTCACAATATTAGAAACTTTAAAACGCTGTTTGATAAAAAATGATTTTGGAACGATAAGTTGCATGAAATATTTATTCATTGGACATTTTAAACAAGTTTGATCTTAAATGTTCATTCTGAAACGAATTTTTTGATGTAACATTAAAATGAAATTTATATTTTTGAGATAAATTGAAGCGTGAAATTAATTTTGATGTGATAATATAAAATAAAGTTTCGATTTTTCAAGATCATATTGATAAAGAACGATAGCGGATGGAAGGAGTGGGTGGTGAAAAGGACGAACCTAGCCCGAAGTTCAAAGGAATGTGAATTACTTTGTTTCATGCAAGGAAAATCTAAATTCGTCGTGCAAATGATTGACTTTTTCGATTCAAATGTATTTAAAAAAATCATTTCTACAAGTAGCACAATTCGTAATATTAATTAAAATTTGTAATGAATAGTTGGGTCGATTGCAATTGTTGTAATTGGCGAGTTAGAAAGTAGATGCGTCATGTAGGTTGAATGTCAAATGCTGTATGCAATTGGAATATCTATACCCAAATGTCTGCTGCCTGTGTGAGCGTGTTGTGTGTGTGTATCATTTGTCAAACGCTGTTAAACAAGGATAAACACAAAAAGCTATTTAAGCTCAATTTTGTCTCAGTGAAAAGTCTTTTGTAACTTAGTTCCTTAGGCAGTCAGTAAAGCAGAATACTGAAACTTTAATTAGACTATGATAAGTTGAATGTTGAAATCAAACAAGTCCATTATTTGTACATAGACAGTATTTGATATATAAATCTTAGGTGAAGTGCGTGTTTCGTCGATACGCACGGTCGTGTGTTTCTTCATCTAAAGAGAGTTGATAACTATTGTTAATTGCTACAATGTTGACTTTTAAATGATTTTCAATGAACCATAGAGAGCCAATTCTAGCCAACATAAGGACAACATTTAAATACATCATTTAAAACCGATTATAATTTTAAAAATTAACTCCCCAGACACATAGGTACCTGATTTTGAAGTATTTAAAGAACGGTAATTTGCTGAAGCACTTGTTTAAACTGAAACAATTCAGCGAAGAAGCCACATCATTCTACGCTGCCTGTATCTTAACTGTTATAAGGCAAATGCTTAGCGTCAACATACTACACAAGTCAGGTTTAACAAGAGATCTAATTTCGACATTTTATTTCATTGTTATAAATTCGTACAGTGACCTGCATCTTGGCAATTTATTGTTAGACGACGGTGGCTACCCTACTTTGGTCGATTTTGAAAGGGCGACAAAAATTAGCAGCACCACTCACAATATTAGAGACATTGAGATTAAATTGGCGTATAAACTGGGACAACTAATTGGTGAAATGCTCAACGGAATAGTTTGAATTTTTTTTACATTATATTTGAAATAACGTTTATAAAGCATTAAAACTAAATATAAAACACCGTAGAGAAACAAAATAAAATAAACTTTACTTTTATTTTATAAGGAGCGCAGGATGAACATGAGAACTAGTTCAGTTGCAAATGATTTATCAAAAGTATTGTTAAATTTCACTCAAATACAATAATTTTTCTCCTAATATCAAATAAAATCTCACCCTCCACATAAGCGGTTAATGGATGTAAAACAACTGTCAGAATTTCCTACAAGGCAGTCGATCTTACACACAATAATGGAGCATGAATTCTTTAATGTAAAGAAGTAACATTTACACATTGTTATGTTACGTTGTACTGCTATGTTATGTTACATAGCTACATCATGTTATAATATGTTACATTATATACACGAATATGACTTTAATTAGAATGTGAAGTGGTCTGAACTGGAAAACAAACGTGCAGTGTTTAAATTTCAAATGAAAAAAGATGAAGATGATAAAATGTGGAGATGCTTCCAAGATGATCAGGCCAGGTCTTCATCATCAAACAAATCATCAAATTCTGAAAATTTATAAATTTTAAAAATAAATTAAAATATTTTGCCAAAATTGAAAAATGTTTTGAAACAATTGACAAAAGTGCATTTGCTTTTAAAATACATATTTAGCTAATATTTTATGAAGTTTTGTTAAATTTTATAACAATTATTTATAATTAAAATAAAAATAATTGATTAACTAATCATACAACTAGCTTATTATACATTATATTATTATAATTTAAAGTTTTATAATTTAAAGAAAATCAACTGACAAGAGCAAGCAAAGCGTCAATCTTATTTCGTCAAAGTTGACTTGCGGGGTTTTCAGCATCTATCCATCGAGCGGGACAGTGGAAGCCGGCGGAAAGATGAGCATCTCCGTCGAAACGTCATCAGATGTCGTTGGAAAATTTGAAGAGGTTATAGACAGTGCATTGGAGTGAATTTTATTTAGGAGTTGATTATTTCTAATTGTATTATACTACTTTTTTGTTTTCAAGCCCGGTATTTTATTATTTAATTGTTGTTGTTTTATTGTTATCAGTTCAATCTTAAATGATTTTTTAGAGTTTTCTTTGACGATAAATGAACTTGAATGATTTTATTTCTGACTGTTATATTACAAGGTGGTGATTGATATTAACCACTGTGAATCAATTTATTGGAATTAAAAATTAATGTTAGAGTCAATGAAGAAATATGCGAAAGCTTATTAAAAAACATTCAAGTCTGCGTCTGATGGTAAAACGAAGGATTTCCTTCATATTCAGTTGATTAGGATTACATTGATAGCATAGCATATTAAAACTTTGTTACAATGCAAATAGATTAATTGATAGAAAATTCTTGGTTAAAATGAGAACCCTTGGGTACATAAATGAATAGAATCTAATATTTGGATAGAATGAAAATGTTTGGACGGAAGGAAAATATTTGGATAGAGTGCAAATATTTGGATAGTTTAAAAATATTCGGATTGAGAATTATTTGAAAAGGACAGATTACTTGGGATAGAATTATAATCATTGAACATAATGAAAATATTTGGACAGGCGCTCAAAGTCGTTATGGCAGAAAATATACAAAATTTCTTATCTTATTATTTTGTACGATGTTGAAATCGTCCTGGGTATGACATAAAACTGCATCCGCGCTGCCTTGCGTGCTTTTGAGCGAAAAGCTAGGCCCACTGCTTATAACTGGTGGTTGTCATCAGGATGGGTGTCCGGATGTAAAAACTTTTCCCCAAATTATTCCTATGCCATCACAAAGAAAAACAACGGCCCCTAGTCCCCAGCAGGCCTTAAGTGGTCAAGGGGTGCCAAGAATCCCTGGGAAGTATGCAATAGCAGAGGGATGTTGCAGAAAAATTCAGAATGGCCCCTCTATGGTACTTAGACTTGGAACGCTCAATGTTGGATCACTGACTGGCCGCAGCATGGAAATCGCAGAAATGCTCGAGCGTAGAAGGATTGACATCTGCTGCCTTCAGGAAACCCGATGGAAATCGAATGGTGTCTGTCATGTCAACTCAGACAAAGAAAAATATAAACTATTCTGGAATGGTCAAAAGACGGCCAAAAATGGTGTTGGAATTTTTGTCAGAGAACCGCTAGCCCAAGAAGTACTGGATATTAGAAGGATTAATTCACGTCTTATGTTGATCAAGCTTCACATAGAAAAGCAAACAATGATTATTTTTTCTGCATACGCACCACAGACAGGCAAATCAGAAGAGATGAAAAATGACTTCTGGGCTGCGTTCTCTGACACCATCTCAACAATACAAAAATCTGAAACAATCCTGATTGGAGGCGATCTCAATGGCCACGTTGGAGAGAAAACAGATGGTTTTGATAACGTACATGGCGGTTTTGGCTTTGGAAAACGGAATGAAGATGGCAACCGCATTCTTGAGGATGCTGAAAGTCACGGGTTTTGTTTACTGAACACATATTTTAGAAAGAGGTTGGAACATCTCATAACATACAAAAGTGGACCATCAGCCACGCAAATTGATTTCTTCGCTGTCAAGCAGCAACACCGAAGGCTATTCAAAAACGTCAAAGTTATACCTGGCGAATCATGTGTCGCCCAACATAGACTTCTTGTGGCAGACCTGGTTGTCGAACTGTCACAACATAAGTCTAAACAAATGCCTCGGAGAATCAAAACGTGGAAGCTGAAAAGCAATATTCATCGAGAAAAATTTCAGCAGATCGTCGCAACACAGTTAGACCACCAATTGCAAGCCAGTACAGATTGGAGTACATACAAAACCGTTTTGATGAACGCTGCAACTACAGTTTGTGGGAAAACTGGTACAAAACGTCAGCATGAACGTGACACTTGGTGCTGGAATGACAGTGTACAAAATGCAATAGTTGAAAAGAAAGTTGCATACAGGCAATGGCAAAAATCAAAGTCTGTTGATGACCATAAAATTTTCCGTGAGAAGAACAACTATGCAAGACGTCAAGTTGCACTGGCTCAGACAGATCAGTGCAGAGAGTGGCTCACTAAAAGCAAAGGTGAACAAATGAAGAGAAGATTAACGTCGTGCATCACAATCGGAAATTATCAATTTGGTTTTCTAGCGGGGAAATCAACAATTGATGCAATTCACATCCTTCGGCAACTGCAAGAAAAGTACCTCGCAAAGCATCAACAACTATCACACATTTTTGTAGACCTTGAAAAAGCATTTGATCGGGTTCCCCGTGAAGCAATCAGGTAGAGTCTACGTCGACAACTCATTCCAGAATATCTTGTTTGACTTGTGATGGAAATGTATACGAATACTAAGACTCTTGTCAGCACAACGGTTGGAAACACAGATGCATTTGACATCGGCATTGGAGTTCACCAAGGCTCGATTCTCAGTCCAATATTATTTATAACTGTGATGGAAGAAATCACAAAACCGATACACACTGGTGACATTTGGAATCTAGTATATGCTGATGATATCGTTTTAACAGCCACCTCTGAGCAGAATGCAGCACAGATGTTTGAAGATTGGAACACCAGACTCGCCGATCATGGATTCAAAGTCAACATCGGCAAAACCAAAGCAATGAACACTGGTGAACCCATCCAATCCACAGCTACTGGACGATGGCCCTGTTCAGTTTGTAAAGCTGGTGTAGGTAACAATTCAATCAAGTGTCAGCAGTGTAACCAGTGGTGTCACAAATAAAATAATAAATGCCTGGAATAAATGGCATCTCCTTGCCTCTATATTGATGCGGCGTGACATCCCACTACCACTACGATCAGGACTTTATAAATCTGTGCTACGTCCAGTGTTGTTATATGGTGCAGAAACATGGCCAATGACAACCAAACTGGAACAACAACTTCAACGAACCGACATGAAAATGCTCCGATGGATGCAATGAATTAGTCTGAAGGACCACATCAAATCTACCGAAATCCTGCGTCGTTCTGGTTTAGATGATATAAAGGACAAATGCCGGCAACACCGTCTGCGGTGGTTTGGTCATGTCAAACAAAGTGGAAACAGTGCCATAACTTCTCTTGCAGATGTTGAAGTACCTGGCACATGTCCCAAAGGCCATCCAAAGAAGTCCTGGTCGCAAACAATCGAGCAAGACATGAAAGCTCTAAATTTAAATGAAATGGATACAACTGATCGTCCAATTTGGCGCAAAAAGTTGATGGCAAAGAAAACAACGTCCTACCTTGGGAAACCGGGTCTTGGGACGCAAAACGAAGATTGATTGATTGATAATTTAAAGTTTAAATTTTAAACATAAAATACAATCCAATTAACCGTTGTAGAAATCTGAATGAACTGACTTATCATTGGCAGCCAAATCCATCAATAAAGCATTTGAACCACCTGCCTAATAAATTAATATCAAATAATTAATTTATTATTAATTAATTAACACTAAGGGATCTTAACTTAATAAAATCTATTAATTAATTTTATTTTAATTAATACAAATTAAATTAAAAGTTGATCAAATTAGTTATTCATTAATAAAAATAAAATTTGTTTTTAAAATTAAATTAAAAATTTTATTTAAAATTTTAAATTTTAATAATAGTAAATTTTATTGAATTTTATATTAACCTCATCGACGTCCATATAAGGCCCCACGCCTTCTGGAAACATTTCATCAGCAGCAACTGCTGGCTTCATTTTTTTTAACCCACCGGAGAGCCGAAATAGACAAAATCAATTAGGGAAATCGTTCAGGAGCTCTACTTGTTATCGATTTAACTTTTAAATCTAGATGCAACTACTCGTCACATATAATCGGTACAAATGCTAGAGTAGCATGCATATATATATAAATATATATATATATATATATATATATATATATATGTATATATATATATCACATCAGGTATCATATCACATTTTATATTATATATCTATATATAAGGGTGTATCATATTATCTGTACATATATGTCTGAAGGATTTGACTTCCTTGCATTGTTGGCTTATTTTCTTATTACTTGCAAAATTGCATAATTTTTAACAAGCAAGTTATATGAAATATTTACTTGCCGAATAGTAAACCATTACCGGATAGGAAACCATTGCCGTTTCAGCCACACATCCTCATCATTTCGATCAATCACATCAGAAGAAAGTTTATTTCATGTATGTAATACACTACTATACAATCCTATCAACAACTAAATTGTCTTCAAGTAGGTAAGACCTTTGAAGCTCTCTGATTGACTGGTTGGGTCTTCTATATTGCTCTTTATATGAACATATTAAACATATCATATAAATTATAGTTACTTTATGTATATTTATTATATAAATTCATTATTGAAACAATAGTAATTGTTGTTACATATGTACGCACGAAATTTAAATTTTTCTGTGATCCATCAAAATAATTTGACACCGCACCTTACTTAGCGTCAATTGTAAAACATGAATATAAATATATACAATAAGTAAATATATCCATTTATTTAGTTAGTCTTGTGTGCATTAAATATTTTGTAAAAAAAACTTTTGATATGAATCGAATATAATGTAATCTACAATATAATAGCTAATCCACCATCGTACAGTTAAATAACAACAGTTAAACTGACGTCATTTCCTCCCACGACAAAAAAAGAAATTATGATTGGCTGGTTTGATCTCCAATATTTGATATGTTTTTGTATAATGATTAACAGTAACGCGATGTTTTAGTAGAATCATAATCAACATCGATTTTGCAAGAAGTTTATCTTTACATTTTTTTAAATGTCAAGGTCGGTTTCTTTGATGTGTTTTTGCTAAATCAAAAACACATGTATGTGATTATGTATGTGCTTATGTATGTGAGCATGTTAGCATGTATGTATATGTTAATGTTTGCGTGCATGAAATGAAATAAAAAATATTTTAAATGTCAAGGTCGGTTCCTCTGGTTTGTTTTTGTCAAATCAAAAACATCATGTACGTGCTTATGTTTGTGTGAATGTTATCAAGTAGATGAGAGAAATGAGAAAATGTAGAGTTAAACAAAAAAAAAAAACAACATTAACAATCCTAATCAAACTAAATTGACGTTAACGAACGATCCCTCGAAACTTTTTGATAACTTTTTTATAAACCCATTATAAAACAACAATTAATTTTACGTGTGTACGAGAATCTTTAAAAGTATCTTTATTTATTTTATGATTCTACTTTGTTCAATAAGATACTGTTTGATACTGTATTCTCAATTGACCGGTCAATCAACAAATGAATCAATCAATTAACCACTGAATCTTTTTGGTTGTGTATTCGTGTGTGTGGTTACAAAGTTAATCTGCGGCCAGTGTGTGGTTGTGGTGTGTGTGGTTGTGTGTTATACGTACACGAAACACGTTGTAAATACAGAATCATACACGTATGTAGATAAATTGGGCCACAATTATACTTGAAAACTAGGTAACATGAGTTATCCCAACAGCAAAAGTGAACAAATATTGAACTGCTAATGATTAATTTAAGGTTTACAATGAGACAAAAATTTTTATTCCATTACATAAAGTAAAAATAAATTTACTAGAAATTCAAAAATAGTAAAGTATAAAATTACACAAAGTTGTAAAATAATTAGGTAAATTTTTGATAAATACTTCTATATACATATGGTTACTACTTCAATTAAACGGTAGAGTAAAAATTATTGAAAAGCATTGTCAATCAGATAAGCTAGAAACGTTGAAAAAATTGAGATTGAATGTTATGTGTTGGATGTATTTAAAGATTCCTAAGTAACTTTTCAAACAATTTAAAGTAGAAAATGATTAGATATATTTATATTAAGTACATTCTGGTTAGTTTTGATTGAAATAGTTGTTGAATAGAACGTTTAAGTTTGTAGTTGACGTCAGCATTGTCAAATTCCTTTGTAAGCACGTAGTTCATTCTTCGTCAAAAGAGTTAATGACAAGGACAAAGAATCATATTAAGTTTTAAACATTCCACACAATACTTTCATAGAATTTTTAAAATTAATTTGTTGACATTGTTTTTGGAAAACTTGACGAAACAACATTGAAACTTGAAGAAACAACATTATTGTTAATATTGCCTATACAAAACAGTAATAAAAGTAGTAGTAGTGGTAGCAGCAGTAGTTGTAGTAGCAGCATCATTAGTAGTAGTAGTAAATCATGGTCAGTTTATTATTTGCCGAACAATCTCACACATCATAAAATATTTTTTGTTTTTACAACTGTTAATTAAAACAAAACTTAACTCTTATATACATTATAAATCATATATGGTAACGATTGAAACACAGTCATTTTACGACTTACTATTTTTATTGGTGGTAAAAATAGCAGGGTATTCTTAAAATGCCCAACAGTTCATCAAAGCCATCCAAACGTGTTCTTTATCGAAGATTTAACCGGCTAATAAATTGATCGGTTTATTGGCTTATTCTTTGTCTTTGTTTAATAAACTGCATTAGTGTTACTCAATTTTATTACAGGAGTTGTAATTTAATATATGTTGTTAAAAACCTTTGCTCTGATTCTCTTTCTAAATCTCATTGCCGTCTTCACGGGTATATATACCTATAGCTAGATGATTTGAGTCGTTAACGAATTGGGTCGTTAGTAAATTTTTAACGGAACTTATGTTAATTATTATTCAAATTTATCGGTGCAATACGGTTTAAAATAGGTGATTAATTATTGAAATAGTTAAATTTTTAAAAAATATTTAAATTTTTTTAAATGAAAAATCAATGGCAACCAATAAGAAAATAATAAGATGTGAGCACTCAGGCGCAGTCAATAAAGCAGTTAGTAAAGATATCTATTATAATTAATTTAATCTCATGTATCTAATTGATTATTTGCAGTAATTAGTCTATAATATTTGGTAAAAATAATACTTTAATATAATAAAACATTAATTAAATTTTTTTAATTCCTAGAAGTATGAATTAAAAGTGAAAATCGGCCACAAAGCAGCAAAGAGGCAGAAACCCACGCCCCAGGGTTTTACGCACGATTGGGTGGTTTTCGTAGAGTCGGTAGATGTCAAAAGTAAGGGCAAAAACATCGCAAACCAGCAACAAAGTGGCCAAAAATGGAACCTAGAAGCAGTTGTGGAAAAAGTGAAGTTCCATCTACATCCATCTTTTCACAATCCGTTAAGAGGTAAGTAATTGTGGGACTACTATTGTAAAATTTTAAATCGAAACATTAATAATTGAGAAATTATTGTCATTATCATATTAACTTATAATTTTCTTAATTTCAAAATGTTTAAAAGTTATTTATTATTATTGTTATAACAGTCTGTTACAAGGAGCCCTACAAAGTGGTAGAGTCCGGATATGCAGGGTTCACCTTCCCAATCGAGATACATCTAAGGAATGACGGATATCCCAAATCTATAAGATTCGAGTACACTCTGTTTTTGGGAGTTAAAGATTGGGTGGAGTATGATAGAACTGAACTGGTCCTTTTTGAAAATCCCAGTGTCCGCTTTTACGAGAAATTGCTAAAAGCAACAACGGTCAGTATTTGGTTATCTATGCCCGGTTATATTTTATTCAAATTTATTTGATATTGGTCAAATTTGAAATAATAATTAGATTTGAAATTTCTGATTTAATTAACACAATATTTTATCTTAAACAGGGTTATAACGATGACGACAGCCATGAAAAATACGACAATGTATACAATACAGTTGCAACTACCGCTACATCTGTTGCTGCTGCTGCAGTTAACAGCCGCAACAACTACAAAAACGTCAACTACACTAACACTAACAACAACATTGATAACTGCAAAAACATCTACGTTCATAATGAGCCGCAGGTAGCAAAACCGGCTCACATAGTGAGTAAATTCATTCTCTAAAAACTATCAATTTTATTTGATAATTTTTTAAATTAAAAAATAATATTTTCTCATTAAATAATAATATATGTATAATTAGTGCTACATTTAGTATAATTGCTTAAAATTAACAATATAATAGCTACAATTTTTCTAATGAAAGGCAAAGAAAACAATGCCAAGATCAAAGAAACGAATTTGGGACGACGACGACGACGATGATTTCAACATCAGCTACAGCAACCACAATAAAAAAAACCCTCCTCTAAACGCACATATGAAAAGCAGCAGGGCAAAAAGTAGCAAAAATATGAATAATAATAAATACGTAGATGACGAAAACGACGATGATGTCATCATTTTACCGTGTAATCCCACAATCGCTACCACCACAGTTAAAGTGTTAGAACCAAAAAAGAAACCAGGCAGACCAAAGAAAATGACCAAAATGGTTGAAAAACCCATCGAAGTCCACAATGTTCCGAATCAATTTTTAGACATTAAAAAACAACCACAACAACAGCTAATGCAATCACATCAGCAACAACTACAACATCAACAGTTGCAACAAATTCCTCATTATCAACAACAAATACAACATCATCAGCAACATCCACAACGGGAAACGCAACATCATCAGCAGCAAATACCACAACATCAGCAACAAATACAACAACATCAGCATCAAATACAACAACATCTTCATCAACAACAACATTCGCAACAACAACAACAAATTCAACAACAACAAATTCAACAACAACAAATTCAACAACAAATCCAACAACAACGAAAGAAACAAGACTTTCAGTCCGAACCAAAAAACATCATCAACAACAACGACAACATTAAAATAGACTGCAATAAGCCCATTACATTAAGAAACGCAAAAACAATGAGTAACGTAGAGCCAACGAAACGAACCAAGAGAACAAACCTAAAAGGCAAAAAATTACCGGAAACCAAAGCCGAAACTAACGCGAAAAATCATCAAAACGAGATCGCTCACAAGCCAGTTGCTAAAACCAGCGCCGAAGTTAAATTTTCCACAGAAATCCCAAAAAATTTTAATTTTGATAAAATTGAAATCAAAACCAAAGAATCAGCAACCAGTAATAACAACATAAACAACAACAACAAAGATAAAAATACGGACAACAAAATCAGCAGCAACGACCTTGCCGCAAAGCCGAAACCAACAGCATTTCAGCTATACCTAGCCAAGCAGTTGAGTGAAAAAAATAACATTGAAGAGGACAGCACGCTGAATAACACACTCAATAAGAATTCATTCGTCAGCGTCAAATTCAATCCACAATCTACATCCACCCCAATAAGATCGCATCTCAAAATCAACCAACCACAACATAATATTACGACCACGAACGCTACTGCTACTACTACCACTACTACTACTACTTTTGTTACTTCTATTACTACCAATAACATTGCTAATACATTAAGGACAACAACTACATCTGTCATGCCAAAACTAGAATACATTCCTAAGCCTGTCTCATCTACAATAACAAATTCAATAACATCAACAATAGCGACATCAACTACGGCGGCAGCAGTAACGACAGCAGCAACAGCGACAACAGCAGTAGCCGCGACAACAACGGCGACGAGCAAGCCACGCGTGCGAATAAAGTACAAACCCCCGGTTAAAATAGAATCAACGTTGGAAGACAGTGACCTGAAAGTCTACATACCTGAAGACATGACTCACGCGCAGTACATCCTGCAAATCAAGCAGGAAAACTTGCGCGTTCAGGAACAACAAAAACTTCTGCAACAAAAAATAGACCAACAGCAACGTATACAAGAAGAGCAGCAAGAGCAACTAAAACTCCTACTGCAACAACAACAACGCATACAAGAAGAAATGAAGCAACAACTACTACGTCAAAAACAGCAACTATCTTTGCAAGAACCACCTCTGCAGCAACAACAGTCTCTGCAACAACAGTCTCTACAACAACAGTCTCTACAACAACAGTCTCTACAACAACAGTCTCTACAACAACAGTCTCTACAACAACAGTCTCTACAACAACAGTCTCTACAACAACAGTCACTGCAACAACAATCTTTGCAACAACAACCTCTGCAACAACAAACCCAGCAACAACAAACTCAGCAACAACAGCAATTGTTTCACAATCAACAACATATACAACAAAAACCTGTATCGAAATCTGTACAACAACCTCCTTTGGTACAACAACCACCTCTACAACAACAACCACATATGCAGCATCATTTTATAGAGCAGCAACAGCAACAATTACAACAATGTATAACCAAACAACAACTTCTTCATCTAGAACAACAACAACAGCAGTTTCTATTGAAACGACAGTTGGAAGAACAAGAAGAACAACTGCGTAAAAATTGTCTAAAAGACCAACAACTAATACAACATCGACCACTAACGCAACAACAACGTTTACCAGACATTCATCACCAACATCATCATCAACATTATCCGCAACTAGAAAATGAACCTCAACATCAACAACATATACAATGCCATCAACAACTACTTGATTACCCTCATCAACTTCAACAACAACAGCCACAGCAACTACAGAGGCCACAACTTCAACGACTGCAACAACTACGACAAGAAGAAACCATTAATAGATACATATTTTAATCAATCAACCAATCACTTATATAGCGCAATACTCTTACCTAAACTCACAAAAACTGACAGTAACTTGATGTTTTTAAATGGCTTTTAGCAAAGCAACAACTAATGCAATTCATTAAAATAAGAACGTGAATTCATGCATATTATATGCTTATGTGAAATGTATGGGTGAATATATATATATATTTAACGAAATGGACAATGCTATTGATGCAATGTTTAAAATTTTTAAATAGAATTTATTTTTAGTTTTTAATTATTAAATATAAATTCACTTTTAATAGTTTTTCCACGTAAACAGTTGTCACGTAATTAATAAAATAATATTTTTATTTATTTGTGTTTAATCAAGTTTGTACGAAAAATAAGAAAGAATAATTTTAAATTAATTTTCATAATTTTTTTAATTGTCAAGATGGAACCGGGATTATTGGTGCTTGTTTTCTGTTTCTTGAAAATACTTTTCTAAAATTTTAAAAATTTAATTAATTTTTAATTTTTCATTATAGACAATTGTAATATTATCAATAATTCTATTACTTATTGATATTATATATTTTATTTGATATTATTCTGATATTTGCATCACATTTTATTTTATTTGAATATTTAAAAAAAAATAAGTTGAAAAAGAATCTTTTTTTGAGTATTTAAATTTTAAAACATCCCACTTTAAAACTTAAATCAAACAGTTCAATATAAACTATAAAGTTTGGTTAACGTTACTGTTTGGTTTTTAAAAATTAAAGAAACCTTTGATGATTTATTAATTTATTTGCTAAGTAATTAATACAACACACCGACAGCACATTAAATTAAATTGCACCTGTACTGTATATTATATATATAAATAAATTATTCATTATTGTTATTCATTTATTTATTTATTTATATTATTATTATGAATTATAATTGTTAAGGACCCCTCAATGTACTTGGTGAAAGGCATATTGATCATGGACAATGATGGTAACAGACTCTTCGCTAGGGTTAGAAGGAAAATAATAAAAAAATAATATTACTACTGGTGTTATTACATAAAATATCTAATTAGTTAATTAATTAATTAGTTTTACATTTAATTAATTAATTAATTACATGTTCGCCAATTGATTAAATATTCAAGATATAAAATGTCAAAAAATAATTTAACATACTTTTTTTTTAAACTAGTATTATGATTCCTTATTTCCAACTGTTAAAGAGCAGAAAGTCTTTGAGAAGAGCCTTTTCAGTAAGACTCACAAGACGAATGGTTATAATATTTCTATTATTAATAATAATTAATTATATTATTAAATATTTCTATCGTTGTTTGATAAAAATAATGTTTGATATACTGATTAATTAATTAGTTGATTGATTGATTGATTCATCCATTCATCCATACATTTATTCAATAATATATTTGTTTTATTATATAATATTATTTTTATTATATTTTAATATATTATATTATAATTAAAATAATATTTCTCTCTCCCCTTTTCAAACAGCCGAGATATTGATGTTGGAAGGACTCATCTGCATATACAGGAGTAGTGTCGACCTACTCTTTTATGTCATAGGATCTGCACAGGAAAACGAAGTAACCTAAATCACATACACACACACACACAGACAAACACACACACACACACACACACGTGATGATCTGGATCTCTTTACATTCAATTTCAGTCACTACAACATCAGTGTCAGCCAGCTTGAGCATTACACCACTGAGCCACTTAAATTATTATCTTTATTATCATTATTATTATTATAATAATAATTATTATTATAACTCATACAGTTAATCTTGGTAAGTGTACTAAACTGCATTCACGAGAGTATCAGTACACTGCTACGTAAGAACGTTGAAAAGCGAGCTCTGCTTGATAACATGGACGGAGTATTCCTGGCCATTGATGAGATATGTGACTCTGGGTTAGTGTGTGTGTGTGCGTGGTGTGTGTGTTTGTACGTGTTTTTTATGCGTGTGCGCGCGTGTGTGTACGCGCGCGCGCGTGTGTGTGTGGTGCTAGTCGTGTTATATTGCCAATGGTAGTTCTAGAATATCGATGATGATATTGACAATACAATGATAAAGATGAAACGGTTGATAACTTAATTATCACATATTTAACGGCAAATAGTTACTCGCCGCTCAACCCAACTGTTACTTAATACTTTATTTCGTATTTTTACTTCTTTCCGCATTTAGTACTTTTACTTCTTTCAATTTACTCTTAGTCTGATACTTGAATGCGACCCAGCCATAGTTTCACAGAGGGCCTGCTTCAGAATGGATGATTTACCATTGGGAGAACAAACTATTGCATCTGTTAGTATAGTGTACACACGCATACACACACATACGCACACACGCACGCACACATTCACACACACGCACGCCCAAGCAAACAAACACACTTAAGTATATACATCCATATTTACACACAGTGTTCACAAAATTTTTGTTTCATGAATTTGTATCTTTTTTTAGAAAGTTTAATAATGTTTTAGTTAATAATGATTACAATAGAAATTATTATTAATGGTAATTTATTTTAGTTTGATGATTTTTTTATTTTATTTAAAAAGAATAATTAAAATGTTTTGTTGCATGTACAACAGGATAGAGTTTTGTTGAGTTTGTGTTCGATGGTTCTTAAAATAAGCAAATTTAAGTGTAGGAAAAGAAATATTCAAAGTTCAAAAGTCAATTAATTAAATAATTTGATTAATTAAATGATTAATAAATAAATTAATTATGTATATTAATTAATTCTTTACTATTTTTATTTACGACTTATTCACCATCAATGTATTAAGCTGGTATCTGGAAAGTTGAAGGTTGATCAATCAATAATATTAATAATTATAATTATTATTATATTTAATAATTATCATTTTTGTTATTTTTATTATTATTCCTACTATCATAATAAAGCTTATAATTATTATGGGCTTGTACATAATTCTCAATATAAAATCAGCCTAATTTACAACCAATCAGATTAATTTTTTCTGATTATTATTATTACTTTATTTTTGTAACTCCTTGCTACCTGTATCTCAATCTGGTTTCAGACCTGCTCACAGTACTGAAACCTCTTTACTCAAAATACATAACGATATTCTTCTCTCTAGTGACAATAGTAATCTTACTTTTCTTCTCTTCTTCTTGCTCTTGACTTTTCCTCTGCTTTTGATACTGTTGATCATACTATTCTCTTGAGGCTGCTAGATCATTCTTCTAATGCTACTGATTCTTGTTTATTTTGGTTTTCTTCTTATCAATGTAATCGTTTTTAGTAGTAGTGGCAGTGTTTATTTATATTGTTCTTCTGCCATTTGGTGTTGGTTAATTGCGTTACCTTTTTCAACAGAAATTTTCAGTTTTTTAATATATTATTTTAGACAACATATAATAACAATAATAATAACTACTCTTATATTACTAAATTAATTAAAAACTCTTTTCAGGTCATCCAATCGGCCAAGGATCAAATAAAATGGCCTCTTTTGAAATAAATATCATTCCTGATTTACTGATTCATTATATTCCTTACATATTTTTATAATTTTTGCATGTGATTATTAATAAATATAATTGTTATTAATTATTAGTGTTACAATATTATTGTTACAAGATTTAAACTGACTGTCTGTTGTATGACTATGTACGTTGTTGTCACATACTGTTACATGCTATATATCATTAACTGTTTGTTTTTGTTATTTATTTGCATATCTTTCGTTCTTTATTTCGTTGCTTATTCTGAATTTACTTACTAGATTTTATTTAAAGGCAAAAATTTACTCCCAAAAATTATTAGTAAAACTTACCAAATAATAAAATTGGATTATAATAAAGTTTTATATTTATAAATAAATACGCCATCAACATAGATGTAGAAACTCAGTTTTTTCATCTTCTATGGTCATCATTGACCGTGATTTTCAAATATAGTATCTGGATGGGCGTATATACCTACGCAAGTATCCACGCTAGAAGTGCCCAAATTTTTAGAACCTCAACAGAAGCAAAACAATTTTCTATTTCATGATGGTGGTACGAATAGTTTACTTTACGCTGAAGAAATTGAAGATTTATATATATAATATACATGTAGGTATATACATGATCATTAGATACTGGTTAAGACTGCAAAACGGCGAAATTCCGATAAACAGAATCTACCTAAGAAGACCTTTTATTCCAAACGATTTTGAACATTAAATCATAACTGCCAGATTAAAACATTGTCCATTAATTAACCTTACCAATAAAATTAATTATCCATTAATAAAGGATTAATTTTCACAATCCAGTGGGTTTAAGAACATGCAGTGGAAATATGTTCTAAAATGAACATGACCAACCGCATTTCAGCATCTTTAGCAACGATAATAATAATATTATTATTATAAAAAATTATGAGTAGGAAAAAAAACCTGAATTCATACGTGACAATGAAAAACCATGATGATAAAACAATAATTATAATTATTATTATTAATAGTAGCATTAGTATTCAACAATGCGATTGTGGTGGCGATAAAAAATAATATATATATATATATATATATATATATATATATATATATATATATTAAAATTAAAATATTCTAATGCTTCCGAAAAACAAACTGAGAGAAAGTCGTACACATTCACGTATGAATTTTTAGAAAAGATATTAATACATACATACCTACATTTGTATAATATGTATATAAAAATATTATATTCCGTAATATATATATATATATACATATATATATATACATATTGTATGTATGTGAACATATGAATATGTATATATATATATTGCAAACATACATACAAACATGTACATAAGCAAATGCTCTAACTTGAAATGAAATATCCACACACACACACAAACAAAAAATATACGTACATAGGCGCCTGTACAAACATACATTTGTATAAAAAGAAATATTTATACAAACGGTGCTGTTTGTACATCGATCAATATACAATGCTATACAAAAAAGTACAATACAAGCGATACACCCATGGTATAATTATACATACATTTGTATTATATACATGTACTGTACATACACACGCACACTTCTCTATGTAAGTATGAATGCATGCATTTATACACATATATATACATATAAGATATGAGGAAATACGCCCGTACAGTTAATTAAATCAAATAATTTAACCAAATGCTTGCACGGGGCAAAAAATGCATACACAAGTGTACAAGTGAGCATTCGGACTCAACCACATCTTATACATTACAAAAGTACACACACACACACACATACATCACACACATCTATGTACACACTCGTCTGTATAGAAGTTTGCAATGTAATGTAAGCGTACAGTGTCATACAGATACACAAACACACATACGTACGTAAGCCATACTATGCGTGCATCACATTTTTATTAATTAATTAATTGACCAATTAATTAATTAACCAATTAATCAAATAACCAATTAATTAACCAATTAATTGGATAAATAAATTCATAAATAACAGCTTACGAGACAAATCATTTAACTAAAACGAATCAGTCCATTAAGAAAATATAGTAGTAATAATAACAACAACAACAACAACAATAATAATAATAGTAATAATATTTATTCATACGATAAAATAAAAATTATTCCATTATTTTATCAATTCATATATTTTTAATTTTAAGTTCATAAAATCTAACGATTAATATTTATAAAATTTAAAAAAAAATGAGAGAAGAAATGAATGAATGAATGAAACAAGATATAATCATCATCATCATTATCATCATCGTCAATTCAATTCAGTCTTTACTCTCAGATACGTGGGGCGATGTTTTCTGTTCATCAGGGTGCAGTGCTGCATCGGGGGGGGGGGGATTCAAATGATTTTATAATTTTTATAACAATTTAATGTATATTTTTCATCTAAACATAAGCAACACAAATTAATACCCTCCTTCAATCACATAGTATTTTAATGAATATTAAAATGGATCTCGTTCCTTATGTACAATCATACAAATCACGAAATTAATTAATCCCAGCAATCATGACAGATCTATCTATTGAAGAACTGCCAAAAATTTATAGACCAACTATATAAAAGGTTGCAATAAAAATTCTTTAAAATAAGTCATCATCGGGTGGGATTGACAGGCAGTCAGAGAGTTAGTCACGCAAAATCCTCATAAACAAACATACACACACACATACAGATAGTACAGACACACGCATACTTTCATCTCTGGGTTTTCCCGTGCCAAAAATACTGGCATTCTTTTCAGATCTGTACCACAGTGTTTATAGGGGTCTTTCACGGTTCTCGGTAGCAGTTGCAACTTTGGTCTGGCACGCTGACTCTGTGAAAAATGAAAAATCAGAGATAAAAATTATTTCGTTCATTCATTTAGCTAATTTATTTGTAATTATCAATTAAATAATGCTGTCAGAGATAGTGTTAGGTTATTTAAAATACAATTGTCTGAAGTAGTCTAAACAGAATGAACATTTACAACTATGAGCAAGCTAATTTTAAAAGGGACCATGAATAGAAAAACTGCAACATAAATAAAATTTTCTGGCACTCCCTACCTCCTTCGCTTATATTCCATTTTGTCATTGTTATTGTCTATTATTTGTTACATGTGAGCGAGACTATCAGATTATAATATAAATCCTAATTTTATCTCATTTACCTCACGATGAGTAAATGAATCACAAAGAGAAATATATTTGAAAATATATAAAAAAAGAACTTTTGAAAAAAGTTAATGACAGTTAATGAAATGCAGTGTGGGTTTATGCCTGGTAGGGGAACGGTGGATGCGTTGTTTATGGTGAGAATGTTGCAGGAGAATTATAGAAAGAAGAAACCAAGATTGTACATGTGTTTTGTGGATCTAGAAAAGGCTTTTGATCGAGTACCGAGGAAGGTCATTGAATGAGTGTTGACGAAGAAAGGAGTGAATGAGAGACTTGTTAAAGCTGTGATGCAGCTGTATGAAAGGGCAAAGACAAAGGTGAGGGTTGGAAGGGGGGTGTCGGACGCTTTTAGTGTTAAGGTAGGAGTGCATCAAGGATCAGTCTTATCACCGTTTCTGTTTGCAATTGTGATGGATGTTGTGTGTGGAAACATAATGGAGGGGTTGTTATTTGAGATTTTGTATGCAGATGATTTAGTCTTGATGGCTGATAGCATGGAAGAATTGCAGTTAAAATTTGACAGATGGAAAAGTGTTATTGAAAAGAAAGGGTTAAAAGTTAATATTGGTAAGACGAAGATAATGGTGAGTGGGGAAGGTGGGGAGCGAGTGATAAGTAAAATAGACCCCTGTGGGGTATGTGACAGAAGAGTGAAGGCTAACTCGGTATTGTGTATAGGATGTCAGAAATGGGTGCATAAGAGATGTAGTGGTGTGAGGGGGGCACTGAAAAAGGTGGAAAGCACGTTCAAATGTAAGAAATGTGTTCATGGTGTGATTAATAGGACGGACGCAAGGACGGGGTTGAGTGGTGGTATTGAAAGAGTGGAAAGCTTTGTTGGGATAAGCTGAATGCGGATGGAGGATGTTTGAGCGCAGTTACGGCTAGAGTTCGTGTGGGATGGATGAAATTTAGGGAACTGGGTGGGGTATTGTGTGGAAAGAAATGGTCAGTGAAGATGAAAGGGAGGGTATATAAAGCATGTGTGAGAGCAGCGATGGTATATGGTGGTGAAACTTGGGTGTTGAAGAGAGAGGAGGAAAGTGTACTGCAGAGGGCTGAAATAGCTATGGGGAGGATGATGTGTGGGGTTAAAGTGAAGGATAGGAGTAGTACAGAGCTGATGTCAATGATGGGACTGAATGAGGACATTGTGACATTGATAAGGAGATCGAGATTGCGGTGGTATGGACATGTGTTGAGAAGGGATGAAAGGGTCGAGATTAGGCGAGCGTTGGAGTTCGAGGTTGAAGGAGTGGTAGGAAGGGGTTGTCCGCGATTGGGATGGAGAGAGCAGGTGGAGAAGGACAGGGTGAAAGCGGGGTTGCGTGATACTGAGGCGAGTGACAGATTTGGATGGCGTTGAGGAGTATTTCGGTTTCATCATAGGTAGCCAAACGGCAACCCCCGATCTCGGGGAAAATGCCGTCTAAACGTGTGTTGTTGTTGTTTTGAAAAAAATAGGAAAAACAAACCAGGAGATAATTCTCGTAGGGTGGACTCTATGGGCCCTTTGTTTTCGCTATCTTTCCTGGCTCTGTTGTTGTAATCATTTCGTCGACCGCCTCCCGACCATCCACTTTCATTCCTTCCATAGCCACCACCGGGACCACCGCCTCGCCTGTTCTGCTGTTGCTGCTGTGACTGGTGGTATCTATCCTGGTTCTGTTGCTGCTGCGGCTGAGGCTGGTAGCCGCCACCCCGACCACTTCTGTTGTAACCGCCACCTGGTGAGATTGTGGAATAGTATTTGTTGCACTATCCAATTTCATATCGAAATACAAGTTAAGATACAAAAATACAATAGATGGTATGGTATAAATGGATAGTATAAATGAATCCAAAATGAAGTGATGGGTAGAGAAATGAATGATGGGTAAATTGATAAAAAAATGGACAGATAGTTAGATGGATGGATAAATAGATGGAAAAACTCGATGGATAAAAATTTAGATGGATGGATATATGGATGGATATATAGATAGGCAGATGTGCATATGGACAGACAGTACCTTCTCTATTTTGTCGATTTCCTCCATAAGAACCATCCCCTCCATAGAATGAACTCCCATCATTTCTAGGCCCCGGACCTCCCCCTCGTCCACCAGGGCCACCTCTCCCTCTGCTACCTGCAAGTGAACATCTCAAAACATGACGCTCTTTTCAATACACACACACAAATCAACACACACACACACACAAATCCACAACACACACACACATGTGCATATTTGTGAAATTTATTTATATTAACATACATTTCACTTAACTATCCTTAACTATAATTCTAGTTTTGCATTTGTACACTTAACCATACTGTACCAACCTCTGAATGAAAAAGAAGCTTCATTAAGGATGGAATAAGATGAAACAAAATAAAAATAATATGAAATAAATTTTAGAAAAATAACAAAAAGCAACAAGTTTTCCATAACTTGTATGTCAAAAAACCAAATAAGAAACTATTTAAGAATGAAATGAAGGCAGACAAAGAAAGATTGTCCTAAAATATCAAATAGGATATTATACTGTAACAAAAATCTAATAAAAAAAATAAGATCACTAGCAACAATAATAACAACAACAACAATAATAATAATAATAATAATAAATAAATACCGTCATATCCTCCCCGGCCTCCCTGAGCTCCACCACGACCTCGATTGCCCTGATCTGACCTACGACCTTCGGCCACATCGACTCGCAAGTATTTGTCTATGAAGAGCTGTTGTTAGTTGAATGAATGAATGAGTGAATAAATGATGGTGATAAACTGAAGAAATGTTGCTGATTTTATTAAATTAATTAAATTTATTAATTCATTATTTTATTAAGTTAAATAAATTTTACGGGCTAAAATGTTTTTCAGGTCTTTGCTTATTTCATTTAAAGACCTCATTTCATTTTTGTTTGGCATTAATAAGTTCAGAATTTTTTTCTAGTAAGATTTCATTTTTGTACCATTATTCTTGGTGCTGTTCTATTAACAACATTCCAACATTGAGATGTAGAACTGTTTCAAGATAACAACAAACAAACATTAAACTATTATTAATAACATCACCAACACTACTAGTTAGTTAGCAATGTCGGCCAAGCTTAATCAAACAGTTCAGCTAAACTGATTTCATTCCTTAAATAGTTTTATTAGTTTTATAACTTTGTTAGATCTAGATATTTTTAAACGTATTAATGATGATAATGATGACGTCCTACCTCGAGATGATAATTAATTAATTATCATTAACAGATTATTAATTAATTAATTATGATGATAATTATTGGTGAGTCATTGTTAACAATAATTCGTTTCATGGCACTATAGAAATCTCAGCATGTAATTATTAACTTTTTACAAAATCTCCCATTTAAGAAATCATTCTGAAATAAGCCAATAAACATTTGCCACTACTTTACTTCCATGATTGTAGAAACCATTTGACTAACAACTTTTAAAAAATAACAACAGCAACTGCAACAACAATAATTTGATGAAAAAAAATGCTCACAGCTTTGTCAAACGAAAGAGCCTCAATGAGTGATGACTTGTCTGCAAACTCGACATACGCAAAACCTTTAAAATGAAAAGTTTGAGGTCCAATTTAATCAAACATTTGAAATTAGAAATCAGAATTTGTTAAAAAATACAAGAAAAAATTGAATTAAAAATTCATAGATGATCAAAATTTGCAAATTATTTGAACTTTTAAATCTAAATTCAGCCAAATTTATTCATTATTAAACTATCAAACAAAAAATCAGTAAACTAAATAAATTTCTCAAGTACTGAAAAACAATTATTGTATGGTTATTAAAACACAAAGACTTTAACATTGTAGCATTATAGAAAGATAGTATTTTTAAATAAACTAATCTCTTCATTTTTTGAAAAATTTCAGTAATGGATTTAATTGTACTAACAAACAAAACTAACATGGAAAACTAAAACATTATTTTATTTACACACAAGAATTGGGCATAATAATTACCTTTAAATTTGTCTGTTTCTCGATCTCGAACAAGTCTTACTGATTTGATCTGAATTAGCATAATGAAGGTATTGAATAAAGGTCTTGGCATATTTAGAATGTCACATAAAAAAGTCATGTAAAATTGATTTCAATTTAATGAAATGAATAATTAAAATTAAATAAATTAAACTAAAAGTTAGCAAACAAACCGATAGATTTTTAAACATTAATTCAACATCTCCCTGCACGATGCCAGGAGGTAGGTTGCCTACGTAAGCAGTGAACGGACCATCATCTGGTATTGGTCTGTGTTGTTGTGGTTGCTGGTGATTGGGGCCACCACTACTTCTGTAGCCACCTCTGCTGCCGCCACCGCCACGACCGTCGAAACCAACATTGAAATCGTCATAGCTATAGTTGAAAAATTAATGTTTGTAAAAAATAAAATAAAACGAAGAAACTACTAAAAAAGCATGCATATAAAATCAAATATGCTATAATTATACATAAAACATAAAAAATATGAATCCAAGAAAAGCAAATGATAAAATAGCAATGAATTGTTATGAAAAAGTGGTTGGAGACATCAAAGATGAAAACACTGATGCCTAAACGAAGTGATTAGAGAGGCACTCATTCAGATGGCTATTTTAATTTATCAAATTATTTCATTGCATGCCAGCAGGTCAGAATCCATTTCATTTCATAACTCAGTAGCAGTACAACAGTGCAGTACATACATAAGCCTCGTGCACATATTATCACAAAATTTAATCAAATTAAACTAATACGTTCGTGCTAATCGGCCGAAAATGAAAAAAAAATTAAAATGGAAAGTTTGTAAAAAAACTTACTTTTTGAATGAAGTATCGCGATAATGCTCATCCATAATTAACAATATCAAGAAACAAATCACTGCGCATGCACCAAGCAATTTTCCTGTTAAGTTCAAAACCGAAGACACATAATTGTCATCCAAAATTATGAAGAATCTTTCCTCAGAAAAATTTAACTTTACAGAAATTTTTTTTTCTTCATTTACTTCACATTTTGAAAAGTTTAATTCATTAAACAATTAAGCAACAATTTTTAAAAGCCAAAAAATTAACAGTAGCAAGCACTTTGACCGAAGGACTTTATCTAGCGAACGTTGTTAAGTACTCAGGGTTTCAAAATTATACAATTTCACGTTACTGTATATCAAAAATGTTGTGACTTCCATTACCAAATAGTACATTTTTCTGTTCAGGACATTGAAAACTGCAAGAATTTACCAAAAAATTATCGGCCTAATGTACTATATCAGCTCCACATTACAAAAATGTTAACTGTAAAGGCCCGTTCAGTTATACAGTGATGACTATTCAGTCGATTTAGGTTACTATACATTGAAAAATGTCAGGATCTCCATTACTAAATTATACATTTCCATGCTGAGACGATCGAGTAGCACACGAATCTAGTAAAATTTACCAGCTTAATTCACTATAAGGTTTATCAATGTGTACTAAACAAGCGATATAGTTCAAAATGAACAGTAAAAGGCATCTTTTATTAAATAAACGGATAAATATAGAAAAAATGCATTCAGATATCGAAATGTTTCACATTTTGAAATTAATAATTTCACATCATAACTTCCAAAAAAATTGTAAACTAAAACAAACAACTAACACAATCCAACCCACCATATAACATCTATAAATATTGAAATATAGCATACATAAATATAATACTGGGCCTTAAGAAACTATTGGTGGTTCAGAACAAAAAAAAGTAAAGTTGAATGAAAAAGCAAAATAAAATAGGGAGAAATAATTTCATCCAAGTACAAATTAACAAACACACGACACCAATGAATGAGTAAATACCAATTTAATACGATACAATACAAGCTACAAAGAACGTATTAAACAGTAAAATAAATTAAAACACACCAAACAAATAAAGGATAAAATACACTTTGATATACTACTGAATATATATATATATATATATATATATACACACACACACAAACGCACACACGCACGTATATGTATAAATTGTAAATGATATAAATGCGTATTCATGTAGTTGTAATGATATAAGAAAAATTATAAAAATTGACATGAAATTATTTGAAAATAAATTATTTCTCCGTCAAAACTCGTCATGCCTGTTGAAAAGATCTCCATAGTCTGTAGCCTGACTGCCAACGAAGAGGTCAAACTTGTTCAACATTTCACTTTTGGATAAGTGTTTGTCCTGTAGATATTCATAAAAAAAATTATTAAAATTTAACACTTTTGTTTTATAAAACAATAATATTTTTTTTTAAATACTTTTTTCTAAAGAATCACAATTCATAAAGTTCTTTGAAAAAAATGTTATTAGGTCTTGTAAACAAACCAACTAAAACACATAAAATGCACTAAGAATAATTAAAGAACAATTATGAATGGAATTTTAAAATTATAATCGATATAAAGATAAATAAATAAATAATAAAATAAATAACAAATGAAGAAAAAAAATAAAAAATGACCATGTCTTCATCAGCTTCTTTAAAAAGGTGATCAGTCTCTTCATTAACTTGGTTCCACTCCTCACTCATCAGCCAGCTTTTAACCTCCTCCCTGTCCATTTTGCCATCTTTATTCTTATCGAGGTTCTCGATGAAATTTTGTTTCTCGGATTCTATCCACTCAGCGTTGCTCTCCTCGGTGTCTTCATCTTCGCTGTTCTCAATGTCCATATCGTCTGGCGGCCAGTAATTTTATTTCAGATCAATTAAATTAAATTAATTATATTTAAATATTATATTAATAATGTGGACGCTTTGTTTATTCACTTGCATAGCCCAATAACCATTGAAAAAGTTTCTCACCGATAAACTCTTGCAGGTCAACCAGTCCATCCTTATTTGCATCAATCTCCTCTAGGGTTTCCTGTGTTTGTAAAAATTGATCAGTTGGTCAATCAGTTGGTTGGTCGGTCATTTGGTCGGTCAGTCAATATGTCAGTTAGCCCATAGTCAATCAATCTACACAATGATTTCATTTACTAAAGGTAAAGACCAATTATTAACGATAACATCTGCCACATTGAAAAAAAACAAAAAAAAACCAGGAAAATAATTTCCTCATCAACAACCTCGGCCACAACATCCTCCATCTCCTTGACAGACTCCGGGAACATGAAGGCTGAAAATTCTGATCTGCTGAGTAGAGAGTCTTGATCAAAATCTGCAGCCCTCCATCTTTTCTGGTCTTTCTTTATCAGCTCATGAAGTTTTTCATCCGGGTTTGAGTCAACTTGAAGAAAAAAAAAACAAGTAGGAAATAAAAATGTCCAATTCTTCATGGATTAACATTTTATTTTCATGTTAATTGTCTAGTATAATTGTTCATTAATTAAAAAATTTGAATAGCAATTCGCCTCAGTTTGATCATCACAGTTAGATAAGGATGCAATGATGGAGGCAAAAATAGAAAGAGCAATTGAATGCTATTGAAGTATCACAACACATAATTGAAAGTCAACAGACTAAGGCTATATATGATAAAGAAAATATGCAAGTACATAAAAAATAACTAGATAAAAGAATTAGGCAAGCAGATAAACAAATAAATAAATAAACAAATAAAATATGAAAATTTTTTAAAAATAACAAAAAGCACAAACTAGACTCTCTGGTTCCATAGCTGAAGAATTCATACTCCTCCCACGTCATACTATTCTCTTGTTTGGGATTTATTTCATCCCACTTTTTGTCAGCATCCTTGCTGGCATCCTGATTTTGGATCTTTCTAATCCACGTCTGCATCTCATCTTCTGAGATCAAACCATCGCCATCTGTGTCGATCTTGTCAAAGAGAATGCTGTGTGTTTGTTTGACTTTTCAAATGTTTTTATGAGTGTGTGTGAGAAAACAGAGAGAGAGAGAGAGAGAGAGAGAGAGAGAGAGAGAGAGAGAGAGAGAGAGAGAGAGAGAGAGAGAGAGAGAGAGAGAAAGAGAGAGAGAGTGTGTGTGTGTGAGTGCATTAAAAATGCTAACATTTTCAGCCAACAAAAAAAACTGAATTAAAAATAATCTAACTAAATATATCAGCCCTAAAATAGAAGATAACATAACAAATAGTTAAATTGTTGAAAAGATATTTTTGACAACACATTGAACTAACAAGAGAGTTATAAAATGTGTTCTAATTACAAAAGCAAGCAAAGAATAAAAAGTGATATGAAGGAGAGCACGTACGCTAATTTTTCTTTGCTTTCTTCAGGAGTTAGATCATCGAATTCGTCTGCTTCCTCTTCCCCCAAGAAGGCATCGTGATCGTATTCTGCATTGTGCTCATCGTCATTCTCAAAATGAACCTCATCACTGAATGGCTGATGAGAAAACAAAGAAATTTATTTGTTAAAAGCTTTTGACAATAATTTATTTTTAGTAATAATAAATTAAGCATGAAAATTAATGAATAAATAATAAAAAATATATCTAAAAAGCAAAAATGATTTACAAATAATCACCAATCAATAGAAAGTGAAAGTTAAAAAAGTTGAAAGCTGCTCACAAATTAATGTCAACTGACATTTTCACCAAAAAGAATGTTTATAAAATAAAATTTACTAAAAAAAATCTACTGTAATAAGATTACCACCTTAGCAGTAGAACTTAATAAAAAAATCAACTGCCATTTTATTTGTTGTAACAACCTACTAAACTTATAAATATATTGATTGACAAATAATACATAGGAGATATGACAGATGTATTTATTCTAGAGAAGTTTGTATCATTGAGTAAGGTTCAATAAATTATTGAGTACTTAGTTTTAAACTGAAAAGATTGCTAACTAGATTTTATCTGAAAAATTTCACAAAAATATTGAAAGTATTTAAATTTTTAAAAATTAAAAATTGAAATAAAATGTAAATTAACACAATACATAGAGAATTATTATAATATAATATATATACTATACACCAGAAAATTATTTCAGAATATTATTATAATAAAATTATAATATAATTATAAAAATGAAACATTGACACTGACCCTAACAGTCACCCGGTTAGATTTCGGTATTGACAATGAGTTGGCAATGCAGATGGTGATGAAGAAGAAGATGGAAACAAGCCAGGATGACATTGTCAGAGATTTTTCTTTTATCACTTATTTTATTAAAAATATTATTATATAAGTAAAAATGGAGAATTGGCAATCAATTCCACAAATTATAAAAATTTAAAATCTTTTATTAGATTTATTAATCAAAAATTTGATTAAATTCAGGCTTTCAAAAACTTATGAGCAATAGTTTTTAGACGGTTAAAAGTGAATCACAGTGGCTGCGTTGTTTTTGCAAGAAATAATTACATACAAAATTTTAACGTACTGCCATATACTTAGTATATGTAGTAGTATATTACAAAGTACTTTCCATACTTGGAGTGTACTTAATAATACATTTGTTGTACATGATAAAAAGAATGCACAGTACTTAGTATGTATGTATTGCCTAGTCAATTTCCACCAATTGTTATTTTTACTTGAAGAACATCATTGACATTAATTACATAATTACACAAACATCATTCAAAATAACTTTTCTTAAAACTTTGAAGATAACAGTAAAATGTTTGACCTCCCAACCAGCCTACTAATCAATCAATTTATATTCATATATAACCCACAGTTGCTTAGCGATGGACCACGGCATCATTCACTGGCCTTTGGGTTTATCTTTGTCATTTTATTTTTATTGCCAGTTAATATAATGTTAAAAAGACTCAGTGGGCTATAAAGAAAGGCGTTCTAGATCGTACGCAGTAAGGAAAAAGCTCGAGATTAAAGATAGACACAGGCGATCAGCTGAGTGGTTAGAAGATTTTAATTAAAGGATATGATGCAAAATCAGGAAGACAAGAGAAGTGCGTGAAAAATATGATTGATGGTTATAATCACAAACCAAGTAACATAATATCAACTCTTAAATATACTGAAATATCATTTAAAACGATAGTTTTGAATGATTCAATATTATATTTTTCATATATGTGTGAGCGTGTGTTTGAGTGTGTGTGTGTTCGTGTGTATGTGTGTGTGTGTCCGTGAGGTGTGTGAAGGTGGGGACACATAATTAATTAATAATTAAGTGTTGAACTTTGACCCGTCAGTATGTGTGTAATACACTGTGTATGCGTGTATGCATGTATGTGTGTGCGTGTTATTGTGTGTTAGTGTTTGCCCAAACACTTTAAAGTCACTGTTTGAAAAGAAAAATAGGCCAAAGTATTAATTTATACATTTTCACATGCATGCCATCAGACACACACAAACGCACGCGCAAACACTCACACACACATACATACACGCAAGAATTTACATAAAAATATACATACATTTTTTTTGTGTTTATGTAAAAGTTTGTGTGTGGTGTGTATGTATGTAAACAGTGGAACTTCCATGTGGTTGTGGACACCATCCCTACATCAGCTCATGTTTGTCTATCTGCCTCTGTTATCCTTATGAATATTAATCAGGCTAGCTGCCTTCACGCACACATACGCACGCACGCACTCACAAACACACGCACACACATAAATATGCGTTTATGTATATATGTATATAAATGTATATATAATTATATATATATATATTACATATTTGTGTATGAAATGCGTCCCATACAACACAAATTACGTAATTTTTATTCATTGCAATAGTTCATCGTTATTTTGCTTCTGGGCGAACGCAAGATCTTTCGAGTATAATTAAGTGTTCAAGCATTTGCCGAGATGTCTGGGTATGTATAACGACTCAAACATACAAATACACACGAAACAAACATAAATATATGCCCAACAATTTAATCGCTATACATGAGCAATGAATATAAACTCAAAAAGGAAACCAATCCAGAAACATACTTTAAAGTTTTCGGAAACTCTCAACCTAAATCAACAGCATAAACGTATAACTACTAACAAAGACATATAAACAAAAACACAAAAGTATAAACACGTACATAAACATATAAACACAGACAGAGACAGAAAAAAAATAGAAGCACACAGAAACCACAAGTCATCAAGGAGTTAAGCCCTGCCTGACAATGAGTTGTTTGCGATACCGGAATCATTTGACAAACTTGTGTGTATTTAAATATGTTTGTGTTTGTTTGTGTATGTATGATTGTATGTAAGTGTTTTTGTAACACAAATGCATTTACGTTTAAAAAAATATGAAACAATTTCTAATAGATTTTACATCTGTAAAGATTTGACATGACAGCAGGCGTTATTTTATTTCCAGTGACTAGGCTCGATAAATTTTTCAAATTTTCAATTACTAAATAAAATTTTCGCAAAATTTTTTCTATCTACAAACAGTTTCGGCTAACATTACAATTTGCAGAGATATCTTCCACACGGAGCACTAGAATAGGAGCAAAAAGTACAAAGAAACATTTAATTCTAAATGCATGTATAAACATGCTCACATGTGCACGTGTATGTATGAATATGTTTTGTTTGGTGTGTTTAAGAAAGAGGATTTCACATGTGAGTGTGTGTGCTACTCTGTTTATTATGCTAATAATTGTGATGTTATGATAATTGCGGGTGTGCAAGCGTAACATGTACATGATAGAATGTATAAATAGGTTAGCGTGGTCATTGTTGTAACAAATTACAATGAGGTGAGTACATAAAATGGACGGCTGCGAATGCATAAATTATAATTTTTAATGCTGGTCAGACTGTCCTATTAAACTGACATGCAAATTAGAATGCCTGCTTCAACACGTGTTCACGTGTGTTGTCTGAATTATTAGGTTGGTGCAAATATAATGTCGGTTTTATGTTATTAATGTTTTGACTTTAGTTAAGCAATTGAAATCTCGAAATAATTTCTTTTTGAGAAAAAAAATAATTTTATTCATACAAAATTGTTCACGGTTGTATGTATGTGCAGTGAATGTGTGTACGTGTGATGTGTGAGAATATATATGTACAAGTATTTATTTAAACAAAAATATGTGTGTGTGTGAATGTACATTCAACTTTAAGCTGTGGTTTAGTGTACGCACATGTGTGTACGTGCTACGTGCATGCAAATGTATGCATGTGAGTTTGCCTACAAGCCCCGCTAGCTGTGTGACCAAACAATGGACTATTTATATACATACATTCATACATACATACATTCATACATACATACATACATACATACATACATACATACATACATACATACATACATACATGCATACATACATACATACACACACAAATCACACATGTATTTGTATATACAAATATGTATATATATATATAAATACATGGTGTATATATGAGTATTCCTGTGTATAAAGGTAAATAGTAAAATCGTATTTCATTACAAGTTGGACGCTCGATCAGTGCGGATTCCATTGTTTTATTTTGATTCTGTCGGGAAATTTTTGTAACTCTTCTTCTTATATTAGGTTTGCATTAAAATTTTCAGAAAAAATCTATATAAATAAAAATTAATTGATGTTCCTTTAATAGTATATTTATTTCTGTAATTTTTATGGAATTCATTTTGTTGAATCATTTTATGGAGTTCATTATTTGAAAGTAGCGAGTTTCTTATGCTTGTTTGGCGTTGAGTTGAGAGTTCAAACACGCAATGAAAACGATGACGACCGCGAACCTCACGCGAAACATAATATACGTTTATAATCTACACAAATGTGCCTCTATATAAATAATTTTACGTTACATGCCTATTGAATATTTTTGATTACATACGAATCAAAATATACATATAATATTTAATTATAGGAATGTAATTATATGTTTGCTTATGGTTCACCGTCACATGTACTCCGTGCGTGCATTTGTAATTTGCACTGATGGAGAATTTTCAATTAATGAAGTTGTAATGCAACGTTACATCATCTTTAATGGTAAATTATTTCAAAATAAAATATGATATTTTTTAATTTTATACCGCTATAAATTAAAATAACCGACAGATTCATACGTAGATATTCGGATTCGACCGGATGGATCGATTAGTTTCGATTGTAACCGGAGCAGCGAGAACCAGATCTCGAAACGACGATGACTTCGCGGATAGGTTGAGTTCCCGCTACACCGTCGTCTTCCTCATCCTCTTCGCCATCTTGGTCTCCATGGGTCAGTACGTCAGGAACCCGATCACCTGCTGGGCGCCGAAACACTTCCACGACAGCCACACCAAGTTCACGACGAACTATTGCTGGGTCAAGGACACCTACTACCTTCCGTGGGACAGTGTTGGTTCTTCTTTTGTTTGAAACACTTTTTCCTCTTTGTTATTTACTTACTATTGATTATCTAAAATACACCGTTTTGAAAAATTTTGTTGTGTATTAGGTATGTTTTTTAAGTATTACCTAAACCAGAAACGGCGAAATCTCAATTCAATAATTATTATCTGAACTATTATAGTATTTAAACAAATTATTTTAAATTTATAATACATTTCCAGTACAATCGATAAAATTGAATAACTTAACTCAACCAACCTTCAACTCTCGCCAACTGAACAGAACGTAAAGAACGACGAATCTCACTATGAGCCCCGACAGCGGATAGCTTACTACCAATGGATCCCATTCATCCTGCTGGGCATGGCCGTCTGCTTCTTCTTCCCCTCCCTCGTCTGGCACGGGTTCAACACGAAAAGTGGCGTCGATGCAGACAGCATCCTGTCTGCTTCCCACAAACTGGAGAGGATCGATTCGTACGATTCGAAGAAGAAGACGCTGAGAATCATCACAAAGCAGATTGACAGGTTTTTGAATAGCAGACAAATTGTTGACTTTAAATCTAGGGTCGGATGTTTCCTCTCAACTGTTTTCTGCCATTGTTGCGGAAGAAGGTCGGTTACATTTTGTTTCCATTTTTATGTTTCTTTTTAAAATTGTTTACGTATTTAAAATTATGAAAACCAACATTATAACTACATTAATTCAATATTTTGTTATTCAGGACAAGCAGTTACCTGGTCATCTTGTTTCTTATCTCGAAGGTCATCTACATCTTCAACGTCGTCTTCCAGTTGGTGGCACTGAGCTATGTTTTGAAAGCGAAGTTTCACAGTTTCGGAATCGACATGTTGTCTCGCTTCTTCAATCTTAAAAATGACTGGACCGAGGATAGTTTCGTGGCTTTCCCTAGGGTTACCCTCTGTGATTTCAGGATCAGGGGTCAAGATTTCGCCAACGTGCAGAACCACACCGTGCAATGCGTGCTCCCCGTTAACATGTACAACGAAAAGATTTTCCTCTTTCTGTGGTTCTGGATGTTCATCGTGGCTGCTGTCAGCGTCATCAACCTCCTAATTTGGATCGCTCGTATTCTGAGCAGAAGAGATAGGATGACGTTCATTAGGAACAGACTTTCATCAAAACTTCTCACAAATAAAGACAACGAACTCGTGAAGCATTTCGTCCTCGACTACTTGGGACAAGACGGCTGCTTCATTCTTCGTTTGGTGGCGCACAACACAAATCACGTGACTACTACTGAAATTATTAACGATCTTTGGGATAGCTGGTACGAGATGAAGTCCTCCAGTACTCCATCCACTTCACTGGGGTCCAGACACTTGTACCCGGAAATGGAGATGGACGACTTTAAACCACTGAAAGATATCAGATAGGTGGATAAATTGCATTCATCATTGCATTCGGAGAAATAAAAAAGCACATTTTAAATGATTTCATTTTAAATTACTGTTCTGTTTGTTCTCGCTGGTAAAAAAGTACTTGAACACTTCTTTTTAAAACATTCGTTAACAACCTTCATTTTTTAAACAGTTGAAACTCTTCATACAATTGTCGTTGGACCATCCTTTTAACGTTTATCATTTTGACTGGTAAAATTTTAACACTTATAGAATTAAGCGCTAATTAATGTTATGCACTGTAAAGTATTTATCTACCAAACATTTTATTTTGACTTTTCGTATGCTTGTAATTTTTAAACAATTCTAGGATCTTTATTGCCTTAGTATATGTAAAAATCTTTTAATATATATAAAGAAAGAGAGAGAGAGAAAGAAAGAGAGAGAGAGAAAGAGAGAGAGAGTGAAATCCTCAGTTAAACACATTTTAATTAACTAATTTTTCATGTTTTAAGTTTTTTAGCAAATTTTATAAACATTAACTGCTCTGGTAGATTGTTTATTATTGCGATTAATTAAAAATTTCTCTTACTATGTATTTTGTGTTGATTAATTAATTTATACACAATGCTAATTAATTTAGAATGTTATTTCAAGCTAAAATTTTAATTCGCCATGTAAATAATTTTCTTATTATTTATATAAAATGACAATGCCTTATTAAAAATTATTTAAAATGTTTTCTAAAATGACAAATAACCAATGTGTTTCTTAACTTTTTAGCTTCATTTTTAATAATTTTACGAGATTTTATTGATTGATTGATAAAAGCGCGTTTTTAAAATTAATTTATGTTATTTTATGATTGGTAAATAGTGCGTAACTTTTGTGTTGATATTTTCATTCATATGTGGTTTGTTGTCTTCGGCGGCAACATTCAACATTAAAATTATGTAAAAAAAACAAAGAGAGAGAGAGAGAGAAAGCAAAGCAGACAGACTAAAATGTGCAACAATGCCATACATCACATGATACCACAGGGTTTTTTAATTTTCCAATTTATTAGAATTAAAAATCAGACGAGTAAAATTTGTAAAAAAAATTGTCAAATACATCTTCCGTGCATGTGTGTGAAAGTTAATTTTGAAGTCTTAATACTCACAAACTCGTCGTGATGCCCTTTGCACACCACCGAATCATATGCCGTTGAAGAGCCAACTACTAAAGTACTGCATTCAGCCAGAAACAATGAGAGGCTGAATTTGCGAGTGAAAAAATCAAAAATGTGACTTTGTGTATTTTATCGTGATTGGCAATCACAACTAATTATACTAATTAAACTACTTTGTTAAACTTACCAAAAAAAAATTATTAGTCCGACTTTTTATTTAATTAAATAGTATGTAATTAATTTAAGGCATTGAAATGAACGAATGTCTATTAATAATAATCAAATGATCAGCTGGCAATTGTAATCTGAAGCTCGATTCACAGCTAATAATGAGCGAGCTTGCTTGGAAGGTTGACATGCATCGATGAGTTTTTAACGATAGGCGACTGAAAGAACACCCGTTGAATGCAACCTAGCAAAGTCATTACCGTGCCAACCTGAATTTCATAGCTCACACTATTTCGTTTGCACTTCAATATTATCTCTTAAATATTTATTTATTGTTTCATTTAGTTGAGGAATAAATTTTAATAATTGGGATTATTTCGTAGATATTTAAATATAAACATTTGAGTGATAGTTAAGTACTGGAGTAATAAATGAATTATATATATATTCTTTGCAATGGATTTTTGAGTAAATACAATTAATTTTCCAAAGTAATAAGCGATTAGTAATAAAATAACGGCGAGCTCAGCTCTGTAAAAATGCCTGGCTACCAGACAATGTCGGGTCGATCGACACTACCCGCTCCCATGATCATGCAGTTTCCTCCTTTCCAGATCGAGGAAGCGGATTATAGGGCAGGGATCATAAACGTGACGGCAAGGTCTCCAATAGGAAATGTCATTCCACTAAAAATTTCAAAAGATAGCACCGGGCAGTTCACTACAAATTTTATTCCCGATGAAATTGGTTGGTGTTTGGAAAATTTGTCGTTGAAAAATTTACTTTAAATAAAGTGTAAGCATTATAGACTGTGCTATTTCGACAGAGTTTGTAACTTATGGTTTATTATTTGTCTTATTAATTCGTCTACCTACATGCTAATGTTTATGAGTTAGTAGAAACAAGATGAGCATTAAATTAGCTTCCATCAAATTTGTTTTTTTTATAATTTAAATGACAACTCTAAAGAAATATAGATTATACAGAAACTGACAGAACTATAAAAAACTAAAAAAACAAATTAAAAAGCTGTAAACGAAATATATAACCCAGAAACTAATAAAAAAAACTTGATTTGAAGGAGACTGGACGATCACGATAACAAGCAATGGACGTCCTATAAGTGGCAGTCCCTTCACTGTAAGAGTCTACGATGGCACAAAAGTTAAAGTTTTCGGGATAGAAGGAGGAGATAATGGACAGCCCGTATCGTTTACCGGTTAGTTGATTAATTAAATACTTGAAAATTTTAATTACATTTTAGTAATAGATTTTAACAAACTTCTGAAGTTTCTTATTGAAATATGATAGAATGGTTGATGAATAGAGAGGATAAATAAAGCATTGTAATTGTTATTATCCGCAATATTTAATCAAAAATTCCAAACCATATAAAATAATTGGAATACAATGAAATTTTTAATTTTTCACTCCATCACAAAATTTAAATATTTCCGTAATAATAATTAACTAAATAAATATGACTTGCAAAATAAAAGGCCCAAAATATTTCTTTCACGATAGTTGACACAGCCAATGCCGGAAATGGAAAACTAAAAGTGGAGGTAACCAAAGATGGCAAACCGATCATTCCTAATATAGCGCAGTACGGAAAACAATACAAAATCAACTTCAGCCCAGAGGGTGCTGGTGTATATTCCATCCGAGTTTTCTACGCTACTGTTGAAGTTCCGGGTTATTATTATTTTTTTATCATTCATATTATATAATAATTATTTTACTCTTTTTTTTATTTTAATTTGTGATGTAGTCATATTCTGTTATTGATGGAGTGAATTCAAAATTCACCAGACATTCGAAATTTTAATGAACACTAAATTATATCTATCAAACCATTTTCATATCTTTATTGCTTACATTATTTATAACTATTTTAAATTTTGAAAATGTTACACGTAAAATGCCTTAAATAATTTTTAATGACAAAATTTACATTAAAATTGAAAAGGATCGCCATTCAAAGTGACCATAGTGGACTCGAGCAACGTCACAGCATCTGGAGAAGGCCTGCATTCATGTCTGGCCGGCAAAACAACGTCCTTTATAGTAAACACCGGAAGAGCAATTTTAACGGATGGTGAAGTAACGATTAATATAATTTCTCCAAGCGGGATACCCACATATCCAACTGCAAAGCCAATTGGAGCTGGTAGCTACAAAGTCAGTTACCTCCCTGAGGAGGTTGGAAGATACACGATTCACGTCAAATATGGTGGCAAACCCATTTTTGGTAGTCCTTTCATAGTGGACGTGTTTGGTTTGAATGAAGTTGCGGTACTAAGTTTGACAAAGCAAACAGTAGTCAATAAAATGGCTATTTTGGAATTTGACGCCAAAGACAGTGGAACCGCGGAACCAATTGTTAAAGTTAACGACGGTAAGGTACCGTGTGACCTTAAAAAATTAGATGGTAGAAAGTATCGAGCTTCGTTCACGCCTAGAAAAACTGGACATTTTTACGTAGAGGTAAAACTATACAACGTGGAAATTCCTGGAAGTCCGTTCAAGGTCAAAGTACACGACGGATCGAGAGTAGCCACGTCGTTGGACGGAGCCAGAGGAATTTTGAAGATGCCTATGAAATTCGAAGTTAATACTTCGCCATACGAAGGAGAGGTCAAAGTTCAAGTATACAGCCCCACAAGAAAATTGACTCTTTGCAAAGTTATTAAAGTTGACGACCAAATTTACAATTGCGAATTTCTCCCTACTGAATTAGGCAACTATGATGTCTCGATATCATTTGAAGATCATCAAATTGAAGGAAGTCCATTTACAGTTCCGGTATCAAATCCAAGTGGTGTGCTTGTTTCGATGAAGTCCAGATCATTAGTGCTAGGTCAGACTTTCCACCTGACAGCTGACACCACAAAAGCAGGACCAGGAGATCTTTCTGTCCGTGCCAGCAATGTATCCGGTCCGGTACCAATGGAAGGATCATTAATTGCAAATGGAATGTATGCAGTTTCCTTCATTCCTCAGATTCCAGGAAAGTATTTCATTGAAGTGTCATTTGATTGTCTACCATTGCCTGACAGTCCCATCATACTGACAGTTTACGACGTTAGAAACGTAACGATATCTGCTGGAAACTCGCCTCTAACCGCAGTTGGTCATTCTAGAGCCATTCACGTCAACACAGAGCACGCAGGAAATGCAGAGTTGCAAGCCAGGTTAACCGCTCCTGGTCAACATTCGTCTCCTCTTCAAATAACTGGTACCAGCCAAACTGGATACGACATATCCTTTATCCCACGATGCCCTGGTCCACACAAAATCGACGTCACTTACGGAGGTGTTGTGGTGCCACACAGTCCAATCACATTCATGGCTTACGATTCATCAAAAATAAAAGTTATTGGCGTGTGTGACAGAGTTGTCGGAAAGAGGTCTACATTCCTGATCGACCTGAATGATTCCGGTGAGGGAGAATTAGAAGTTGTTGTGATGTCATCTAGCGGTAAACCAATTATGAACGATGTCAATGCACTGCAGCCTGGTAAGTTGGAAGTTTCCTTCGTACCAATAGAAGGAGGAACGCATTTTGTTGAAGTCACGTTTAATAAAGAAATTGTTCAAGGCAGTCCTTTTAAATTTAAAGTTTCCGATCCAAATAAAACGCAAGTTAGAGGAGATGGCATTGAAACAGCTGAAGTCAACACTCCAGCACATTTTTTCATAGTATCAAATGATGCGAAAGTTGGAGATTTTGACGTTCAGATTAAAGGACCGCCCAAATCAAGGCAAGTTCATCCACTCGTGAGCGAATCGGGCCACAACCAATTGAAAGTTGAATATACCACAAGAAACGTTGGTGAATATCAAATAAGCATTCAATACCTTGATATGCCCATCCCGAACAGTCCGTTCTACGTCAAATCGTGGGACGCATCGAAAGTTGTTCTATCGAGGGTTGGACAGAGTCACGTCGGTGTCGAGTCTTCATTTTTTGTCGAAATGAAAGATGCTGGAGATGGTACAGTGGAGATAAGCATCGTAGATCCTACAGGTCAACTGATACCAAATCAAGTGTCCAGTAAATGTCCAGGCGTTCTTGAAGTCAAATACGTTCCTCTTGTCGCTGGAGATCACAACATAATGATTGAATTTAATGGTGTAAAAATTAACGGAACACCGATGCAATTCCAAGTCGTTGACCCCGGTAAGGTCACGGTCAAAGGTGAAGGCTTATCAACGATAACGTGTAACGCAGTCGCGTGTTTTGTCATAAGTGCACCTGATACACAGATGCGAGATGTTGACGTCCACATAATAGGACCGAATGGAAATGACGTGTTGTACAATATAAACGAAAGAGGAGGCTCCTACAGAGTTGACTACACCCCAAAAATGGCCGGAGATTACGTCATCGATGTTTCCGTCTACAAGACACCAGTCAAGTGCAGTCCGTTCATAGCAAAAGCGTTCGATGCAACTAAAGTTATGATTGCAAATGTCAGCATGGGAAATGTTGGAGAGAAAAGTGAGTTTAAAATAATTTTAGCTGAAGCGGGTGAAGGTGTATGCGAAATATGTATAACAGATCCTAATGGTCAGTTGGTGCCAAACCAAGTAGCGTCACCTGCGCCTGGAATACTGGACGTCGTATATGTACCGAGCGTGTACGGACATCACAAAGGTGTTGTACTGTTTAACAAACAAAATATACCGGGAAGTCCGTTTAGTTTTATGGTAGTTGATAAAAGCAAAGTTACTTGCAAAACTAATAATTCAGGATTTGCACCAGTCAAAAAGTTAACTAGCGTCTTGATTCAAGCACCCATGGCGGAGATGAAAGATATCGAAGTGAAAGTTATTGGACCGAAAGAAGTTGAAATCCCATGCGATGTTTGTGATGCTGGATCAAACAGTTTCCGAGTGGATTTCACGCCGCAGGTCTCAGGCGATTATCACGTTGCAGTGAAATACTTCAACCAGCCGATTCATGTTTGTACAGTAAAAGCATGGGATATCTGCAAGGTATTTGTTAGCAGCATTGAAATAGCAAGAGTCAAATCAGAGAACGTTTTCAACGTGGATGTAAGAGAGGCTGGAGAGGGTAAACTGGAAATAAGCATTCAAAATTTCTCAAATCAGATGATCGAAAATACCATTACACCAGTATCAAAAACTCCAGGACTGTACCATGTATCTTGCACTCCGCTCGTCACTGGAATCCACAAAGTTTACGTTCAGTTCAATGGAGAAAATGCAAACGGAAGTCCATTTCAAATGGTGGTATGCGACCCAAAGCAAGCAACGGTCAGTGGGGAAGGCCTGGGAATAGTTCGCTGCAACAGACCTACCTTTTTTGAAATAAACGGACCAGCAGCTCTACTGGCCGACGTTCATGTTAACATTAAGAGTCCAACACGCAAGGAAGTAAAATCAAAAGTAAAAGAAAAAGCAGCTGGAAAATTTTTGGTAGAATACACGCCTGAAGAACCTGGAGAACATTTGATTTCGGTTAAATATTTTGATGAACCCATTCAAAACAGTCCGTTTATTTCCATAGCGTGGAATATTGGATTTGTGAAGGTAGAATGCATAAAACCAGGAATCATTGGAAGAACCAACACTTTCCACATCAATGCCGGGGAAGCTGGTCCCGGCAATCTTGAGGTAATGATCACATGCAATGGACAAGTTGTGAAAAACACTGCAAGAGCCATTCAAGACACCGGGCTTGTTGAAGTAACATACACTCCAGTATCATTTGAGCCACATTTGATCAACGTAAAATACAACGGAGAGCCAGTGATTGGATCACCATTTGTATCTACGGTTTTGAACGGCAATCTTGCGCGAGCAACTGGACCGGGACTAGGAAGAGTGAAAGCCAACGTGCCTACAAAATTTACAGTCATTGCCAACGCTGTTGAAAGTCCAGCAGATCTTGAAGTTTTAATCACTTCACCATCCGGTCAAATTGTACCAGCATCTATTTCCGGCTCCCATAATTCTGGATACGTTGTTGAGTACATTCCTTTAGAAGCAGGACAACATTTGTTATCGGTAAAGTATGCTGACATGGAAATAAAGGATAGTCCATTCCATCCGGACGTTTTTGATCCGACACACGTTGTCGTTAGCTGCATACCAGTTGGCTGCATCAACACATGTGTTTCATTCAAGGCCGACACGAGTAACGCTGGATGTGGCAGATTAACTGCCTCAGTACAAGGTGTCAAAACACGTCCCATCCCAGAAATTTCAACGGACTGTAATGGTGTTTCTATGATTAGTTTCACGCCGATCGAAAGCGGCCTTCACCACATAGCGATAAAGTTTAACGATTGCGACGTCCCAGGGTCGCCGTTTAAATGCTCCGTTGTCGATCAAAATAAAGTTAGAGTTAGAATGGATATGACCGGCTTCAAACCTGTCGGCAAACCAGTTCAAATGCAACTGGATACAGAGGACATGTCAGATCTTCCAATACAATCAAGTGTAGTCGATCCAGATGGAAACCCTGTTGAAATAGCAGAGCAGCGTGCAGGATCAATACACACATTGCAATTTCTACCAGAAGTCGTCGGTAAGTACGTTATAAACATTTTTTATGGATGCGGTTTAGTGCCCGGAAGTCCCTTTCATTGCTTAACGTACGACCCGTCACAAGTGAAGATCGTAGATCTAACTAACAACGGAACAATGGGTCAGGACATCAGTTTCCTCGTTGATACAACTGAAGCAGGTCCCGGCCCGGTTGATGTGAACATCACGTCCAACGGTAAAGGGGTTCCGACTAAGAAAGAAAAATACATGGATAAGCATAAATTTACTTTCTGCGCAAAATATCCAAGCGATTATTTGATCAATGTTCATTTTAACAAAGAACAAGTTCCAGAAACTCCGTTCATTTATAAAATTATTAATCCAGCTAACAATATGAATTTGGTAAGTGGAAACAACAACAAGCCGGTCGCCGTCGGCCAGCCCGTGTGGGCGGCTGTAGTACCCCCTCATGATGTTCGAATATGCGCCAATGATTGCGTTGCTGAAGTCATTGGTCCGTACAATGACCAACTACTCCCGTCACGTGTATCCGGCTTATCAAACGGAAATGTGAAAGTTGAATACACGTCGAAAATTTGTGGACTACACGCCATCAGGGTCACGTACGGAGGTCAGCTGGTACCTGGATCGCCAGTAATCAACAACATCTTCGATCCTAGTTTAATAACAATCGAAGGCGTTAAATACGGTGAGGTCGGAAGGCCGATGGTATTCGACATCGTTAAAAATGAATGTGGAAATGCAGAGTTACTTGTTACTGTAACCGATCCGAACGATATCGAATTGCCAATTTCGATTGTAGATATTGATAACGGTGATCGTGTCACATACATGCCAGAGATGCCAGGTATATACAAAATCAACGTAACGTATGGCGGTTGCATCGTTCCCGGATGCCCAGTTCGACAGGAAATAGCGGCATATTATCCAGCTACAGCAAGTGGAGACGGACTTTTTAAAGGATTAGTTGGAAAAAAAGCCACTTTCAATGTCGACACGAAAAAGCAAATTGGAGAATTAGTTGTACAAGTGCAATCTCCAAACGGACCTGTGAAATCTGACATAACTCCAGAAATAAATGGAAACTTCAGGGTTGACTACGTTCCTCCAGAAGCCGGAACTTATAGCGTCATCATGACTTTTAAAAAGAAAGAAATACGCGGACCATTTAATCCAATTATAAGTGATCCTTCGCAAGTGAAAGTTGTTGATAGTTGGGAATTTTGGCCCCAAGAAGATCACGTGATTGTCCCAATCAATCAATTGAAAACGATCGGCTTCAACACAGAAATGGCAGGTCCAGGAGAAATGACGGCCACGATCGATCCACCAGATGGCAACACCTGCCTGGCACCAGACCTCATACAAACAGAAGGGGGATACCTCCTAAAATTCATTCCAAAATCATTTGGCAATTACGTCATCCGCGTGTATTACAACAAACTACCCATCAAAGTGTTCCCCATAATTGCCATGTGCAATCCTCAAACGCTGGACCTTGTAGTTGATATACCACCCGAACCAAACACCTGCTGCGCCAATTGCACGTGTGAAAAAGATGAAAAACAAAAAGAAGAATGTGGAATGGGATGCAACCGCAACGGATCACCCTATCCACCCCCTGCGAAAGATGACAACAGCAGCAGCGAGGAAGAAGATAACATTATCGTTGCACAGAAGGAATCAAAAGTGGGAAGAGCTCGACCTGGCAAAAATGTTAAATTTAATGATAAACTGGAAACGATAGATGACAAAAAAAAAATCGAAAATGAAACTGAAAACAAAGTTGAGAATCTAACTAATGCTTATATTCTAGATCCAAATCTAGGACTTATTCAAACTCAAATAGTGCCTCAATTCCTAAATCCCCAGATTGTTGGTGGTCAGTTACAAGCCGTTCCCCAAATTGTTGATTCTAATGGTTTTTCTCTAGCTGCGCCACAATATATTTTTCAACAACCACAAATTGAAGTTGTTCCAAACATGGCACCAACTGCTTTTATGTCATCCCAAGATCCACAAATTATAGGTGGTCAGTTGCAAACTGTTCCACAAATTGTTGGTGGTCAGTTACAAGCCGTTCCTCAGATTGTTGATTCTAATTATGTGTCTCTAGCTGCGCCACAATTTATTCTTCAACAACCACAAATTGAAGTTCAAAATATGCCATCCCAAGTTCAACCCATCGTCGTTCAAGAAGCGGTTCAACAATTTGAAAATGCAAAACCAAACTATCCGTACGAAGTGAACGCTTGCAAAATTAGTGGAAACATTTGCAACGTGCCTGAAATACAACAACCCATTATTTATGCTGTTGAAACTCCACCTCCAAAAAAAGAAACTGCAAATTCATCCGTTCAAACACTTTCGATTGATGCTGTGGAAACGCAAACAGATCCCGAACCACCACAACTGATACCTGTCATATACGAAGACTACCAAATTGAGCTATGCTGCCCAATACATCAATTCCAGCCCGCTTGTCCAACCTGTCCAACATGCACCAGATTTCCTCCTCAGTGCATGCCGTGTCCATGTCCAGAACCGAAAACAACATCATCATCATCTGTTCAAACTGTTCCAGAACAATCGACAGGTGGCACGCAGACTGATGACTGCCAACCAAAAGAAGTGATTGACGTCATTCACATGATGGAGCCCCAACCTATGTGTCATCCACCTCAACCCATGCTAATTCTATCCCATCCGGAATGTCCGCCTCCTCCTTGCATGGCTACTTCATGCCAAACAGCACAGACGGCAACTGCGAATGATGAGTCCGTAGTGATAGTCCCATGTGATCCCAACCAGCCCATCCCTCAACAACTGACCACGGCAGACGGACAATTTGTACTTCTACCTTACAATTCATGTTGTCCAGTTGGTGGCCAGGAGGTCATAGCACCACCGACTGAGATGGATCTTATGAAAGCAAGACACGACGAATTCAAGAACTATATGTCAACGAGGGTTTGTATTGTTGCAAGTTTTCACTGTGTTTTTGATATTTTTAGGTATATAAAATAACTTTTTAAACAAAGTTTAATTTAAATTTAAGAAAGATAATTAATATTTTTCACGCGAAAAAATTTCAAAAAGTACCGAACCAAAATTTAAAAATGCCGCATCACTTGGCACCTCAGGTTTTAGAACCCCAGGAATGCTTCCATCACATCTTTATTGAACCTCCACCTTGCGTGCCTGAAACAAAGAAACCCGAAACAGAGAGCATGGTGGAACTTGTGAAACTTCTCAGCGAAATGAACAGGTCCAAAGAGCAGAAGGAACAAATACTGGTTGTTACTTTTTAAAATTATATTATACAATAATAAGCTGTTTAAAAAATTCGCGGAAATAGCGTTTTACAAATTAATTGATTGATTGATGATTGATTAATTGATTGAATCAATGATTGAAATGATTGAAATCACCAATACAGATTGAAGAGCCATGCAGAATAGACGAAAACATGGTGGTGCTGTCTGGGCCGGGTTTGTCCCTTGCAAGGTGCCGGGAGCAAGCCTGTTTTGTTATTGACGGAAAAGCAGCCGGCCCGGGTTAGATTTTTTGTAGGGGTAATTTAATATAATAAAAAAATTTTAATAATCAATATTTTTATTTTTATTATTATAGTTAGTATTATATATATATATATGCGTGTGTGTGTGCGTTGTGTTTGTGTGTGTTACTATTACATATAACATACCTGTTACTCTTACAATTGTTAATTCTGTTGTCATTGCCACTGTTATAATATTACTATCAATTGATTCGTTTTTGTTGTGCTGATTTCATTGTTTGAAGTTTTGTCAATTTCTGTTGGTTTGGATGTTATTGAATGTATGCTTCCCACAAATATTTTTATTATTTACATATGCATCACTGTTTAATATAGTTTTGTTGTTAAAATGTAAATTAATAATGAAATAAATAACCAAACCACTAAACCAAAGCAACTAAACTGGCAACACATTTTATCAGCCAAAAACTTTTGATACTTTTTTCATTCTAGGCGTGCCTTCTGCCAAACTGATTGGACTGAAAGAAGAGATACCCGTGGACATAGAGCTAGTTGATGAGAATCTCTATGGTTGCAGTTACGTTCCAACAGTAGCTGGTTAGCGAATGAATTTGTGAAAGATAGCGATATAATTAGATTTGTTAACATTGTTAGATAGTATTTGATAGCGAAAAGAAGTTTTTTTAAACATTGCTAGCTGGTTTTAACAAGTGGCAAATGAGATTTGTTAATATTGTTTATTCTGCTTTATTATCTATCGTTTCGAATTCTACTAAATATTTTTTTTTAGATATGATGTTTGAAATATTTCTTTCTTTAATGAGTCTGTTATTATTATAAAGTTGTTAAAATTTCTATCTTGTTTCTTTTATTAAGTGAAAAAGTGAATTACGTAACAACAATCATTTTCTAAAACAATAGAAAGCTGTTTAAAACCGCACGTCTTTATAGTCAACATCAAAAGATTTACTTTATAAATTAATAAAATTTTGATAAATTGATTTAATCACAAACATCTTTATTCTTGGTCATTCGAGACTATACAAATGTTTTCAGCGCTTTAGCCTTCAAGAAAACTTTAATTAAAATTTAAATAAAAAAAAAATTAGAAATTAAACCACGCAAATAATTATGTCTGTCGCCAGGCGCCTACCTCTTGACAGTTTGTTGGAGTGGTCGGCAAGTTCTAGGCTCACCGATCAAAATAACAGTCCTTCCATGTTGCGATCCCAAGCAGGTTACCCTCTACACGGAATGTCTCAAATGCGCTCAAATTGGTCAGGATGTCAGTGTGGTGGCCGACTGCAGACGAGCTGGCTGTGGTTAGTCATAGCTGGTGTTATCTGGTATTAGCTGGATGTTAGCCGATGTTAGCTATTGCTAGCTAGTGTTAGCTGTTAGCTTAGGTCAGCTGGTGTCAGAGCTGGTTTTAACTGGCAAAATAAAAAGTTTTAACATTGTTAGCTGGTTGCAGTTTGTGTTTGTTGGCAGAGTTAAGTAGCTAAAATAAGATTTGTTTACTTAGTTTGAAAATTGACTTTAGCATCCAGTGTTACAATTTTCGGTAGCTAAGATTAATGGAGAATATTAATTTCTATTGTTTATACTATACGTTAAATTTTTAAAAATCTGTTTTCCAAACATTTAATAACAATTATTATTACTATTATCACCATAGCTATAATTACATGCAAGACAAAAATTATTTAACGCTATTTATTATAATTAAATATAAAAGTTGAACTCGCCATCTCCAGGAAACCTAACGGCTCACGTACAGGGACCGAGCAAGTTGTACAACTGCGATGTGGACAATAGGAACGACGGAACATTTGAAATCGTGTTCAGGCCAGTCGAGGCCGGAAGCTACACGCTGAACGTCATGTACGATGGCGAACATGTACCAGGTTGGCCTTTTTGTTTGTTTGGTCGATTGGTTGGTTGGTTGATTGGCTGATTAATTAGCTGATTGGTGTTAGTAGGTTGATTAATTTGTCAACAGAGTAACTGATTGGCTTATTGAATAAACAACAAAAACGTTTCTAGAAAGTCCTTTCCAGTTCAAGGTCGGCGCGTCACCAGACGCCAGCAAGGTGAAGGTCTCAGGCGAGGGTCTCAAAAATGGCATCCTCGCCACCTTCAACAGCAGCTTCTGCGTTGACACCAGAGGGGCTGGCCCTGGAAAGTTGAATGTCAAGGTCAGGGGCAAAAAAGGTAAACATTCGTTTATGTTACTTTTATAATAATAATAATAATATTAATTTTTAATAATTCAATTGATCATAAAACCATCAATCAAATTAATCGATGAACCAACCATCCCATCAATTAACTCAGGAGCGTTCCAGGTGGAAATGAAACGAGATCCACACCGGGATCGAGTGATCTTGTGCAAGTTCAACCCAGCGGAAGTAGGTGAGTACTGGGTCAACATCCTCTGGTCCGGCGCTCACGTTCCCGGAAGTCCCTTCAAGGTAATCGTAGTGGATACGCTCCAGGAATTGAAAGCTCTGGGATCCGGAGCTAAGCAGACCTCGTCCGATATGTTCTACGGATCCATGAGTAGCGATCCTGGAAGTAATTTGTCGTTTGGCGGGGAAGATTTTTAATATTTTTTTCTTTAAAAACAATTTTTTCACATTTTTTCAAACTACAATCAGTTTCACTAATTTGTACTAGTTAGATTAGTGTTAATGATTTTTTATTTGGTTCTAAAGAATGAGTGAAAGAATGGGTGACTTTTAATTTGTATGGAAAACCAAATGTACCGCCCCCAATATATACATACATATTTATTCGTTGCATAAATTGTTATTTCTGCTTTACGATGACTTTGATAATCTCAAAACTAATAAAATTAATTTTATTCAAATCATTTTTTGATCCAGTTTTAATCTTCATAATAATAATAATAATAACAATAATAATAATAGAATCTGTCAGCAATCATGAAATTAAAATATAAACATAAATAAAAATACGAACAAAAATTTATATACGTTTATTTATGTGTGTGTGTGTGTGCGTGTGTGTGTGCGTGCGTGTGTGTGTGTGTGTGCGTGCGTGTGTGTGTGTGTGTATGTATGTGTGTAGATACATATATTATATATAACACTGCTCCAGGCTATACTGTGATAAAAAGTAAATTTTTAATTTTCTAACAATTTTCTTCTTAAGTATAACATAACATATTAACGTAAATATCGAGACGCACATACACACACACGCACGCACACACTCATGCACACACACACACACAGACTCACAAACACTCGCTCACACAAACACACACACTCATGACATACATATGCGTAGGGATTTAATTGATTGTTTATGGGTTAAATCTAAATAAATATTTTCAATTAATATTATTTGCCCATTTATTATATAATCATTATTATTATTTTTATTATTATTATTCTTTGTATTGTTTTTATTATTTCAAGTTTGGAGGATAATGATCTGAATAAATGTATATATATATATATATATATATATCATATATATATATATATATATATATATATATATATATATATATATATATATATATATATATATATATTTAATTGCGTTTATTTATACAGTAATATATTTATTAGAAACAATATATATAATATATTTATATATATTATTTTTTATTTAGTTAATAATATTATTGTAACTGAAATTGTTATGATTTTCATTTTTACATCGTCTCCATCGTCTCAGAATAAAAGGAATTTGTATTTTTTTTATTTAATTTTTTAAACTCTATAATTATTAATTAAGATGATAATAACAATAATAAATATAATATAATAATGAAATAATAATAATAATAATATTAAAAAGCAGAAAGATGAATTGCAGCAGGAAAAAAATCATTCGTGGATTATCATAAATATACCTTAGTAATTGGAGCACCGTGTTTTTGCATACAAACAAATATACAAACTATTTTTCGGTATGTATGTATGTATGTATAAATGTATGTATGTATGTATGTATGTATGTATGTATGTATGTATGTATGTATGTATGTATGTATGTATGTATGTATGTATGGATGTATGTATGTGTGAATGTATGCATGTATGTGTGTATGTGTGTTTGTATGTATGTATGTTTGTATGTTTGCTTGTTTGTTTGTTTGTTTGTTTGTTTGTTTGTTGTTGTTTGTTTCAAATCTACCCCATATTTGTTTTAAATCAACTATATGTTTGTGTAGTTTTTGATTTTAACTGTTTTCTTGTTTGTTATTTATTTGTTTGTTTGTATATATGTATGTGTGTGTGTATATATACGTTTTAATTTGATTGTATGATGTTTGTATATCTTTTTGTATGTTTGTATGTTCGTATGCATCTTTGGGTTTACGTGTGTGTACTCTATGATAGGTAATAACTGATGGGTAGTAGTGTTACTTAGGTTAAAATGCGTCGAAATTCCAATGTCAAAAAGATTCAGTCAATAATACCACCATCATCGTCATCATCATCGTCGTCGTCGTCTTCGTCATCATCATCATCGTCTTCGACGTCATCATCATCGTCGTCTTCGTCATCATCATCATAATCATCGCCTTCATCATCATCATTCTCCTATCATTTCGTACATATTAAAGAGGATCTGTGAGCGATATTTAATGCTTGTAAAAGATTTTTTTCTTCAATTTAGCTTGTTATTTGTGTTATTGTTATTAATTATTATCATTATTATTATTATTACTACTATTGTTTTGCCGTAATATTTTTAAAGGATGATCGTTTGGTTTTCCCGCCAAATTGATGAAAAAATTAATGAATCAATTATCAATGTTTGTAAGCCGCACACACACACACACCCCACACCCACACACACACGCCCGCACACAAACACACAAACACACACTCAACAAACACGGATAGCAGACGCACACATAACATACACACGAATATATGTACTTGTACCTATATATATATTTATACATATATATATATATATTTATTGTATATATATATATATATATATATATATATATATATATATATACTAACACACACACGCACACACACAGATGTATAAACACACACACACAAACATATATATATATATATACCCTTAATAAACTGTTTCTTTAATGTATACATACACGTGTACGTACACTGTATAGTAAGTATGTACTGTGTGCGTATAAAACTTGAATAGAACATAAAAGAATCGTACATCTCTCTCTCTCTCACCCACTCTACTATATTCATCATTCATATTGCGTGTGTAATTTGGTTTCATACTTTTTGTAAGTAAGCCAAATTCTTATTTAAAATGACTTATAATTTTTATTTTCGGGTAGATATGTAATTAAATTTCTTTACTAACAATATTAATATTGTTACTCCCACTATTACTACTACTACTACTACTACTACCACTACTCCTACTACTACTACCACTAGTACTACTATTACTGCTGTTACTACTGCTACTATATCAAAAATATGCGTCGAACAAATTTGGATAGGGATTTTGATTAATTGTTATAATAATAATAATAATAATATTAATAATAAATAATAATAAATAATAATAATAATAATTTTTAATTATTCTTTATTAATTTTAAATTGACTTTACATAGGTGCTAATAATGCTATGGTATATCATTATTATGACGTCGTAGAAACTCCATTCGTTAGACACCAAAATGGTGTAGCCAATTTTTTTTTGGTAAAATTTTGAAGGTGAATCATAAATCGTTTGCGAAATGTACTGCAGGTACAACCTTGCAAGTATTTAAAAATTATTAACAACAAAAAACCGGTAACAATCGAAAACCGATTCGGATATTCCTGTCAATATCGTATCATACCGAACTAACCCGACGGATATTTGGAAAAAATTGAAACTGCTCCCTAATTAACCAGTCCAACCCGACCAAACTATGCTGTCTTTCTTGATATGAATCCCTTCAACGCATCCACCACACACTGCTGCTACATCCTTCTTTTGGTCGTCATCACTCGCGTACAAGCGTCACACAAAGCCAAAAAACTCTACTCGAAACTATTCGAATCTCGGGACGGCAGCAGGTACAACAAGTACATCCGGCCCGTCGAACGTGAAAGTGACGTCATAGATGTCTACATCGGGTTAAAATTGTCACAGCTGATTGATGTGGTTGGTTTTTTTTTTAGTTTAAAATAAAAATAATATTATTGTTTTTTTTCTATACTTTTGTTTAATATTCGTTTGCGTTTATCGGATAATTTATTTGGTGGTGGCAAAAAATTTTTGAAATTCACGCGTGCACACGCACGCGCAAATATTTACACGTGCACACTCACACGTGTACACACACACGTACACACAGCCATGCGCAAGTTTAAAATTCTATTTTTCATTACAATGCTCGAAGAATTCAATAAACATGAAGGAAGTTTGAGTTGGTTCAAAAACTGCAACGAGTTATATACCACTTCTTTCGGTGTCGGATTGATGAAGATTAAAATAGAGTTTTACGCTCAAAATATAAAACGGAAAGAGAGAGAGAGAAAGAGAGAGAGAGAATAACGGAGAAAGAAGAAAAGGATGTTTGAGTGAACAATTGTACAAATGAATAAAAAATATAAATGAATGAATGAATAAAATGAGTAAATGAAGGAATGTTTAAGTTCTCAAAATAACACAATTATTGCTAGTGTTGTTGCTGCTGTTTCTATTACAAACTAAATTAAGATTTAGGATGTATGTTTTGTTGTTGTTTTTGTTGTTGTTTTATATCCGATCTTTTCAATTTTTCGCGTTCATGATTCTATCAATCACATTTTTTTAGCAACTTTTTTAAACTACTTCGACACACACAACACAGACATACAACACACACACACCCACAGACAGACGCACACAAACACAGAGGCAAGCAGTCCGGGTAGTAATGTTTTCATTTCATCTTGCAGTCTTTTCTTTTCAGGGCGAATGATTTATTATAGAAACATACATAGAGCCTTTATGCGTACATAACTTTGTATATATATGTTTATATAAAGTAACTCACTTTGTTAAAGTACTAACTTTGCTTCGTTTAAAGAAACTATATAAACCAAACCTGTACTAAAGTTGATTTGTGAAAAATTGAAATAAGGCCTTCCTGCATGATGGATTTGGATAATAACTCATTTTCAATTAATTTAACAATTTTCAAAAAATTCTAATAAGGAAAATTGAAAAAACAAACTTTAAATTGATTTATGCCAACAATTTGGTAGATTTCATACAATACCGCAAAAATATATTATAGAAATTATATTTTAAATTAAAATACATATATACCAAAAAAATGCGTACCAACATAAGTACATTCATACATACATTCACTCATATACATACACACGTATGTGCATACAGAGATATATACACACACACACACAAACAAACAAACAACACTATCTTTCTTCTTCCTGAAGCAAAAACAACAACAATAACAAATAACAGCTTGCACAATTTATCACACATGACTACAACTAAATAATGTAATAATAATAACAACAAAAACATCAAAACAACAACAATAACAATAATAACATCAATTGCCTTCGGAATTACAAAATGCTGGTAACATTAAACTCATCAACAAATATATAATGCAATTTTATTGCATGTACTAAAAATAAGCAAATAATGAACGAACAAATAAATGAATTAATGCTTGATTAAATGAATGAATGAACAAACGAATGAATGAATGTATAGATAAAGAAATGCAAATTAAAATATGATTAGTTCATATACATATAAATCAGTGTATTGAAAAAAGTATTAATGTATGTATGTATTATGAATATGATTATGTAATTATATGTAGGTTCATCTGCATGTTTGTGTGTGTGTTTGTGTGTGTGTGTGTGTTGTTTTCATTGCATTCGAAAAAATAGAACTCTCATACTCGCGGTTATGAAGATGATAAATTTGACAAGAAAATTTTGTCAATAGGAATGAGAAGAAAAAAATTGAAGAGGAAATTAACGAAATGACAAATTTGGAAAAACATTTTTAAAATATACGCAGACACAACAAAATAATGCAAACGACATCGGGAAGGAATTATTTCCAAATGTGGAATCTTAAAAAGATTGAAGCACACACTCGCACGCACACACACTCACACACCCACACACATGCACACACACACACCACACACACACACACATACATACACACAAACACAAATACAAATTAAAACAACACTTATCCACACAAATACAAATTAAAGCAAAAAATAAAAATCCAAACAAATTCCAAAACAATATCCCTTTTTATTGGTAACCAGGACGAGAAAAATCAATACATGACAACGAACGTTTGGATGTTGTACGAGTGGGTCGATCCCACTTTAAAATGGGATCCCGCCAATTACGACGGAGTCCTATCACTTTACGTTCCCGCAGTTTCAATTTGGCATCCGGACATCATACTCTATAATACGTAAGTTGAGATGGGGGTGTTGGTTTTTTGCTCTGTGTTGGGCTGTTGCTTATAAGGTTACATTATTATTATTGTTGTTTTTATTGTTATTATTATTGCTGTTATTATTATTATTATTATTATATTATACTTTGTTTGTTTGAAAATAACTTATAATTTAATGGTTAAAAAATGTTATTTTCTTGAAAAATCTATCAGAGTTTTAGGATTGAATGAATTACGATGGAAAACAAAATGTTGCTATCAAATAAATTAACCAATTCTGATAAAAATATTTTATTAATATTTCAATAAGTCTTTACAAAAATATAAATAAATTAGCTAATTAATTAATTAAGTTATGAATAAATGAATAATCTTTTTGAATTTTTTAACCAATTTTAGTTGAAACATCCTTTTTCCCCATTCTCCTCTTCTTATCTGGATAGCATAGACGCATACATTTTTCACTAATAAATCCTCACAATGCACGCAGTGTTCAACAACATTTTTGTATTTTTGTATATAACCTACAAGTTTTGTAATTTTTTTTATAATTTTGTTTATTTATTCATGTATATACAAGAGTGCACGTGGGTGATGTATGGATGTTTGTTGCATGCTATGCTATGTGTTTTTGTATGTATGCTTTATGTATGTGTTTGTGCGTGTGTCCAAGTGTGTGTGTATGTATAGTATGTATGTGTTTGTATGTGCGTGTATGCATGTGTGTATATATGTTTGTAGGTATTTGTTTATTTGTTTAGACATGCCATGAATTTTTTTTCACTTCATTTGTTTAACTGGCTGAATTTTTTGTTGCACAGCATATGTTAAAGCTTGAGTATCTGTATTGTTTGTGTGTATCTGACGTATGATTGTATTTTAGTTTCTAACGGTATTATTTGTGGTTTTATATTTGGTATAGATAGTGATACATATATGTGTATATGTGTCTGTGTGTGTGTGCGTGTGTGTGTGTGTGTTTGTGCGTGGGCATGTGTCTATGTATGTTTGTATAAGCGAGTTAAAGAAAAAAACGATTAAATTTTAAACATTTCAAATGAATGAATAAATGAATGAATGGAGTGAATGGTGTGAATACAGTGAATGAACGAACGAACGAACGAACAAACGAATGAATGAATGACAAAGTGAGTAAAAATATTAATAAATTAGCAAAGCATCTACACAATGAAAAACAAAATAGTTGGATCGCATCAACGTAACCACACAAAAATAAATCAACATACATAACATACATACATATATAGAGAGAGAGAGAGTATAACATATTTTTTATATATATATACACATATATTTGACTTACTTACTATAGCCCAGAGGCATCTGAACAACATGAAACTAAACTCATCTTAATAGACATTTTTTTTTATTTTCTGGGTGTTTTTTAACTTTTATTTATGCGAGAGAATGTTAATTGCTAGCTAGAAAAATCTGATTGTTCTACCGCCTATATTTAGGATCTATGTTTGTTCGTTTGTTTGTTTGTATGTGCTCTTTGTTTGTTTGTTTGTATGTGTTGTTTGTTTGTTTGTACGTATGGGCAGTTTGATTGTTTGTATGTATGTGCAGTTTGATTGATTGTTTGTTTTGTTTATTTGTTCGCCTAGTTGTTCGTTTTTATTATTAAAAAGACCAGTCTCTTCCAGACAAAAAGAACTCTATGCGTATTTATGGGAATGTCATTTTTTAAAATTAGTATTGTTGTCGTTGTTGTTGTTGTTCTTTTTTTTAAATATTATTGATAACTATGATTGATAAATAAATTATTGATAAATAAATAAACATATGTATATTTATAAGTGCATAAATTTGTATATCATTTGGTTATTTAGCGTTCATTCATTTATAACAAAAATACACTACCCACACACACACACACACACACACACACACACACACACACACACACACACAACAACAACACACACATACACATACATACATACACACACATATGGTTGTTTTTATTTGTCAATAGTAATTGTTGTTTCGAAGTTTAACAATATTACAAACACGCAGAAAATTTGAAGTGTTTTCAAGAAAATTAAATTCAAGGTTAATAACCGTATAATGCAGCAAACACATACACACACAAACACACACACTGACACACAAACACACACTGACACACACACACACACACTGACACACACACACACACACACACACTGACACACACACATACACACACCAAACACACACACACACACACACTTTCTTTCATACACAAACACATAAAGTTTTTGCATAGTCAACATTTTTTTCTAATTCTCTTCAAGAAGCCATCAATTTTTTTGTTTAATTTTTTTTGTCTTCTCTTAATCTTATTAATCCACGCATCTATTCATCCATTCATTCGGTTGTTTGCTTGTTATTTGGTTCGCTCGTTTGTTCGTTTATTCATTCATTCATTCGTTCGTTCATTCATTCATGCATTCATTCATTCGTTCGTTCGTTCTTTCGTTCATTCATTCATTCATTCATTAATTCATTCACTCACTCATTCATTCACTCACTCATTTATTCATTCATTCATCAATTCATCCATCCATCTATCAACATATTCATCCATCTCCAGCTTATCAATCAATCAATCAATCAATCTGTCGCTCGCATACACTCACATATTTCAAAAGAATATTTCCAAAATATTTAGAAATAACGCAAAAATTTGTTTGATGTTGTTGTTTGTGTTAGTTGTTACAACAGTTGTTGATTTATTTGTCGTTGTTGTTGTTGTTAATGTTGTGGTTGCTGTTGTTGTTGATTTGTTCGTTGTTGTTGTTGTTGTTTTTGTCTAGTCCTTTCTTACTTAATCTGTCTTATTTCCAACTTATCTCTCTTTCTTTTACAATTTTTAATTTTTTAACATTCATTTTTTTTGTTTTTCTTCTCGTTCTTTCTCTTCCACCCTCTCCCCTCTCTTTTTCTTTTTTTTATTTCTTATTCTTTCTCTCTTTCTTATTCTCCATTCTCCCTAGACACACACACACACACACACACACACATATAATGACAGAAAGCACATTATACCCAAAAATAAAACTCGACCATCTTGAATACCCCTCCACAGAGCAGATGGTACGTACGAGCCGACAAATGGTACGAACGCCATTCTCTGGTTCAACGGTACGATAATGTGGTCACCCCCGGCCTCGTTCAAGGTTGGATGCACCCTGGACGTGACCTACTTCCCTTTCGACCAGCAGGATTGCGGTTTTCAATTTGCGTCATGGACCTATAACCGACATGAGGTTGGTGTGTGGCGTGTTTTGGTGTGTGTGAGTGTGTTTTTGTATGTGTGTGTGTTTGTGTGTGGGTGTTTTGGGGTGTTTGTGTGTGGTTATGTATGGGGTGTGTTTGTGTGTGTGTGTTAGTGTGTGTGTGTGTGTATGTGTGTGTTTGTGTGTGGGTGTGTATGAGGTGTGTTTGTGTGTATGTGTGTGTATGTGTGTTAGTGTGTGTGTTTGTGTGTATGATTGTGAACGATTTTAAAATTGAAGTATCATTATTCCTGGCAAGACAAAACATTTGATATGAGTTTTACTGAAAAATGCTAGAGTTTGTTTTTTTAGTTTTATAAAAATATCAGGGGCAATCATTTTTTTTGGAGTTTTTTGTTTTTCGTGATAATTTTTTGGTTTTGGTCTTTTTGGATAAAATTGTTGTGCGGAATTATTTAATGATTACGCATGTCCAAAGTAGAAAAAGCCGCTAGAAGAATACTCATTTGATACGTTCATCAAAGCCTTTGTGTATTTGTGTCCGTCTGTGTGTGTGTGTGTGTGTGTGCGTGCGTGTATGTGTGTGTACGTTCGTGTATGTATGGTGTGTGTGTGTGTGTGTGCAAACTTGTAAAAAAAATTTTTCGACACTGTACGTTGTTTTGTATCCTGATGATGTATGGGTAAAAAATTTGTTGAGCAGTAGACTATTTCTAAAAGTGTTTTGTATTGTATGACATATATTTGGGTAGTGATTTTAGGCATTATTGCGTGTTGTGTATAATTTAGAAGTTGGCCTAATGGGATGTGTGTATAGCGTATTTGTGTGTAATGTGTCAATATAAGATGAGCATTAAACTAGTCTATTGTAGGGTCCCTAGAGAAACATAAGTGAAATGAGATTTGTATCTCTGTATCATTAAAAATAAGCTGTGCATATTAGGTTTTTGTGTATATTTTAAAAAGTGTGATAATGATGTGTATGTATGTGTGTGTGTGTGTGTATGTGTGTGTGTGTGTGTGTGTGTGTGTGTGTGTGTGTGTGTGTGTATGTGTTTTGTATATGTGTGTGCATTTATTTGTATGCTGTACTGAGTTCAAAAATATTTTTGCGTGTATCAATACAGAGGTGGGCAAACTACGCCCCGTTTTATGCCATTTTATGCGGCTTGGCCAAAAAAAATCGTCATCCCAAACATTCAAAGGTCAAATAGACCTCAATGCTGCCCTCAACTAAACTAATAAAAAGTTAGAAAGTAAGAAATCATGAGAACAAGAAACATAACTGCTAATAAATGCTCGTTTGCATTACACGTATGTATGTTTGTGTTTATTTGTATGTACGCATGTGTGTATATAGGTATTCATTTATATATGTTTTTGTATGTTTATATGTTTTGATACGTTTGTATTACACGTATGTATGTGTTTATTTGTATGCATGCATGTATGTAGGTAGGTAGGTATGCATTTATGTATGTTTTTGTATGTTTTGAATGCGATATTTCTTACTAAAAGTAGGAAACATTTAATCATTCATTTTCCCATTCGTTCATCTATTCATTCATTCATACTTTTGTTCATTCATTCATCTATTCATTCATTCATACTTTTGTCCATTCATTCATCTATTCATTCATCCATTTTATCTATCTATTTCTCTTCAAAACATCAGTTGACTAGAAAAGGTTCATTAACATTTCATGATATTGTTTTGATGTTTTATATGATTTATGTTTGTGTGTGTGTGTATGTGTGCGTGTGTTTGTGTGTGCATGTGTTTTATGTGTGTGTGTGTGTGTGTTGCGTATATAATTCACATGTATGGCACGTATATATATTCATACGACAGCATCATCATCTCTATCAATTTCGACAATCTAGCTGGTGTAGTGTAGTGGTAAAGCGCCTGCTGCTGTGTTGTACAGACCAGGATCAAATGCAAGCGTTCGCAGAAAGTTAAAACCAGATTAAGCCGTGAAGCTACGTGTATCAATTAATTGATTTCATTATAATTCACGTTACCACCACCATCATCATCGCCGTCGTCAACATCGTCATCATCATTTTCATCATCATCAATTTCTTTCACAGTATCATCATCATCCTCTTTATCTCATCATTATCATCATCATCGATGGTATCATCATCGTCTTTTTATTATCATTATCATCATCATCGGTGGTATCATCATCATCATAATTATTATTATTATTATTATCATCGTTTTGTTTTTAACGTTTTGATGGAATGTTTTGCTTCATAACTCAAGTCTTGATTTCTTTCTCTCTTTCTTCCTCTCTCTCTCTTTCTCTCTCTCTCTCTTGCTCTTTCTTTCTTTTTATTTATTTCTTTTTTCTCGTTCTTTCTCTCTTTTGTTCACTTTCTCTCTTGGCCAGTTTTTTCATGTCTTTCTCGAACTCTCTTTCGCTTATTTTAATTTTTTTGTTATTTTTTGTATTTATCGTACTCTCTTCCTTCTCTTTTTTTATTTAGCCTTTTCTTTTTCTTGCGCGTGCACACACGCACACACACACGTACACACACGCGTACACACGCACGTACATACACACGTACATACACGCATACAAACAATGTTATCATTAAATCTAGACGCAGTAAATAACACTTAATTTGTTACGATCACTTCACTGAAATAACAAGAATGCATTAGATCTAAATCATTGTATTTTCAGTTTCCAAATAAATTTTTTTAAATTTCTAAAATAAATTTCCTCCATTTTCTGTATAATTTGTTGTCGTTTATTTTATTTAATGTATCTAACATTTTTATCCAAATAAAAATGTTAAAACAATCATAAAAAAATATTTTAGCGCTAATTGAACCAAGCGCGCCCGTGCGTTCGAACCCGTGAGCACAGCCTCAAACTATTTACTATTACCAAATAGTTTTTTTTTCTTTCAAATAGAATGAAAATGAAGTCAAAAACCGTTTTATCTCATTTTATCGTCAATCAATCATCATTTTACAGTATGCAGTTATTATCATCCTCACTAGGTCTGTCTGTGTGTGTGTATGTGTGTGTTTGTGTATGTGTGTGTGTGTTTATTAGTTTATTAATAGTACAAAAGTGTTTTGCAATGTTAAAAACAACTTTATGTTTTATGCCTTATCTGAAAACAGCCATTTAAACAATATATTGTTTTTTTATTTTATGCCATTTTTTGCACCATCACATATAATTTGGTACAGTACCAAAATACGTGCGCACGTGTGCTTAAAGACTCATGTTAAAATACAAAAATATACACAAAAAGTTTGTCTTTCTTAAAAAATCAGACTGTCACAGTGTGCAAATTGAAAAAACAAATAAATATCTGTAAAGTATTGAAGATGGGTGATACACATATCTGAAAAATAAGATGATAAGTTTATTAAGTTTGTTTTTTTATACAAAGTTTCGGTTAGACATGCCTTTAGATATTTTCAACATAATCATTCCTACTCATTTTAACTCGTCATCCTGAAAATTAATCACCCTCAAAGATAATCACCACAAATATAACCACCACAGACATAGCCAGAACAAATATAATTGCCACAATCGCAGCCGCCACAATCGCAGCCACCACAATCGCAGCCACCACAATCGCAACTACAAGAGCCACACCACACACGCAGATAAACATGAAGCACATGGACCAGCACGACTCCCAGGATTACGACGATTACGTGCAGGACGGCATCGACCTCAGCGAATTCTACCAAAATGTTGAATGGGACCTGATGGCCATCCCTGCCCAGAAGACCCTGATACACTATGCCGGGTCGAGAGAGGAGTTCACCATGTGGACATTTAACATGCAGCTGAGAAGGAAGTTTCTTTTCTACACCGTCAATTTACTGATACCTCTAATATCACATGCTCTCATCACGGTTCTCGTTTTTTATATCCCAGCCGCCAGTACGGAAAAAATGGCGCTGAGTATAAATATATTACTCTCGCTGACTGTGTTTTTTCTTATGCTGGCGGAAATAGTCCCAGTGACGTCACTAGTCGTGCCTCTACTCGGAAAGTACTTGGTGTTTACTCTGCTGCTTGTTGTGTCCAGTATTGCTGTTACCATCATCACTTATCAGCTGCATTTTCGGTCAGCTTCTACTCATTCCATGCATGATTGGACCAGAAAGGTCAGTTGGTTGGTCGGTTGGTTGGTTGATTGGCTGGTTGGTTGGTTGGATGGTTGGTTGGTTGGCATTAACAACAACAACAACATCGGACAACACCACTCATCCAGATCTTTCTCTACTGGATGCCAAAATTCTTAATGATGGAACGACCGAAGGTAGAGAACAGCCAGGATGTCTATCTGAAGTACATCAAGATCAACATCTGCAACTGCCTCAGGAATCAGACGGAAAACATGGAGCCACACACACATCGAAGTTTCATCGGCGATCCCAACAACGGTCCACAGATCGGTTGGCCACACACACACACGCACGCACGCACACACACACATACACACACGCACACACGCCAACACTACATATTTTTTAATATCAACAACACTTTAATATATCTTTGCTATATTAGCCTCATCACTATCGCTATTAAAAACATCATTCTCTTAGTCACTATCACCATTATCATTTTCATAACCATCATCAAAACCTATCACCATCGTCATCATCAAATCACACACTCACCACAACTACCACACAGGTAGCAACAGTGGTAGCGGCACACACAGCAGCACACGCCGACCAAAGACGCAGATGGTTCTCATGAACTTGACAAGGGAATTGGATGAGGACACAAAGGCCATCAAAAAACTGGACCTCTCCATTGAGGTTCAACGGGCTATCCAGGGGGCACTTTACATAAGCAACCATCTCAAGAAAGAAGATCAATGTCTTAGGGTTAGAAATCACACAAACATGCATACACGCATTCTCTCGTTCTATCTCCCTTTCTCTCTTTTTTTTCTCTCTTTCTCTTTCCCACAGCAGTGTTTGTGAAAAAACTTAAATTAAATGTCACATACACTTTCTTGCTTCTTATATGTGATGATCTCTTTGAAATTGAACTCTGTCTCTGTGGCACGAGATCATGCGTCATAAATCATTTTGCCATCATCTTCTCTATTATTATTTCAATAAATAAATATTTTTTACAATTTTTTTATTAAAGTATTTTTAAAAATATCAGCTAATGAGACTATTACAGAAAAAAAAACCGTTGAAGATTGTTAGCTTATCATGTTTCAGAGGCAAGAGTATACAATTTCACGATAGACAACAATTAAACTATTCAATATTATTCCTCAGAATACATATAACTCTAAAACCACACCAACTCCTTCTCCCAAAAAAAAACAGACGAAAGAAGACTGGAAGTACGTGGCTCTTGTTGTAGACAGAATACTGCTGTGGGCCTATGCATTTGCATGTGGGATTGGTTCCATTGCCATCATCTGCCAAGCTCCCATGCTCTTTGATTATAGAGAACCTGTTTTAGCCGGCAAACACTGACGCACACACACACACACACACACACACATGCACATACATACACACATACATACACACACTCCTCACACATATATACACACATAACGCACACAGACATACACACACACAATTAGCTAGATTTTCATTTTTTAAGTTTAGCAGTTTGTTACCTTTATGTTTCGTTTTTATGTTGCTGGCTGATTGTCTATATAAGTCGTCGTTGTTGTTGGTGGTGGTATCTGAGAATGTGATGTTTGCTAGTTCAGGTCATATTTTTTTTACTTATGAAAGGTCGGTATCGGTAACAGATTGTAGTTTAAGATCCGTTTATGATAATTTTTAATAATTAATAATAGTAACACAGGTACACAGCGTCACACAAACACACACACACACTCACATACTGCCAAGCATACAGCGTATACACACACATACCCACATGCATACATATACATTATACATACTTGCAAACAAACACATACAAACAGACAAGCAAAAAAACATACACACAAAGATGTATACGTTTTGCCACGTTCAGTAGCACAATTCCAAGACATTATCACGTTTTTATAACTAACTGCTCATCATCTTGTGTATTGTATGAGATCTTCGTGTGTGAGATGTTGCTGTAAGATGTTGCTTTGTAAACATACATACATAAATACATAGAAACATAGATACATACATACAACATACATACATACATACGCACACACGTACATACATAAAAACAAACATACATACATACATTAATACATAGATAAACACATAAATATGCATGCATGCTTTAGTTTCATATTGATGCAAAGTGCAAACGTATTTTTTACGTAACACATCCATAACTTAATATATTGTTAATAGGTTACACTTTGAATTTTATTGAATTATTTAGGACTGCTTTTTAAGAATAAATTGTAATAATTGAAAAAATGGCTAGGATTAAGGTTTAAATCACTGTACACTTAATCTTTGTTGTTGGTGATGATGATTGTAAATTCATTCATACATTCAATCATTCGTTCTTTCATTCATTAATTCGTTTGTTTGTCCATTGATTCACTCATTCGCTCATTGATCTCCCTCCTTCATTCGTTTATTCACTCATTTGTTTTTCTACCTATTCACTCACGCATTTATCCATTCACTTCATTGATTGATTGATTCAATCATCCATTCATTGATTCATTGATGCATTCATCCAATCATTCATTCATTCATTCATCCAATCATTCATCAATCAATCATTCATTCATCCAATGCATATATTTGAGACTGTTAAGGCAGAATTTAATTTTAACTTCGTTATATCGATGATAATTCGTTATAAAAAGGTATGATTAAAATAAAATGATCAGTATCAAACATTACCAAACGTTAGAAATCACCCAAATATGAATATGAAAAAATAAGAAAATAAAAAAAATGTTTAATTCGACCTCAAAAGTTTAATAAAATAAGTTAGAGGATGACGGTTTGGAGTGAGCCAGAGCCTGCCATCTCAACAACTGAATAAGACTAATATTTGAAAAATTTATAAAAAATATATATTGAGAAAAAAAGAAATTAATTGCTCAAAAATATATATATATATATATATATATATATATCCGTAAAGAATTCTTATCAACATAAAAATGAACCACAATTAATGATAGCATTCTAAAACTTGATTGAATAATAATACATACAAATTTGAAAAAAGTCAACCAGTACCTTACACGATGCTGTCTTCTTGTTGCCGTGGTAACTGTGAAGACGCTGGAAAAATGATGCTGCATGGTGATAGGATGCTCTCTCTCTCCCGCTATTTCTCTCTCTCTCTATATATATATATATGTATATATATAAGTACATATATATATATATATTATATATATATCCATATTTATTTATAAAAAATTATAGATGCGTGTGTTCATTCGTTTGGGATTTTGACGGCATTGTAAATTAGCCTTCATGAAATAGTAAAAATATTTAAAAAAAATATAATATATATTAACAAATCCGGTTTAAATGTGAGTCATTGGAGATATTCGTTGAAAAATATAAAAATAATTTGATAAGTATAACGTCGATTTTAATTTTACTAATTACGTAGAATATAATTTATTTCAAGTAGATTTGTTGAAATATTTGTACACAATGTCTGCCCCACCCATCCGAAACGGGGAGCTGTCCGGAGAGACAGGGGATACATTCCTGATTGAACACGGAATGAGTCTCAAGAGGTTCTACAGTGGGAAGCCTTTTTTCAAGATGATCACCGATGTCAAGTAAGGATTGCCTTTAAGTACCGTTTGGTATGTGTGTGTGTGTGCTTGTGTGTGCGTGTGCGTATGGTAATGAAGCTAAACATTATATACAGAAATTTACAATTAGCAGTAGGTATTAAAAATTAAACCGAATTTTAAAAAAAATCAAATTTTCAAATTTACGAAAAAAGAGTTATAAATCTCCATTCCAGATGGTGGAGAACAGTTGTTGTAGACCCATCATCGAACTTCTACTACATCTGGTTGATCATCATGTCCTTTGCAGTCATGTACAACTTGATCATGGTCATTGCTCGAAGCGTCTTTTCACAGCTGCAGACCTCGTGCAGACCGATCTGGCTGACCATAGATTACGTATCTGATACCTTGTATCTGGTGGATATCTTTATTCAAACTCGCAAAGGTGATCATGTCAAATTATTGTCAAATAATCTCAACAAAAATGACATTCATTTAAAAAATCTCATCGAGTTTTTTAATTAAAAATAACGGAGTTAAATGTTTTTTATTCTGTTACATTAGTGACATTGGAGAACGGGCAATTTGTGATTGATACAAAAAAATTGATGAACACGTACTTGAAGACATTCGATTTCTTCTTGGACGTTGTTTCGATCCTGCCGACAGATGCAATCTACCTACTGACCAGCATCGACTTTACCATCGTTAGAACCAACAGAATTCTCAGAGTGCAAAGAATTTCGACATTTTTTGACAAAACAGACTCCCGTTCCAACTCTCCGTACGCCTTCAGAGCCACACAGCTCATCATGTACATCCTACTGAGTCTGCATTGGAATGCGTGTTTTTACTACCAGGTCAGCGAGTGGATAGGGTTTTGTTCCGACAATTTTGTCATGGTGAACAGCTCATGTGAGAAAGAAAATCTGGGTGTGACAGGTTCGGATTCTTTACTATTTGCTTACGTATTTTCTTTTTACTGGTCCCTGCTGACAATCACTGCCATGGGTGATGTCAGCCACCCAAAAACTGTTCCTGAATTTGGTTTCGTGGTGATGGAATATTTGGTCGGTATTTTAATATTTGCCACGATTATCGGCAACGTGAGCGACATTATTACGAGCATGAACTCTGAAAAAGCGACGCTGGAGGAAAAAATAGACGGCGTAAAACAGTACATGGTCTTGAGGAACGTCAGTAAGGAATTAGAAAAACGCGTAACCAAGTAAGATTATCCATATTTTTTCATTATCGTTTTTAAAACAGAATTAATTTTTGATAGGTGGTTCGAATATTTATGGATCGACCGTCAGACCGTGGATGAACATGAGGTTCTCTCATCTCTATCCCTTAGATTAAAAACGGAAATAGCCTCGCAGGTTCACTTGGATATCCTTCGAAGAGTCACTCTGTTCAAAGAGTGCGAGGCGGGCTTGCTGATGGAACTGGTTATGAAGTTGAAATTGGCCGTTTTCAGTCCAGGTGATTATGTCTGTCGTAAAGGAGACATAGGAAAGGAACTGTATATAATAAAACGGGGCAAGCTAGACGTTGTTGCAGACGACGGCAATATGGTTTTTGCTTCTCTCGGAGAAGGGATAGTTTTTGGAGAAATAAGCATACTCAATATCGCAGGTTAGTCCTAAAAATTACAGCTAGCAAACTTTTTTTGTCAGCGCTTCTTTCTTTCAGTCATGTAATTTTATAATCAAAGGTAATAAAAATGGCAACAAACGAACGGCGAATATCAGGAGCGTCGGTTACGCAGATTTGTACGTCCTTTCAAAAGAAGACCTTTGGGATACTCTGAAAGAATATCCAGAGGCCAAATCGAAACTGATAGAGAAGGGACGTCAGATGTTGCGAAAGGATAACATGCTTGACGAAGATCTGTCCAAAGAGCAAGAGCTTTTAGATATGACAACTGAACAGAAGTTAGAACGGATGGATCAGGTTTTGGACGATACCATTGAACAAATAAACAAGTTAACGATTGAGTTTGACAAGATTCAGCGCCGCATGAAAAAAAAATTGACGAGGGCAGAAAAGAAACTGGAGCTTCTCATCTTGAAGAAAATGTCAAAAGACAAGGAATGAACATTTCGATTTATTTTTTTGTTTAAACTTATTTATTGTATACACAATTATCGTAACCACACCCAAATTTTAAAATTGACTGGATAATTACCTAAATCAAAATTTCAGTTTTAACAAGAATGCAAGCACGCAATTGAAACATAACTTACGACACGCTTTTTACAATATTTATTGTTTATTTTTAAAAATAGAAACCTAAAAAATCGGATTATGTATGAGAGTAGGAATCATAAACTTAAATTTTTTAAAAATGTCAACATGAATGAAATGTAAATAGTGTTGACGATCGATCAATCGATCAATCAATCAATCAATCAATCAATTGAACCAGCCTCACCATGAGAAATATTAAGCAGTTTAAAATAATTTCTGTCAAATTAGGCCGTGAAATCGAACGCAAATATAATTAAATTCCAAATTCACATTAATATGCAAAAAGTGCATAAGATATATACATAACATATAATGTATATAAATATATACATACATATATATCATATATACTTAGATAACAGAAGTGAAGTTAGATATCATCAATATTCAAGTCATCCTCATCATTTTCCTCGCTGGTTGCATTACTGGCGTTGGTGATGCTCGTTTGTATCTGAGGAGTGGACACTTTGTCAGAATACACAACCTGTAAGGTTGGTAAGTAAAATCATAATTTTAGCACAAAAATTTTGAAAATTCTACCAATTTAAAAAGAATAGCACTTAAAATTATAACGACGCAATGAGATAATGTTATAACTTGAATTCTTTCAAATAGTTAAGTGTAAGAAAACTCTATCCACACACATACAAGTGGCCAAACACAGCAAATCATAACTTACTTCAACTTCATCCTCCTCATCATCACTGCTCTCTTCCTCTGCCTCCTTCAGCCACTTAATGAATGGCTCTGCCTTGCTGTGCAGTTCCTTGCAGATGTCTTTTGATAGGTACTTCTTTGAAGCCTGTTTTAGTAGTTGTTGTTTAGTGTTACACGTTTTTATAGTTGCTGTTGTTTACTGTTGCACGTTTCAAACAATAGTTTGTGAGAACTTCATAGACATATGTTAGATTATATAAAGTAGTTGCAATTTTTTGTGAGCAATATACCTGTTGAATGTTTTTTTAACATACTATCACTGGAGCATATTAATTGTTAACAATGTTTATAGGCACAGTTGAGAGACAATGTTTGAAGCTAGTATGGTTAAGGTATTATTACCCTTAATAAAATTGCATTATTTAAACACCTCTCATTGAAGCCTACAGAAATGTCAAACTTAATTTTTTAGAAGAGAACATTCAATATCTATTCATTATACTTGCCTTTTTATCCCAATCGATGATGACTTCCTCATCCAGTATGTCCTCCTCGTAGAATGCCTTCAAGATGTGAGCAGTTTTTGGCATGAGTAAATCATGGTGGTCATTGCCAACCAGCTGTTCAAATGCACCTAACAGGTACTTCTGAGCTTTCTCATTGCCATCTGTGAACTGTTGGTTGTTTCAAAAATTTTAGCCTTACAGTATAGAATCAATTTGAAATCTACAGAAAGCCTCAAACTATAAAAAAATAAAATTTCGTAAAAATCATACTGACCCTTCTCAGCAAAGATTTATATTGTTTGATCTGAGTGAGCATGTTAGAATCAAACAACAGCTCGAGGAGTACCATAGGTGCCTTGTCTCTCACGTCCAGTCTCTCTGCCTCCAACATCAACTCCTTCTCTCTCTCTGCCCCACCCAACATGTTTGCCACTTTACGTTGCTGCAATTGCATTATAAAGAACTCATGTTAGAGTTCATTTATTTGAATAATTACAATAAGAAAGATTTGTGTATTTATTATTAACAGACAAAGGCTATAACAGGCAATTCAATAAAAAATTCCTACCATCCTTATGAAAGCAAAAAGAAATTGCATGAAAAAATTTCATCACCAATCTTGCTTCGGAGAGCAGCATATTTTTCATTCTAGATCAGGCATTAACAAATTAAAACAAAACAAAACTTTGAAAAATGCAAAAACTACATTTCAAACCTGTACAAATGAATAGAAGAGATCAACACGTTCTTGTGGTGTCTTCTGTAGGTCATCACTGATGGTCAGATTCTTGGCAGCGTGTGAGAGGCCCTCCTTCCTGGCCTGCACAGCAGCATCCGACGTGTCCTCACCCCAGTCATCATCCTCGTCCTCATCCTTCAAATGAGACAGAATAAATTATCACCACATAATTATTACTTGATAGTTTTGTAATTATCCTTACTTCAGGGTGTTTTTATAATTGACATTTAAATTAAACTTATTTTAAGATAAAATTAAACTGAATTTAAACATAAAAATTAAGCATTATTTTTAATGTCAGCTAATAACACAAACAAATTGCAAAATGTAATAACAAAAAACACACACCACACACGCATACACAAACAAACCTTAGACAATCTGGAGGCCTTGTACTTTTTATTGTCACTGGCATCATGTGACACATCTCCATTTCCATTCCCATTGTCATTTGTCTCCTTTCCTTTGGTACTGGATTTTGACTTGGACTTGCTCCCACTTTTATCCTTCTTATCCTTCTTTCCTGGAGTTTCAGTGGCATTCTGTGTTTCCTGTTCATCATTACAGTATTATAAATATATACCAGACTCTATATTAAACATGACATCTTTACTTGTGTATATAGCATCTAAAGGAGAAACTAACAGTGACCAACCTGTTCAGGAGGGTTCTTGAGAATGAAGGTGGTCAGCTTGTGCCTCATGTCCACGATGGCTTGGTGCCCACACGCAATGCAATTCTGTAAGATCTGCTGCTTTTTCTGGTAGACTGTCTGTGTGGTTGTTTGGGGTTTTCATCATATATATATATATATATATATATATATATATATATATATATATACATATGATGGAAATATGATATGATATATATATATATCGGCAACCCCCGATATCGGGTAAATGTCGTCTAAACGTGTGTTGTTGTTGTTGTATATATATATATATATATATATATATATATATATATATATAATATATATATATATATAATTTTATTATTTTGGTAGACTAATTTTTTGATTCATATTCAAAAAAATCAGCATTTAAGAACAATTATTGCAGACCATCAAATTTAATAAGTTAATCTTGAAATGAAAAAGTAGACTGTAGAAACATAACTTGACTAACCAAATTAGTCTCTGGATTGTCGCATTCCGGGCAGAGGACAAATTTCTTGATGAATCCATCGAGGAGATCTTGTAACTTTCCAGCTTCGTGAGATCCGTTGACGATGTATCTGTCGTTCGGCAGATCAAACTGGGTCTGAGCACCAAGTTCACAGCCAAAATATTTTGTTGGGTCTGGACAAATGTTTTAACAATTATTTTGAAATTTTTGAATAAAGAATTTGTCATACAATCAATTTGATTCACATTGTAATTTAGAGTTAAAATTTTCAGATGAAGACAAATTTGTCACCTTCTGATCAATAAAATGAAATAGCTCATTTAATATTCACTAAAAAAATTACTGTGATGACAAATGTAAAACATTTAAGAAATGAACTATTTCAAAATTTTATTTCATGAAAAACAAATTAATGTATGTTAATCCATTCAATTTGATGTGTCCTGTACAAATTTAAATAAACTATGAGTCACTGAAAATTATATTTAATTAAAATTTTTTTAGATAGAAACTAACAAGTGGCAGGTCTTGATAATGATTTAGCAATATCTGACATGTTCACGATCACAGTTTTAATTCCGTTACCCTTACCCTCGACCTGTTTTTATAATATTATCACGAATTGTTAATCTTATTAAAATTATAAAATGAAAAAAACTGAAGTGAACAAACATAAATAACCCCAAACAAAGATATCATACATAAACAAAGATGTCAAATACAGAGCACAAACAATTAACAGCTTGGTGAAACCTTTGCTATGAGTCGTGGCATTTTGTAACGGTAAAACACATCAGTAACATTCCTGTTGACGTTGACAGACATTTTGAATGGTGGTAGCTGTCGTCGTTGTGGTCGTTGATGTGTAGTAAATGTGAATTATTATTTTTTAAACTGGTAAATTTGTGTCTACTCCGTCTGGCACTCCTGTAGGCAATACTGATGGCTTGATCAATGTGGAAATTTTCAAGGTAAGTCATAAACCTGCTTGGGACTATATCAGAGTTAGGAGAAAGGTGAAATGTATCAGCTGGTTCTTTGAAACTTTGTACACCTGTATTTTTTAATTTAACATTTAGTTTATTTGACATAATAAAGTATTAGAAATGACTAAAAATGTAAGCAAAATTAAGCAAGTAAACAAAATTAAATAATAACGATATTATGACCATAAGATTATTTAATTATTGAGATGAGCATAAAAGACAATGACACAGGAATAACATGACATGAATGAGAATGGCATGAGCATCTTGCTGGAATTGCAAAAAACTACTGAACCAGTCAAATTTAAAACTTCGGATTATTCCAAAACTTAAATTAAAACACAAAGAGCGTTGGGTCTGGAATATTTTTAACTGCGTAGTTCAATTCCAGCCAGGTGGAGACGGACAGACAGATGGTGACATTTTTTTGTTGTATACGCAAATTAAAATTGTGACCACGTGCGATGAGAATACGCCGTAAATTAATTCAAAATAAAAACAACAAATAAAAGAAATTAATTTAAAATACATAAATAAAATCCCAACCATATAACATTATACAAAAAGAGCAACTTTTAATGAAAGTTTTACTCCTCCGCCGATAGCTCGTTTTCATATAAAATGGCGACCTCTTTAATGCGAATGATCATGCGCGAAATTTATTACGTCACTTGGTGGTATTGCTAATTTCATTCTAATTTTGTATTTAAATTTATTTTTTAATCAAATCATTTTAGGATTGTGTTAAATTATTTCTAATTGTTAAAGCATTTATTTTGGCTGTTTTGATTATTTCAAAAAATTTATCTATTGTTCAATTTTACGCCCAGGTATTTTACAAAAACGAGTTTATGCCTCTTTTTTTGGATCGAATTCTCTAATCTTAGTGCTACAACGGGGCTTTATGTTTTTTTTAGCTTAAATTTATGTTAAAACTTTTATTTTCATAATATTTCACATTATTTCATATTTTAATTACATTAAACAACACTGTTAATGGAGTAACATAAAAAAATTTGTAAAATTTCTAAAAAGTTGGTAAAATTCCTTAAATCCTATCCGCAACTGTCTTAGTTTGTGACTAAAATCTCTACTAAAAAACTTGTACGTTGGCTTGATCTCAAAACGTTTTATCAAACTTAAAAACGTAAATATTTTACATTAACTCTTATAGCAAATAACATAAATATTTGATAAAACATTAAAAAATCTTGAAAACATTAAAAAGAGCTAGTCTAGTTTTACAGTCTAAATCTCAAACGCTTCTTCCAATTCCGGTTTTTAATATGTTAATATTAATTCAAATTGCCATCAAAAGAGGTTTGTTTTGGTATATTTCTCCTCGAATACTCACAGAGAATCTCAGAGAACGCCACTCACCAAATGGCACCTACCTATAACAATATATAATGCCACTCAATGTAAAGTCCGTAGACTCTTGCCAACGCATTTTACAGATAGATCATGGATGTATATTATATTAATCCATAAGATAGATTGACTATTTCTAGTTAATTTCATATATTAGTGACTATATTCATTTTTAAATATATATTTATAAAGATTTAGACCTTGTGTTCTGAAAAAGATCTCTATTATCTCATTTACCTATATAATAATTATGCCACAAAAACAATTAAGAATATGAATAAAGGAAAGGGTGAAATGTATATTAATTGATAAATTCCTTACTTCATCCAAGTTTTAGAATTTATCTTTCGATCATTTTTTAGAATTTTGGAGAACTGAAAAAATTAAATGTTTTTAATGCGCATGTAAAATAAAAGTAAAAATATGAAATTATTAAAACGTATAAAATCTTCATCTGAGCTGAACGTTGGCCAAATTTTGTGGGTAGCTGTTTTCAATGTTACTTATAATTAAAATAAAAAAGTAATAGTAGTAGTAGTAGTATTAGTGGTAGTAGTAGTAGTAGTAGTAGTAGTAGTAGTAGTAGTAGTAGTAGTAGTAGTAGTAGTAGTAGTGGTGGTAGTAGTAGTAGTAGTAGTAGTAGTAGTAGGTGCAGCAGCAACAACAATAGTAGTAGTGGTGGTGGTAGTAGTAGTAGCAGCAGCAGCAACAACAATAGAAATAGTCGTAGAAAAAATAGCAGTAGTAGCTGCAGAAGCGCAGAGTTTAAAATTGTTATTATTACAGTGATAGTTATAACATCGAATGCGAGCGAGCAACAATGAAATGAAACAATGACGATAGAAACCTAAAACGGCTCATTTAATTTATTTTAGCACGACCACTTGTTATCCGAATCTCTTGAGACAATCCTGATAACGAGTAGAATCGGTGCGGCGAATAGCTAACATGTTCCTATAGATCGATTGCTCCTTTCCTCGGATAAATACTCGAAATATTCATCTGGATATTGGTGGCCGAATGCAGTAACTCTGACGTCATCAGCGTCATTAAACGTTAGCAGTGACGACGGCGACGACGATGATGATGGCTCATTGGTGAGATTCACATCCCCAAATTGACGGTGTGATAGCTGTTGTCTAGTTCCAGTTTTGATTTGTACGTATTTGGCGTGACAGGTGTAGGTAAGCGGGATTACATAAATTATGTTAATGTTAACGTGTGTGTGTGTGTGTGTGTGTGTGTGTGCGTAGTGTTGTGCGTGTTCATTTTTAGTTATTTGTATTATAGATTATTTTATTTTTAAAAATTTATAGAAAATTAGTAGGAAAGAACGAATTAACAAACCGGTTCATGTATTCAAAATTTGTACAATTTCTATAGATATCTGTCGTTCTGATGTTAACTTTTTAAAATTTGCGAATTGATAAAATCTTTTTTTTATTAATGATAAACGATTGGTTTCTTGAAATCGGTGTTAATTATTACATTTAAAATAATAATAAATACAAACTCTGAAGTTGCGTCAGTAGGTGGAGTTGTTTTTTAAATCAAATAATTTTTTTTGGAACCAAATTTGTCAGTATTTATACTATTTAAATACATCTAATTTCTGGTTTTTATTATTTATTTTAAACATTTTATATTTCGATTGGTTGATTGATTGAATAATTAATTAATTAATTGATTAATTGATTGATTGATTGACAACCCATTCCCAAACATTCGCCTTAAATTCTAGAGTAAGTTTCAGAACCGGAATATTCGGGAATTCTTCCCAAGACTTTAAAAGTTCATAAAGGAGAGCATTGAATGTTTGTAGGGTCAGTTAGAGCTATGTGCAACCAAATAGGGGGCTTTGGGGCCAGATTACCCCACCCACAACAAAGGTTTAGTTAAGGTAAAAGATTAAGTTAAACGAAATGTCCATGCTAATTTCAACTAAAAACCGTTGTAGCAGTAACAGGTTGAATTTCGAAAAATTCTAGTCTTAAACTCTTATATAAAAATTGTGTAAATAATGATGTTTATATCGAGAGTACGAGCTTAAATTAAATTTGTTCATTTATCTCGAAGTATTTTTTCTGATTAGAATGTCTGGATGGAGTATTTTTTTTGCACTGAATGAAATTTTCTTTTTCAAATTTTCCTGCCGACTTAATGGCAGAAAAATAAATGAAACATAACACCTTATAATATGATGATGTTAATGATAATAATATTACTACCGGTACGACTACTACTTCTTCTACTACTACTCGAGTGTAATAATTGGCGCTATAAAAATACTCAGAAAGTAATAATAATATTGCTGCTATTGCTATTGTTACTGTCGTTACTTCTACTACTACATCTACTACTACTACTACTACACACACACACACACACACACACACACACACACACACACACACACACACACACACACACAAGATATTGCTAATGCTAATAATAATGATCTAAAAATTAGATATTCACCAGTAGCGATAAACAAAATTTTATTAACAAACAAGCAAACCGTTAGCAATATAATAACATTTCAATTGTTTTGTTTATTCACTAACATCACATATGCTCGCGTTCTTTGCACCATAGAAGATACGCACATACACCACACACACACACACATCTACACACACACACACATCTACACACACACACATCTACACACACACACATCTACACACACACATATCTTGAGCGCGCATACCTGACATTCTGAATTTAATCATTCTGCCAGAGTGAAGAACGGTTGAAAACAAAATGCTATTTTGTTTTGTAGGTGAAGGGGAAACAAATTGATGTAAAATGCTGTTTAACAACACTTACAACAGCAACACCAATAACAACAACAGTAATCACATCAACAACAACATTATCCACTACACCAACAACAGTCCCAACAACGACGATAACAAAACATCAAAAAACTCAAAAACCTGAACGTCTGTTGTAAAGTATGTTTTAAAGGAGTGTTTTGCTGTCTGTTGAAACAACACAACAAGAAGAAACATTGACAAAACAACGACAACAACTCCATGACATTAACATTTTAAAAGAACATCAACAAATAACATATTAATAACAGAAAACATCACGTTAATAAATAAAAACAACAACAATTCTTTAGCAGAAATATATGGCGGCCCATTCTGATTCCATGTTAAAACATTTCTATTAAACCTTTTTTAGGGAATTTAGAAAATGAAATTTTAAAATGAGCTTTATTCTAAGATTTAAAAAAGAATTATCTAAAAATATTAAAAGTGAATTAATACTTAATTCAATAAAACGATTTAAAAATTTAAAAAACTGTAATTTAATAAATTCTAAAACAAAAAATGAGCCGCACCTTAGCAAAAATAATAAGACAAGTAAGGCCCTTAGCTAAAAATAACTTTTTGCTGCATGCCTCCCCATCGGCCCAGCTGTCGAATATGCAGTTAGAACCACCATCATCATTACCATGATCTCAACCTTCATCATTATCATCATCCTTCTTCTCTTTTCAGTGTCATCATCATCTCATTAACCATCATTTTATTATCACAACTGCGTCATCATTCACTTATTGGTCGCTATTTTTTCTATTACGTACATAAACATTATCGCCACTAAGATCACCAACACCATCACTATCATCATCATCATCATCATCATCATCTCTTTACAGCAGTTTGAAGCAACGCGAATATTATTATCCTATCTAGCTCAAGGAAACTTTTTGCAATGCTTAATAGAACTGTTGTTGCACGTATGTATGTATGTATATATGTATGTATGTATATATGTATATTTTTCTGTAAACACAACATACATATATACATTTATATACATGCCTTCGAAATTTAAAGCGTATACCTTATGTATGTATGTATGTATGTATGTATTTATGTAAATGTGTTATGTATGTATGTATGTATGTATGTATGTATGTATGTATGTATGTATGTATGTATGTATGTATGTATGTATGTATGTATGTATGTATGTATGTATGTATGTATGTATGCATGTATGTATGAATGTATGTATTTATATGTATATATAATGTTATTTGAAAGATGTTTGCTTAAGTTGCTTTACCTAAGAAGATTAGAACTAGTCTTCGATTCCCGAATCCAGTTTGATTCCTTTGGATAATTATCTCTTCCTCCTCCGAGAATAAATTAAAATTTATTCAAAAATGTGGGTTTATAATTATTTTTAATCAATTTCTAATTAAATTATAGCTAACTTATTTTCTTTTTTGGTTTATTAATATGATAATTAATTCATTTTAATATTAGTATATTTATTATTCGACCGATTAAGTCGTTCTAAATTATTTTATAGCGCTAATGTGATAATAATATTTAATAATATTCAAGCAAATAATAATTAAAAATGTTTTTAAATTTAAATTTTAAATGGCATGTGTGAGTGTACATAATATACAATGTGTGTGTGTGTGTGTGTGTGTGTGTGTGTGTGTGTGTGTGTGTGTGTGTGTGTGTGTGTGTGTGTGTGTGTGTGTGTGTGTGTGTGTACGTCCTATGTGTGTGTACGTAAGTATGTGTGTGTACATATTTGTATGCCTATACAACTAAGTGTGTATGTATTCAAATTTCTTGACCTTGAGAATTTAAAAAATTTTTCACATCAATTAATTAAATAATAATTTAGAATTAAATAATTTTATATTTTTCACACAGGGCCGATGAACAAGAAGTAAGCTTTTATTTTTATTAATTTGGATAAAATAATTTAAATAATAGAAAAAATAATTATAGCTACTATTATTTGAATTATTGTTATAATTATTATAATTAAAACGCCTTACAATATCGTACCTTCGCTATCATTAACTTTTACACAATTTTTCAAATAATTTCATATCTTTCAATCTGACAAAAAACTGAACTATAGCAAACTATGTGTTCTTGAAACGCTAAGTTTTTCTGGTCTGAAAAGAATATGATAATTACAAACAATCCTAATCAATCTTAATCTCTTGGCCATCTAAATTTTCAACAATATTAATCTCAAAATTTTGAATCCGATTTGGTCTAGCATTTCTTTATCATCCTCAACATCACAATCAACTTTCATCGTTGCTATCATCATTTATCCTTTATAATCACCATCCTCTTTTCAGCCATCATCATCTGTTACTTTTTTATCATCTTTCATTTGAACACCACACCATCATCCATTCCAATGGACCAACAATGCGGATCACAAAATTTTGATAGAAATTAAAAAAAAATAAAATATCCAGTTAACTGACCTTAATTAATTAACCAATTAATTAATGCTAATGATAAAGAGCGTAGTAGTTCAGAAGACAGCTGAAGAGCTGAAGAAACAGCAGGAAATGGATGCAGTTGAACGCGCCAAAGTTCTGGCAACACGCATCCCGAAATTGGCCATCGACGGCTTAGATAAAGGTTTCAATTATTATTATTTATTAGCATTATTATTATAATTTATTAAAATATCGTTTTGGTTAATTATCTTCATCCATTCAATCCTTTCATCATTGTTAACATCCTTGTTATTACAATAACTTTCCGTAAAATAAAATTATATTTATTTAGCGCCATTTTTCACACTTCCACGTGGCTTCATCCATTGAACTTTAACTATATATTAACCAAAAAACATAATACAAAACTTAATTTAATTAAAAACTACTTCGTTACTTTGAACTGATGGTGACTGGCAAGAGTGAGAATTGTTTAAACGTGTCTAATTCGGTCATGAATGCACATAAGCAAGCATTTGTTAAAGCGATAAAACTGTTTGGCGCCAACATAACAGCTGGCTCGTTGGTCTAGGGGTATGATTCTCGCTTTGGGTGCGAGAGGTCCCGGGTTCAAATCCCGGACGAGCCCTACTTTTTTTAAAATTTTATTTATAAAATTTTTTTATAATTTTTTTTATTTATAAAATTTATAAAACAGATTCTTTGGAAAGGAAAGTTAGGGAATATTACGAAGCAGCTTGCAAACTGGAGGAGGAGAAATATGATTGGGAGTTCAAGTTGAGGAAACTTGACTTTGAGGTGGGTGGTGTGAGGATGTTTTCCAATCTTATTTTGTATCTTTCGGGCTTGGTCGTTTGTTTCAATGAACGAGGGTTTGGACCAAGAAGGTTTGAAATAAAATTTAGTAGGATAGATGATAACCTCGAGGGCGCCATTTCTTCTACGTATTTCAAAATTAATTTATGGAATTTATTGAATATTTATTAAACTTATTGAATTAAATTTAATTAGAAAACTTTTAAATTTGGGTTAATGGTTCGCTTTTGAAATAAATAATGAAAGAAAGTTGAATAGTTGTTAAAAGGATTTTATTTTTAATTTTTAAATGACCCTCACATGTGCTACTACACGAAAAATGTTTTCAGATCAACGAGTTGAACATCATCGTCAACGACATCAAAGGACATTTGTGAGTGACGCGCTGACGTCAAATTAAATTAAATAAAAACATTTTTTTATTCATTTTTTATTTTTCACTTTCATTTGAAAAGTTTACGAAAATTTATCCTCTAGACCAAATTTAATTTCATTCACACAGCGTCAAGCCTTCATTGAAAAAAGTTTCCAAAACTGAACAAAAGTAAGAAAAACTAACCAATTTTTCTTATCAATAACAAAAATATTCATTGAGGGAGGGAGTGTAAAGTCCCATGGTGCCCCTCTCTTGAAGGGGGGTATTCGAGATTTGTGGAGATTTCATTATGTTTGATAGATGGATCGATGGAAAGATTGGATGAACGAATGAGCTAATTATATAAGGTAGCATAGCTACTATGTATTGGTTGCTTGTGGTGTTGAATAAAAAAAGTAAAACAATTTTTATTTAAGAAAGGCGAGCAAAGTCAAAAGGCCATCCATAAAAATACTTCTAAAAAAATTATAATTGTAATATTTAAAAATTATGAAATAACAGTTATAATAACAATAATGAATAATAATTATAGATAATGATATTAATAATTAAAATCCAGACTCGCAAAAATCGCCGAAGTCAAGAGCAAGCTCGGCTCAGCCTTCCGTGACAACCTGAAGTCAACCGGCCAATCAAAATACGCTCTTGAAGAAAGCGAAGCCGTTAGTTTATTAATTAATTAATTAATTGATTGATTGATTGATTGATTGATTGATTGATTGATTGATTGATTGATTGATTGATTGATTGATTGATTGATTGATTGATTGATTGATTGATTGATTGATTGATTGATTGATTGATTGATTGATTGATTGATTGATTGATTGATTGATTGATTGATTGATTGATTGATTGATTGATTGATTGATTGATTGATTGATTGATTGATTGATTGATTGATTGATTGATTGATTGATTGATTGATTGATTGATTGATTGATTGATTGATTGATTGATTGATTGATTGATTGATTGATTGATTGATTGATTGATTGATTGATTGATTGATTGATTGATTGATTGATTGATTGATTGATTGATTGATTGATTGATTGATTGATTGATTGATTGATTGATTGATTGATTGATTGATTGATTGATTGATTGATTGATTGATTGATTGATTGATTGATTCTTTCATTCATTCATTCATTCGTCCGTCCGTTCGTTCGTTCGTTCATTCGTTCGTTCATTTGTTACTTTCCAAATTTTGTTACTGATAACAAAGCACACTTTTGATTTCTCCACCTTACATCTGCAAGTTTAAATGGAAATTATACCATTTGGTTAATATTTGGTGAAAACACGACACATTAGGAAGAATAAAACGAATAAAATGAACATAAGGTTGAAAAATAAATTAACATAAAATATTTAAAATGAAGCCTAAGCATTACAATACTCAACGACTTATCATAGAAAGGCAAACCCAAATGGGAACAAGATACGTTAAAATAGAGTCGAGAAATACATTAACATATAATTAACATAAATTATCTTAATGATTTATTACAGAAAGGCAAGCCCGAATGGGGGCAAGATACATTGAAACGAAAGGAGGACGGGGCTGAGGAGGATGCCCCCGCTGAAGAACAGCACGAAGAACATCACGAAGAGGAAGAGGAGGAGGAAGAGGAGGAATAAATGGACATATAATTATCATAAATTAAAATATAATTTGCGTAAATTAATTTTTAGTCGGTTTGAGTTTTATGATAATATATTTCAGTGTATCACTTTATCCAAAACCTGTTGAATAATTTCTTTCTTTAATATAAATAATCATCATCTTTTTCGAAGTCAAATAAAATCAAATATTTTTATTGTCGTCTATCGGGAGATAAATAAAAGCGTTCATCTTTGAGTTTCTTTTAAGAAGTTCTGTGAACTTATGCTCTATCTCATGTTCAATTTTTCCATTGGAGACGAAGCTGTTTCTTTAATATGCGATAGTTTGACTTTGGGGCTTAAAGACACATTAAAGGGGATTGTGAAGGTACATAGAAAAGTATCTCACAGTCGAAATCCACTAAATATAAAAATTTGTTGAGAAGTTGAGAAGAAACAAAGGAAGAAATGGCGAGCTCGTGTCATCTATATTTCATTTCCTACCCACCTGATCCGGACTCTCGTTCATTCAAACTAACGACAGAGCCCGAAAATACAAAATAAGGTTTAAAATTTTCGAGGCCGTCATGCCTTGTTTTGGGAAAAAGAAACACAAATTATATATATATATGGTTCTGCTTATCGGATTAATAAAGTTATACGTCCTAAAAGAAGAATGAACTTGGAGATGACAGCGTTGACGGGGTAGGCCGAAATTTGAAGAGTTTTGAAATTTTTAAATTTCAGGGGGGCTAAGAAGCAAATAAAATTTCTACGTGCCTATGTCACCGGCCAAACATCTTTACAACAACGAACATAAAAAAAAATTCAACAAAACCGTTACGAAGAACGATATTGTTACTGTTCTAACTAAAACTAATTTGATGAACAAGAAAGGTTTTGACGCTCCACCTCTGGTAATCAAAGAGATCGACCACGCGGTAGCAAATTTATTCAACGAACGAACGAAAGAACAAAATAACGAACTAACAAAGGAAACCACACTTTTTTCATATGGCTTCATTGTCTTAATAAAACTCAAATAGAAATATTGCACAGCATTAATGACAGGGGAACTAGCTCAGATGGTAGAGCGCTCGCTTAGCATGCGAGAGGTACGGGGATCGATACCCCGGTTCTCCATGTTTTATTTTGAAAGTTAGGAATAAATTTAAGAGTATATTTTCAAATTTTTTTTCGGCACTCATTGATCGCAATTCTTTTCAATTTCAACTCATTCCAAATTTCTGATTATTAAATTTATTTTTTAATGAAAAAAGACAATTAAATGAAAAAATAGTTAAATTTATTAAAAATTATGTCTAAATTAGAAGCAATAACCAAAGATATATGTTTATTCATAATATATATATATATATATATATATATAATATAATAAGAGCAATAATAATAACCAATTGCATGAGAGTTCAGAAGAAGTGAACAAGTAAACCTAGGAAAAAACTATAGATAAATAAACATTACGGAGGTGCAAATTTAAATGTAATATTTTCATTTATATCATATATTTACAAATATATATAAAAAAAGAGAGAGAGAAACAGAGAGAGAGAGAGAGAGAGAGAGAGAGAGAGAGAGAGAGAGAGAGAGAGAGAGAGAAACAAAGAGAGAGAGAGAGAACGAGAAACAGAGAAATAGAGAGAGCGAGAAAGAAAAAAAGAGAGAAACAGACAGAAACAGCCTAAAAATAGAACCGACCCAAATACATAATAATATATATAATAAATAAATAAATATATATATAAAACCGAAAACTATTAATCCATAACCAGATGAAAAATTATTTCGACTGATAACGAAACGATAATGATTTTGAGTGTATTGGAATTATATATATATATATATATATATATATATATATATATATATATATATATATATATGATTATATTATACATATGTAAAATATACAAGCATATAAATGTATCTAAGGTATTTCATGATTTGACATTGTTTTAATTGCAAGTAATTTCAAGTTAGTTTAATTTATTTTTAATATTAATAATAATAAACAACAACAATAATAAAATTATTATTAATAATAATAATAGAATAATATTAATAATGTTAACAACAATATTAATAAAATAAAAACAAAACGAAATAAATAATCGAGACAGATGGGTGAAGAGTGTTACATTGAAATGCATTATTTTAAAATAATAATAATAATGTAAACTCTTTTATTATTCAGAGAAAACCAGTAAAATCAAAAATAATCAAAATAAAATATGTCAATAAAATGTTAAAATTAATTAAATAATAATAAATTCAATAATAATAACATCAATAGTAATAATTATTACAAAAGAAATAAATGCCAAAACCGAATAATAATAATGATAATAATAATAATAATAGTCATACACTAATTGTCGAAGTAATAAAACGCCTATAACCATAATATCAATAACGACAATAATAAAAATATTATTAACGACAAAAACAACAACAATAATAATAATATTATTATTAATAGTATAATTTATGTTGTAACTGTAGCGAATATATATAAATTATGAATGTGTAGTTGAATCCAGTATGGTAATAAAATTTACATAAGAGAGGAATGATTTTTATAAAGGCAATCTAATTAATTATCTAATTAATTAATTTTGTAAACACTTTCTTAATTAATTACTCACTTAGTTAATTAATTATTAATTGCGAAAGCATTCAAACACGTGCATTAATTCATCCGTTAATCCGTCCGAGCATGTATTAATCATTTAATGAATGAATGAATTAATTAATTAATTGCTCTACTAAAATTACAAATATGAATAACGACGATAATGATGATGATATGGAAGAAATTTCAACAGAAGTAATATTACTCAAGTTTTGTAAGAGTATTAATAAAAATATAATAATTATTATTTAAAATAATAATAATTATTATTTATAATAATAATAACTATTATTATTATTGTTTTTATTAGAGTTCAAAGCAATCAGTAGCCAATGAACAGACTCGTTCCATCTAAGTTGATAAGTCATGGAAATTCAATAAAAATCAATAATTATTTTCCTCGACAGCAACAACAACAACAACAACAACAACAACAATAATAATAATAATAATAATGATATCAACAACCATAACGGCAATAATCATATCCAGAAATGCATTAATAATAATAATTATAATAATAATAATAATATTAGGAAAAACGACAAATAATAATAGTCACTACTTATCATTGTACATATATACGTACATTCATTCATTTGCTATAAATTAAAATAAAAAAATATTGATAATTATTATAATTGATATAATTAATATTAATAATATAACAGTTACGTAGGTTATAATTAGGTAAAATAAACCGGAAACCACCGAATAAAAATAATAAATTATCCTCCAACTTCTTCACCAATTCAGTCCTCGTTAAAAGCCTCGCTAGAAATACCATCAATAATAATAATGGCAGTATTAGGAAATATAGAAATAAATTAATAGTAATAATAATTATAATAATAAAAATAATAATAACGCCTAATAATTATGACAGAATCATTAGCAATGGCGAGAACTATGTAAATAAAAATGTGGATGCTATATATAATAGTAATAATAATAATACAATATAATAATCATTATTATTATTATTAAAAGCAGCAGCAGAAATTAATCACTATATTTAATACACGAGTGGAGGAGACATTAAGTAAATTAAATAACAATAATAATAATAACAATGTCAACAAAAACAACAACCACAACAACAACAATAATAACAACAGTAAAGAAAACAACAGTAATAGCAATAATGATTAAAATGATTAAATTGACATAGTAGTGACGAATGATATATATAATGAATAATTGCTAACACAATACAAAGGGCAATTACTTCATTTTTATTATTTCAAGAAAATATAGGTAGAAATGTTCGAATCTTTTAATTATAACAATGAGCATACGCGCTCGCACACACACACACACACAAACACACACACAAACATATAAAGACACGCAACTTTACTTATAATTATTGTAACAGTGAGCCAAATTTGTAAATCACTCTTAAATGATAATACATAAATGAGTATGTCTTAAATAACTAAAATTTTATTATCAGTGGCATTATTGTTATTATTATTATTATTATTATTAGTAGTAGTAGTAGTAATAGTTGTAGTAGTAGCAGTAGCAGTAGTAGTAGTAGCAGCAGCAGTAGTAGTAGTCGTAGCATTATCGTAACGTTACGAAAATTAAACAAATATAATGTTACGTTACATTATTATGTTATAAATCATAAAAATAATTATGATAATAATAATAATAATAGCAACTACAATAACAATAATAAAATAATAATATAATAAATATTAAATTATAACGTAATAAATTTAAAACATTTGTACCATCATAAATGAATTAATAAATAAATAAATATATAAGTGTACATATTAGTTATGTTAATTTATTATATTTAATTATAATTAATCATAATTATTCAGCAGCATTTTTTCTTGGACTTGCTGGACTTGGTGCCTAGTTTGACCGTATCCCCGCCCTGCTGTTGTATTCTCGTCTGCTGTTCCTTTTTCGACCTCAATACCAATTCAGTGATCGCCATAAACATCTGTGATTAGTTGAATGGTTGGTTGAAGAATTGATTGATGATTGATGGAACGATTGATTGGTAGGATGATTGGTTGGGCGATTGTGGGTTTCGCCAGTTAGCTGATTGGTTGGGCGATTGTAGGATTGGCCAGTTAGCTGATTGGTTGGGCGACTGATTGTGAGATGTTTGATTTGCTGGTTGGTTGTTTGCTTGTTCAGTCGCGATTGATTGACTGACAAGTTGGTTGGTTAGTTAGTTGGTTGGTTGATTGACTGGCTGACACGCACATACATACACACACTGGCACAAACAAAAACAGACAATCCTTCAACATTTTGATCTTCAGCACTTAATTCCAACTGATTGACCCCAAATTAAGAAACATAAACTCAGAAACACACAAAAAATCATACCCTCACAAACGAACACGGACCGACAGACAAACACAATTGGACAGACGAACAAATAGACAAACCGCCAGACATACAAACAACCAATCAGGCAGACACACATACAGACACATACTTCTTCAACATTGTTTACTTAGGCGCTTGATTTAAAAAACTAGATACCAAAGCAAAAGACCGGCATACAGACACAAAACACAGACAGACAGAGACAAACAGACAGACACACATACAGACACATACTTCTTCAACATTTTTGTTATCTTTAGCACTTGTCTCGAACAGCTTGATACCAATCTGGTCAGCAAATGCCTGGGCATCTTCAGTCGAAACGACTTTTTTATCTGGATTGTCATCCTTGTTGCCAACTTTAGAAAATTTATAAAAAAAATTAAAATAAATAAAATAAAAAAGATGGATGGTTGATTGAAGGATAGATATATATGGATAGACAGGATAGATATATATGGATAGAGAGACATAAACAGACAGACTGACAAGGAAAAAATAAAAAGATGGATAATTGATAGTTTAGATAAATATAGAGACAGAGACAGACAGACAGAGATAAAATAGAGATAGATATTTAAACAAATTAGCATAAAAAAAACAAAGCATACCTAATATTCTGTTGACGACATCACAATTCTGATCGATCTCTTGCAGCCACCTCTTAATGTTGGCAAAGGTTTCACCGCTTGTTACGTCATACACCACTAGTACCCCGTGTGTGCCTCGGTAGTACCTTTTTTAGAATTTAATTTTTTTTTTATTATTCTTTAAAATACCATTTACCATTTGAAGTAACATCTAGAGTACATTTTAAAATATCATATGAAACACCATTCAGAATATCATTTTAAATTAGATTTATACTTTGTACATTTATATAATTAGAGATACTTCTCATATAATTTAATGTATCAGTCAATAATTTTAATAAGCTTAACAACAAATTAAAAGATTAATCATAAGCTACATAAAAAAGGCCAAAATTCTATAAATTTCACCCCATACTTCACTAGCTCCTTTATTTATAATAATGTTAAACTCATGTAAAAGTTACAAAATTAATTTAAATTTTGGTCGTTGTTTTAATTTTGAAAACAAAAATTTTTTCATTTAACGAAACAACTGAATTCATATTTCAAACAGGATTGAAACAATATTTAAACTAATAAATAAACAAAAATATGTTAAATATGAAACTAATATGAAACATAAAAAATGAAATTAAACATGAATAAATGATACACATATATGTGCATGATTTCTGTGTGTATGTATTGTATATGTGTTTCTGTGTGCATATGTTTCTCTTTTTTCACTTTCTCTATGTGTGTGTGTATGTGGGTGTGTGTGAGAGAGAGAGAGAGAGAGAAAGAGAAAGAAAGAGAGAGAGTAAAACCCACGTAGATGTGATGGTCCTAAATCTTTCTTGCCCTGCTGTGTCCCAAATTTGTAGTTTAACTCTTTCATTGTTGACGATGATTGTTCGGATTTTGAAATCAACTCCTATCGTCGTTATGAAAGAGCCTGTCGAGTTCAGCGTTAAATAAGAGACAATTTTAATATAATTAATTAATTTTTTAGTTATCCAGCAATAATTAAAAACAATTATTTATGATTTATTAAAAAAATTGATTTATTATTTCAAATAAATCAGCCACATATAGTCTTACTCTAAGCTTAGTCCTATTAACCTAAGCAAACTAAAAAATGACACATTACAAATAAATTTTATTAACAAATTATGCCAAAATTATTAGAGACCAAAGAATTATAATTATACACTTTCAAAATAAACCTGTGAACGTGTTGTCAGCAAACCTAACTAATAAACTGCTTTTTCCAACTCCTGGAGAAAAAATAATTAGTCATAATTATGTTTTTACTTTTATTAACATCATGAAATGAAATAAAAGAGAAATTTTAATTCTGTCAACTCTACTTTGAAAACTACTAAAAGGAAAACTAAATACTAAATTATTGTAAAATTAAAATTTATAATATTATTTTTCTGTTATCAGAATAAAAAATAAATATTATTAAAAAAAATTAAAAATTAAACACAAAATCAAGCAAATAAATAAATGGGGAGAAAAAAAATAAGATAATTTTTAATTAATTAATTTAATTAACTTAATGTTTAAATTAAATGATAAAAAATAAAAATTAAGAAAAAAGGAGAAAGAAAAATAATAACATTAGAAAAAATCTAACCACTGTCTCCGATGATTAATAATTTGAACAAATGATCGTATTCTTTGGCCATTTTTTTTAACAAGTGTTTAATTAAATTTCCCAATTAAAACCTTAAAAATGCCAAATTATCTTAAAAAAAATTTTTATAAACACCGATAAACAAGGATGCTGAAAAATGTTAAAAGTGAATTTAATGAGAGATAGTGATGCGCTGTTTGAGGTATCTTTTGATCATTCTTCCTTTTTCAAGACATGTAGAGGTGATCTTGGTATAATTTTACTTAGACTAATTTAAATGATTAAAATCTAGTTTAAAACATCCAAATTTTGTTTAATTAGTCATTTAGATGTCAATTAACGATTTCTAAGACATCAAACCAATTATTATAGTTTTAATTTTATTTATTTCATTCAATATTAGACATTTTTTTATTTCATGGGGTAATTTAATTTATAATTTTGGAGACATTGAATTACACATAAAAAATGAAAACATGTTACATAAACTAAACGTTAACATGGAAGCATTGGGATCATGGATATAATATATTATTTATATCCATATATATGGCCTGGAAACATTATTTGCCTCTGAACTGTTAAAATACAACGAGTGTGAACGTCAAGGCATCCAGAAAAGTTTTTACATAATGCTAATAGGAAGAATAAGATTGGCCCATATCAATTAAAAATATCATGTTCTGAGATTTATTGAAATGTTTAATATTACCAATGTCATATGATTTTTTAAAAATGGTTTATGCGCTAAAAAAAACATCAATTTATAATCAGCCAGTTGAAAATGTGTACTAACTTAACTGAAGAACATTCTTCTCTATGACGCAAACCCAAGTGTAAGTTTTTTAAAGATTGGATATATATAACCGTATGTATTCATAAAATGCTGGCTAAGCACAGATGGTCATCTCAATTTTTTAAAGTTATCGAAACTTATGTACAAGAAATTTAAGGATAAATCACTGGATGATATAGTTTTGTGTGTGTGTGTGTTTGTGAACGTGCGTGTATATGCGTTTTTTCAAATGCCATTTAATCAACATTCTTGAATAAAACCCACCAGGGAGTTTATTTATATCTTTCAAGTATCGTACCTTTCATGCTTTTTAATCTTCAAAATGTTTGAAACCCTTAGATGTTTAGGTATGAAGATCTCCATTGGATGATATAGAAATGATATGAAATGTTATTTTAATCAAACGGATTCATATTTTTAAGATCGAATCTATGTTGAACACGAAAAATATTATAGTGTTGTCGTGAAATGTAAAAATTTTGTACCTACATATGCAACATCTGACTTGCAAAGGACATGTGAAACCAATTTAAATGCCGTTGGGCGTTGTTCCTTACGGACTTAACTACATTAAAACTGTACATATACAGTCATGATAAATTTAGTTATTTGTGCTGGTGCTACACCACACACACACAAAATCTTAGAAGTAACGTTGTTTTATTTATTTATTCTAAATTTTCCAGTAAATACTTATTAATTATTCTTGTATCTTTGAGAATATTTTAACATCACCGGATTTGAAAAGTGTGGAAGTCTTTTTAGGAGGACAACGAACAAACAAACCGGAGTTTCTAATAATTTTTCCGATAGAAGACCACCCTGTGAACCATCTTGCGTAGGAATGAAACTTTCTAATTATGCAACTTATGCAGTGTTTTTTTCAGTTCAAAATTATGTTGATATTTACACGTAACTTACTGGCTGCCTGTACGCTGTTCTTTGAAGTTTCCATCTATTTTAACGTGGTTCATAATAGTTACGAGGGAGCAGGGAATTAACAGGAAGACGGCTACTCCTGGTTCTTGTAGCTTAGGAGACCAAAAATGGGAGTGAAAATAAGAACACTATTAACTTTAACAAGTCCATTTTTACTTTATTTCGAAAGTCTCTTTATAACAATGTTCCTAATGGATTAGTACATTAAGGTATCCAGCTGCATGAAATCCATTCATCACTGTTACCTACTTTCAATTATTTATGTAGAGATTACGAAACAAATTTTTTTCTGGTTGGAAAATTTATTATTTAATGTCTACCAAGAGTAAAAAATATCAAAAAGAGAAGGAATAAAACGTAAAAAAATGTTTAGTAAAGTCTTCTCGCAATCATTTCTCGGCTGCTTTCTCTTTAGTGATATCTGCTCGGGAGTTGAAGAGAAAAAGTTAGAAAAACAAATAAAATGATATTTTGTGGATGTCTGGCTGTAAATAAACAAACTTCTAGCTATATAAACACGCGGTTCAAAAAATACAACTCATACAATAAATGCCAGAAAATTTTTAGGCATACGTTAGAGAAAAAAGATGTTCAAACTTTTTTCTAAGTGAATGTAATTCAAACACACAGACACGCACGCACACAGACAGACACGCAGACAGAAAGACACATACCCTCTTTGGTTGGCAGAGGATTTTTTTCGGCAGTCTCGGCTTTCTTCAACTTGCTCTTGTCGAATTTCTCGACTTCAGACATATCTTAATAAATAAAATGATAAATTTGCATATTAATTAGTTTATGAATATTCGTATAAATTAATAAATTTGTTTATTAAATAAAAGTTCAAGGTTATTCTCTTATTCTGCACTTGATTTAAAAAATTGACGACAAGTTCATACATTTATACACACACGAATACTAGAATTGCAATAATCGTACGTGAATGAATTAGCATGAAGACTATGCTCACATGACGAACGAACGAACGAACGAATGAATGAATAAACTCTAAAGAATGTACAAAGGAATGAAAAGCAGGAATGAATGAATGAATGAATGAATAAATAGTCGAAAAATGAGTGAATAAATGAACGAAAAAATAAATGAGTGACTCAATAGACGCATACCTGGTTTTGTGTCAGACATCTTTCAGAAACTATAAATAATTTAAAATAATAAATTTTAATGTAATCACAGTAGTTTTTAAAATTAATTAACATTTTTAATCTTAACAATAATTTTTAATGAACCAATTGAAAAAATATGAAGAAACTTTGAAACTTTTCGAAAACATTGTCCCTAAATTATTCTTACAAACTTTTAATCAATGCCACAAACTTTATCATCATAACCATTACCTTCATCATCATTTTCATCATCATTTTCATTATCATCTTCATCATCAACGTCATCATCATCGTCGTCGTCGTTGTCATCATCATAAGTTTCATCTAAATTACATAGCCCGATTATTACCATCGTCTTTAGTACCTTAGCTATCTTAATTAATTTCAGCCTTAATTGTTTTTAAAATAATTATAATTATAATGATAATAATAATTATACTAATAATAAAGTTTCTTATTCTTGTTGTTAATTACACACGCGAGCAACACACATACGTCTGCATCCGGCTAGCAACAGCATCAGAAAAATTGATTGAATAGCCTCATTCATTTTGCATATATGTATGAGTAATTTTGTTGTTGTTTTGTATGTATGTATGTGTAATTTTGTTGTTGTTTTGTATGTATGTGTGTGTGTGTGTCTGTGCGTGTGCGCGTGTGAGTTATATATGCATCTTTATAAGTAAGTTATAAGTAATATTGGTGTGTTTGCATATAAAATTGCACGTATATTGTTGTTCATGTAGGTATTCATGTGAATATTGTTAAAATTTATAAGTCTGTCTCTGTAGTTTTGTTTGTGTGTATTTGCGCGTCTGTGTGCGTCTGTGTCTGTATAATTTACGCCTATGTAGGTTTCGTTGCCTCCAAATTAATGTTGTGTCTCTTGCTGTTGCTGCAACTGTTGCAGTTGCTGTTGCTGTTGAGGCGGCTGCGGTCGTAAATGCAAATGTGTTGCGTTGGATGTGTTGTCGAATGTCTGTGTGATTGTTCCTGTGTCTTCCCGTGTGCGTGCGTGCGTTTTCACGAATCGCGCCGTATTAATATTTTTTATTTATCATTTTGTCGCAAATAATTCTGAAAAATGATGAAAAATGTAACTCTCCGATTGGTTTAATTTAATTTAATGACTTGAGTTATCTAACAAAGTTAAAAACAGAAGAGAACGTCACTAAATATTAAGAAAGACGCGCTAATGAAAAATTTATTAAAAATAAAATATTAAGTATAAGCTACGTATTTATAAATTTCCTTATTTATTAACAAATAAATAAATTATTTTTGTATTTTATCAGTCATTTAT